TCAATTTATCAGTCAACAAGTTATCCAACTGGAACAAAATCTGAACATTATCCTTCTTGAAAAGCTTGGAGTATTTACTGATATCCTTCTTGAAATCACTGAATTTTTTACGGCCACTTGGTTCAATAGTAGATGTTCTCCAGACTTGAACTCCATCAACAAACAAATTGGCTAATCTGTCAAATTGTACTCCATCAACCTCAGTATGTAAAGTCAACACAACAGCTTCAAATGAAATATTGGTTGGAACAGTGAAATTAACAACTGCTGGTTTTCCCCAACTGTTTCCGAATTTGTGATGGAGCAACTTGGATGAATACACGGATTTTCCGTAGAATGGCTTTGGAACAAATGGATTTGTAACACTGATAATCTGTTTACCTTTAGATGCAATATCTTCACCTTCTTCTTCTGAATAACTGGTGTCAACAATATCAATCAAGTTTCTGAAAATTGGATGTTGTTCTAATGGTTTTGTTGGGGGTTTATTGCAACCCAAATTGAAATTATAACGACTTAATCCATTTTGAAAGTCACTGAAGTTTAAATAGACAAAATTAACCAAATATAAGACACCAATCAAGGAAAATACTTGACAAAAACGTTTCAATTTATCAGAACTACGTGCAACTTTAAGGCTTGGTGAATTTTCATAATTTTCTTTTTTGTCGTCATTTAAAAATGATTGTTTCTCTTCATCGACGGTGTTTGAAATATCGGAATAAGGCGGTAATTCCGCTTGCGGGAATGAATATTCCTCATCAGGATTCTTGTCTTGGAATGACATGGTTCCCTAATGATAATTGAACAAGATGAAATATTAGTTGGTAAGACAACGTTTAAAACAAATAAAATTCAGGAAGATTGAAAAATAGAAGAAAAGAAAAATTTAAAAAAAAAAATAATATATTTTTTGCAACGAATTGTAAAAAGAGAAAAATAGAAAAAAAAAGGGGGGCAGTGGTTGCTTATATATTATTCATGGCACAAACTGTGGATTTTGCTTTTTGCTTGGTTTTTCTGTTTTTTTTTTAGTCACGAACTACATCAGTGGTGCACAAATTGCTCAAATCCCGGTAAAGTCCATACGATAAAAATTTATAAAGAGAAAGAGAGAACAGGAGACAAGGCTCGGAATATTATATAGCTCAATTTAGTTCGTCGCCACCTTTAGACTTGCTTCCAGCCAATCAGAGAAATGGCATCAACCAACAAGGCTCAAAAAAATGTATTGTCCAGTAGTGGCTTTTACTTCACTTTGCTTAGTTCATTCAATTTGTTTCGGCTTTTGCTTGTTTTCACATATATATATTTTTTTGTAACCAGTATAATGAAATTACACTAAAGTTCAATGCACACATTCTAATTCTGCTTGAATAATTTGCGTATCTGCCCAATTCACTCATCAATTTGGGTTTTCCATGTACGCCAAAACTCTCTTGAACAAAATATCCAACTCCTGGTTATCCTCTAAATTTTCAATATTAGTTTTCGTCAATTCAATAACCCCATTGGTAAACCAACTGTCAACATTCAAGATGATACTTTGGTTAAGGATCTCAATAAACAATTTCACTGACAAAAATGGATCTAAGCAACCATCAGCAACACGCAAGCATTTCTGAAGGCATTCCAATACTCTCTTACCATCATTCTCTTCACCTTTTCTTTCTTGGTTCCATAAATGGGCACATGCAAGTATTGCTCTTGTTACTTCATTCTTCTTCAGCAATCGACTGGCATATAAAGTCAATTTGGTTATCAAACTTTCATAATTGTCTTTTGATAAATTTCTTGTTTTCGCTAATGAATTAGCTATAGCCAAAATAGATTCAAATGCCAATGACCCTCCCGAGAGTGAATCTCTAGGATTCACACTGGCAGAGTTTCGGTTTTGATGTGTTGACAAAATAAGATTCTCTTCATAAATGACGAAACATTGAGTGAACAACTCATAGCACAAAGATTCTAACTGTAATTGGTCGGTAACTATAGCGGCATTTAAATAGAGCGTGAGAATCAAATCTGATGAATACTCTTGGTGATATTGGTATAATTCATTAATGATAACTGACAAGTTTTTGAAATTCGAAGTAGACTGTAATTCGGAAGCTTCGTCATTTTTTTTCTGTTGCAAATTAACGTATCCAATAATTTTCAACTTGAACAAGATTCTCGATATCAAACTAGGATATGTATAAATAATATTCTCAAGATTTTTGTTCAAGTAAGTCTTTCGAATATACATCAAATTGGCAATAGTCTTCACTGGATCTTCAGGGTTTTCCACTAATTGAAAAACTTTACAAATTTTTTCTTGCACTTCAAGAAATTCAGGTGTTACCAATAGTTCACCATTATTAACTTTAATTGTCTTGGTGACTCCCAAATTCTTAGCTGTATCTAACTTACTTGGCGATTCTTTAATCAAAACCATTAGGTATCTAAATATTCCATCTATTTCTTCCACGTCCATCAATATATCTTTTTGATTTTCACTTGCAAGTGATAAGATTTTGTCTATAATTGCTAAGGATATTTGTTTTTGTAAATTTATATTGGTTAATTTCTTGTAAAAATCGTAAAAGTTCTCTAAACGTAACAAACTCTTAATGGATTTAAAATGTGATACTGGTTCTATCAATAAGTTGGACCACATTTCTTCTTGGTCATCACCTTCATCTTGGCCACCTAAATTTTCTTCTGCAAATTTATAAATCACATCTAAATTGGAGAAATTTTCCGGATCGAAAGTTAACAAAAGACTAATCAATGATTGTAATAACAGTGAATGTTCTTCTGGTGGTAAATCTGGATCCAGTTCGGACAAGTTAGAATAGAACTGCCAAAATGATTGGAATAAATCATCAATATTCACATTATGTAACACCGGTCTCTCTTCAACACTCAAATCGGAAATATCACTAGCAAATTTCTCGTACGCTATGAATCTATCAATTAGTGCTTGTACTAATTCGCTCTTCTGTAACATAGGATGAAGGTTCACAAATACTTCATTAAGCAACTTGTCCAATGTTGCAAAATGGAAATCATCGGGGAAAACTTGGATCAAAACATCAATCAAGTAACTTTGTGCTAAATGATCACGACATTGAATAATTTGTTCCGTAACAGTTGGGAAAATTTTCTCTTTGTAATATTCAACCGCCGAATAGGATTCATCTCCGGTGTAGTCATCAATTATTTGGGATAATCTAACCAAGTTCGATCCAACAAGAATTTTCAATTCTTTTCGTTCACGGTACCTCAATTCTCTTTCTGACGAATGGCCCTGGTGTTGTAATCTAACCCAAAGTTTATTCATCTCAATGAAATTTGCAATCAAAAAATCCACAGTCTCTTGAAAATCAGCCTGGTTTCCAAATGGTAACAAATTCTTTGTACGTTGAGACAAATAATATCTCAAAAATAATCCTCTAATTGGATGTTGCACACCGTGGCACATTTCAATCATATCTTTCATTAAATCTTTAGTCGGTGCCCCTTCAATGGACATATAAGTAGTTCCAATAACAATCATCATGTATAATCGAGGAATAATATTACCTGAATATTGGACAATTTCGTAAAGGTCAGCTAGGAACGCTGATCCACTATTCTCTTTGTTATTCTTTTTGGCTTTTTGTCTTGCAGTATGAGTATTCAACAAATAAGTTGACAAAGTTTCCAATGAATCAAATACTAACATGTAAATTTCATAATACTGCTTGGGTGTTAAAGAATTGGTTCTTAATTCACTAAGAAAATTAGAACAGTGTTTTAGTGCTGGCAATAATTTGTTATCGTTGAGATCATGTTTCATTAAATTTGACTGACTCTTGATGGTATTAATACAGCTTTGGAGTACCGACTTTTGTTCGTTAGCGGACAATGGCATTGATCTAAGAAATTAAGAATGATTGTAAAAGAAGTAAGTACGAGTTCTATTGGACCGGAGGCAAAGGGAAACAAAAAAGAGTGAATTTTTGGTTGTTGTATCAAACTTTTTTTTTCCCTCTCTTTCCCTGTCTCTCTCGTTTTGAGATTGTTCGCTTATTCTTGTGTGGGATTTTTAGTAGTGTCCAGTTTTTTTTTCCTTTCTCTCTCTGCCCACACTTATCTTTTGTCTTTCTCTTTTGAAGAAGGTCACATATTGAAATCTGAATGAAAGTTAAAATCCGAAAATTATTAATTGTTTATATTAAATAAAATTACAAAAAGATTACGTATACAGATTATGAGCTTTCCAGCCTGATTAAACAATTATTGATAATTCTAAGAAAACATGATGATGATTAATAAAGTGAAAACAAAAATAAACAAAAATAAAATAAACGACGAAACAAGTTATACATTAGTTGTGAGTGCATTAATTGTGTAAAAACATAATTTGAGTCTGACCCGTTCCCTGATCAATTAGTAAATAATACAAAATAGTAAACTTTTTTATTGTTCAAACATCATGAAAATATAGAAACAAAAGACAAAAGTGAAGTAGAAATATGAGCAACCTCAATCAAGCAAAGCTGAAACAGACATTTTCTCTTTATACTCCTTTTGGGTATTCGGTTTCTTGTACGATTCGTCTTTGTCAGTATCTGTATCCATTTCCGAGTTTTCATTGGATTCAGTTCTTTCGGGTCCGCCTTCAGATTCTTCTTTAACCGGTAAATTAATCGAAGTTGAACTAGCCGAATATACCTTCTTGTACGATGTAGCCGGAGATGTCATGGATGATGAATTGGCATTTGGAATTGCACTATTGTGAATTGAATTGATTGATGAAACTGAAAATCTTGTTACTGGAGTCAATAAAGGAGAATTAAAGGATGAACTTTGGGATTCATTTCGTTTATGATTGTTGTGATCCTTATTTAAAGGATTTGGAAACAAGTCTGATGCAAATGTACTTGATCTTCTGGAAGCAGCTGTTGAATTGTTCAACAATTCAAAATGAGTGATTGAATTATTCCTCGAAGCAGCGTTACTCAACAGTAATGGAGAACCACCATATGATGATGTTCCAGTACCATGGGCCCCTCCACTAGGTCCACTAATGGAAGTACGGGCAGAATGAACACTAAATAGGTTTGGGTGAGAACCACTATGATGACTGTGCAATAATGAAGAAGTAGCACTTGAATGTCTACGACCAAACTGATCATCTATCAATCTTCGCTTATTGTTCAGAGCGATTGGGGGTAATGTTGTAGTGGAATTTATATCAAAACTTGCAGATCGGCAACTGTTTGGTTTCAAAGGCAAGCTTGTAGAACCATGGTTGTTCTCAGAAGAAGGTGGTGGAGTCGAAGTTGAAGTCGCAAGTGAGGTTGATGATGGATGTAACGCTTGTGAGATACTGGGAAGTGTATTTTCTTGTACTTTGCCAAACATTGAGGTATTAAATGAAATTTGAGGCAATTGATAATGTTGTTGCTGTTGTTGTGACTGAGATTGAGGTTGAGGCAACTGTTGTTGTTGTTGTTGAGGCTGTTGCTGGTAATATGGAACTGAATTTGGAGCACTAGATGGCGGAGGCGGTAACATTGAGCCTTTAACTTCATTTTGAGTTTCCAGTATTGAATTTTCTGATACTCTTGAATCTCTTTTAATTTCTGAGATATTTGTGTCACTATTGCTTGAATGGGTTTGAACACTAGCTCTTCTTCTTCTATTTGCCCCACCATTCCACCAATTCTTGATAGCGTTATCTGATCTTCCATTCAAATGACGAGATATTTCTGCCCACTTCTTACCGTGAATTGCAACTAATTTTTCAATTTTTGCACCTTCTTCAGGAGTAATTGGGGTTCTATTCAAAGAAGGTTTCAAATTTTGATGATAACGTTCACGACATTGCTTGGCTGTACGACTCTCGAGATAATTTGCAATTCTTACCCAGTTTGATGCACCATGTTGTTCAATTAATTCCAATAACTTAGCATCCTCTGCAGGTCCCCAAGGACCTCTTTTATGAACATGGGAGAGTGTACCCGGTTTGTGTTCTGTTGGATTTGTATAGTGTTGTTGTTGATAGTATTGTTCTTGTTGTTGATGCATGTGCTGTTGTAACTGTTGCTGTGATGGTGGCGGTTGTTGTTGCTGGTCCTGTTGTGGTATTGACATTTGTACGGATTGCTGTGGTACAGATTGAGGAGGCACGACGGCAGTTAAGGGTGCCGGTGGTGGTGGATGATACAGATTATTTGGTTGAATGATCATACCTATTGGTGGCAATGTTTGGTATTGAGGAGGATAAGCGTAGCCTGCATGTTGAGTTGGTTGCTGTGTAGGGGTATGAACGTGGTGGTGGGCCTGTTGGAATGCATTTGGGTTTTGATGGATATGATTCGGCGTGGCCAGTTGTGGGAGGTACTGGTCCGGTCTATTGAACATAACTTCGTAATGGTAATGATGTATTGATAAGATGGACGGAAAATGGGAAAAAAAAAGAATTATTATACAAATAATCGGTTGAAATGAAATAAAACAGAAATCTTAAAACTTATTATTTGGTTTTGTTTTGTAATACGATAATTAATAATTGGAAGATATTATTCGAGTTTTATACTTTTTTTTTGTTGTTCCTCTCTGACACACTTACTCTCTCTCACTCTTACTGTCTCTCTTTTTTTCTCTCTCTCTTTTATAGTAGGTAGTTGTAAGTATGGCTTCTGATTTTGACTCGCTCGCTCACTCTCACACTGTTTGATCTGTCTTGTGTTCTGTACTCTGTATGAGTATGTGTATGCGTTTGTTTTATTATTATTCCTTTTCTCCTTGAAGTTCACAAAATTATTGTTACTTTCTTCTTGTTAACTGGTGGTGGTAGCAAATGAAATTGTTTCAAATTAAATGCTCTATCTCTCTTTCTTGTTGAGTATTATCCCTTCAATGAATTTGCTTTCTAGTGGGTGGGGGATATAATCCGCTGGTTGGAATTTTTTTTTTCTTCTTCTCCTTCAAGTGGGTAAATTATTTATTGCTAGTACTTCTATTTTTTTTTCCTTATTTATTTTAGTCCAAGTTTTCTGTTTTAGATCCGATCGGATATAGTGCAACTCTTGGATTTGGAGGGGAAGGACCTGAAGGGGCAAAAAAAAAAAAATGATAATAATAATAATAATAATAATAATAGAACGAAAACAAAGATTGCTCTATTGTTGAAAGATAAAGTGTTAACTTTAAATAATTTGGAGTCTGGAACGAATTAACCAATGGGAAATTTGAAATTTATTTTTTAAAGAAAAACAGGATAAACTGGTTCATATTTAAATATTCCTCTTTCATGTAAAATTTGATCACTTTTGCCGTTTTGACGTCTAACAGGCTATACCTCCTGTCTCTTTCTACCATCATTTTAGTTTTGCTGCTGTTGTGTGTGTGTGTGTCTGTGTGTGTGCATTTTTTGTATATATTTTTAGTTCTGTCTTCAACAGTACCAAGAACTAAAGTCAATCCGCATATTAATGTCCATGATGTACAAAACCACATTTTACACAGAAAGAGAGAGAGAGAAATCTTATTCATTAACCAATATTCATGCAATGTACATCGACTAATATCCGTCAGAACAAACAACAACGACAACAACAATAAGTAACAAAAACCTCCCAAACTGACTGCAGACGCAAGGTCTTAATGTAATGTCGTTCAATAGTGTCTAAGTGAGACATTTTTGCACCTCACCGACATTTCGCTTCCTCCTTCTCTCTTCCCCCTCTCCAACTGCCACCACATCATTTACTATGCGACACAATGTCTTGAAGTGGGGAGTGAAACAGAGGGGAAAAAGAAGAAGAAGAAGAAGAAGAAGAAAATCAACAGCGAAGGTATAATACCGAGAAGACGTTGCCGATCTAGATACATAACCGTCGAGGCTAATACTGGATCAAGTACCAACGTTAATTTTATTTTATTTTTTTGTTTTGTTTTGTTTTTTATTTTTTACCGTTATAGAATATCTTTGACTCATCAGTTGAAGAGAACAACTATCAGATGTTTTTCCTTATTCTGTGCTTACATTATTCTTAGTCAGATATAAAAGAAGGGAAAGAAACATGCTTATCTGTTCTTTACTAAGATTCATTGTTCCTCTTTTTGACCTTGCATGAAACCCGTACCACTTTATGCATTTTCGCGGGTTTTTATTTATTATTATTAATATTATTCTCATTAGGCGTATCCTACATTCTTAATTGATTGCTAATGTTTCATACACGGTAAAATAATATTAAAAAACGCAAGGGGGTAGCAACTTGAATCTATCAAGACGAAATGAAAAGAAATGCAAACTTAAAAATAAAATATGTTGAAGAATATCTAGTTTCATGAATGAATGTTATGCAACCCTTTGGGAGAGCAATTGCAAGCCCTGAATATCACGACGATCAAAGATTCTTGTCTTTAACAATATTAAAGTAATAAGAGGGGAGTTTGTTGCAATACAGACATGGGTTAAATCTTATATGAAGATGAAGATCAAAATATAATTACATCTAATTCTTATTGTGCAAGCTAGTTCAATTACAGAGAGAGAGATAAAATTACCATGGTGTGATCCATGACACTAAGAGCAAAACAATTGTGGGCAGGTTGACGTACATAACAAAGAATTCTACTTGACGATGATCGTATTTACATTCAATTGCAATACTTCTGTTACAGGGGTGATAGTGATGAAAGGTTGAGTTAAATTAGCTATGAAAATGTATGAATATCATTCTTTCTTTGTAAATATTTGAAACCAAAAATAAAATTGCAAAATGAGAAACAGTCTAATATGCAGGAAATTTTTTTTTTTTTTTGTTTTTTTGTTCTATTTAACTGCAAAATGTACAAAGTATTAACAGATTGTTAACCCGGACCATCAATACACAAAATTGTAATTAGTTTTCAAGTTTGTGATATTATATGAACTATTCATTGCGGTTATTAATGCCCGCTCCCCAGTATGAGTATGTTAAAATGACGTAAACGATGATAGAATCTACCCATAAGAATGCATTTACATAAGGCAATAACTTAAAAATTATATAAACCAACTAACAACATTAATAAAAATGGAATACATATAGTTCGTGTGGTGATGGTTAGGATAAAAGTCATATGATCCGTCAAAAGGGTTTTCGATTATCATTATCGATATCCAGAGTCGTACAAAAAAAAAGTGATCTTCATCTAATACTATTTAAAACAATGGACTGTCTAAAACAGACACATTGACAGAACGACATTTTTTTTTTTTTTGATTGATTGTTCGTTTGATTAGTTTGTAAAGTTTTTTAAACCATGCCTAACTCTTGTTGTGTCTTATTTTTTTTTCATTTTGTTCAATTATTCATTTTTTAGAGGGGGGGGGGGGGGGAGAGAGAGAGAGAGAGAGAGAGAGAAACAGGTTTCTTAATACTTTGTACTTTATTGGACTTTTCCATCAAATTCCCGATGGTCCAATGAGATAATCTGTTGTGAACATTTGCTCCATTTTTTTTAACTCTGTACTATTTCAAGTCAACGTTTAGAGTTCATACAGAAAGAGTTTCATGTCAAATGTTTAATTTGTTATTGCATGTCGTTTTTTTTTTCTTTCTTTCCTTTTCATGTGTTATGGGTATTTGGTTTTTGTCAACAGAGTAGAGTTTTCATCCAATTGAAATGTTAAGGAAAGCATGCAAGAAAATTTTTTTTATTGTCTAATAAAAAGGCTACACTAAAACTTTACATTATTAAACGTTGAATTATAGCGCTTAAGAATTTAGAAAATAATTGAAATGAAACAAAATGAACAATGACAAAGAAAATACAAAAAAAAGAAAGAGTTGTCCGTTGGTTGAAATTCCTTGGATTTGCAAAGAATAAATAAACGTTTCAATAATTTATATTACTTCCTGCGTTGAAATCATACGATCAAGGGACCCATAAATTCTCTACAACGAAAACCCACTAAACAAAAGAAAAAAATTTTCTAACCCTGTTTATGCTTAATCGCGGGTCGTTGACTTTGTTCACCCATTAAGGTATTCTGGAACGACCAAAAATACAATACAACGAATTTCAACAGAATTGTGTTTGATAATAAGGTTCTATTTTTTATTTTTTATTTTTCTATCCAATGAAAAAAAAAAACACAGATTGGGGGATTTTAATTGCGACTACTATAAATTAGTATAATCGATTCTATTCTACTGAAAAAAATGTACAAATCAATATTAGCATCTTTTTCCGGTGATGGATCCGATAATTAGTGATGTCTAAGAATATGAAACTATCAATAATAGATTGATGTTACTAAAGGCATCAAGGAACCACGGATACATAGCTTTTGGAGGGTTGAATATCGGATTTAAACGTAATACAAGGTACTTGTATCTCAAAACGTTGAGTAGCACAAGTCCGGTTTTCCGAGTGTTTAATAATTCATTGAATAATCGCAAAAACAGAACATGGAAACAAAGTTACACATAACACTTGAACCAATATTGAAAGAAGGAAAAAAAAATGAATATCCTCTATTTTACCACGGAATACTGTGTATTCTGTCATTGGTTAATCTAACCTTAACAAGAAGAATCCTATAGATAGAACAATGGCAGATAAGAAACAAGCAAAACAACAGCAACAAAAATACGCACATCAAAATTTTTAGGGGGTATTTTGAAAATTTAATGCTCAACAAAAGCAAAATTAAAAACTATAATAACAAAAGAATATTAAAGTAAGCTGCAATGCAATGTTATAACTGGGGTGGCCACCTACACGGATGAGAAAAAAAAAAATCGGTAACTAATCTACATAAACTGAATTATTGCATAAAAGTGACCAGCAGACTGATTCTAAAAAGACGACAGAAAAATAAATAAGCTGTGGCTAGTTCCAATATATCAAGAAACCATCATACATAATAATAATAATATGTCTTGTGCTCTATTGAGTGAGAAGTAAACGTCGATTGGTTTACTACTTTTTGTTCCCTTTTATATTGCTTTTACTATATCCACGACATTTTTAACTGTTACTAATTCGCGAGTCTGTTTTGAATACGGTACAAAGTATCCTCAACTTTGTTGTATGATGGACCCCATTAGATAGAAATCGAGGCGTCATTAACGCGTCAACCACTTAAAATGACCAAAACTGTTGGGTAATACGGGTGGCAATTAAATACCACGCCACTATGTAAATCTTCTTTGACGTAAATCATCTCCTGTTTAAGATCCAGTGGTGGCTGCATAACGTATAGCAATTTTTACTACCTCCTAAACTTTCAACGAGTTGCTTCGTTTGTCCGAGTTGAAATCATCAGTCGGATTTACTGGCGGCATGACCGAGTGGTTAAGGTGAAAGATTAGAAATCTTTTGGGCTATGCCCGCGCAGGTTCGAGTCCTGCTGCCGTCGTTATTTTTTTCTATTTTTTTAGATGTTTAATATCTGATACAAAAATTATCTTCTTCTTTTTTTTGGTGTAGATGTTTGAATTGTTGACACTTGACACGATCATTACATCGCGTAGACTCGAAAGTACAGATTCTTATGTCTGGATCAAACTAGCACATGATTTCAAGTACTGAACAATGCTCTACAAGTGAGATTAAACATGCCTGTGATCTAACAAGCATAGAAGAATAGACATACTGATAAATCTATGAGTGTCTTGTGAAATCATTATAATTTTTAAGATCACCTATCGGGAATTTTTTTTTGTTTTGTTTTGGACTCACGCACGCTCGAGAAATGTTCTCATGCAATATTATGACATCAAACCTGGGGAAAGAAATACAACTTGTAATTTAATAATAATACATTAAACTCTATATATAAACCCGTAATCATTAAATTATTATCTACATGCATGTCCTTGATAAATCCACAGTGATTATTGTCAAATGTAAGAATAGTCTGTCATGCTTTATTTTTATTTTTTTGACAATCTTCATTGACGCAGAATATGTACTAATACATCACTCAAAAATATAATAATAAAAAACCCATGTGGCAAATATTCAAAATTGTATAACCATTACATATGTGTCAGGTTTGAATATCATCATTGTCTTTTTCCTATTTCATTCAAATGAATCTCTGTGTGTATATTTTTTTGGTTTGCTTTAATTTGCTTTAGTGATAATTCACACCCATTTATCCGAATGGTTCATTATCCTTCAATTTCTTTCAAGTATTCTTCTAAATCCTCTGGTTCAAAAATAACTTTAACCATTAATGAACAACTAGGACAAACAGCAATATCTTCTCCATCTTGCATGTCATAAATACTAATTGCAAATCTATCACCACATGGACATGGATATTGGAAAATCTGTTGGATTGGATCAAATGTGAAATCTTCTATTTCTATTTCGTCATAAATCGTTTCCATAACTATATTTGTTTCTATTCTTCACCGCCTCTTTATGGCTTCTTGGGAAAGTATGAGTTTGATTCTGATTATAAAAGAAATCAAAACAGAGTCACTGTAATTTTTCTTTTGGTTTAAAAATCTTGTGGTACTCAAAAACAACAACAAAAAAAAAAAGAAACGTTAGTTTGGAGTGATGAGGGCAATAGCCCTAACAATTTATAATTTTCACGTGTGCAATTAATGTACAGGATAGAGTGCGAATACACTATATTTCTCTCACTAATAATCCCTTAACTATGGTGTGCGCTACCAAACAATTTACCATACATTTTTTCTTGCCACTGCGCACGCCCATACTAACAATTAATTTTTTTTATTTGAGTTTTGCACAGATTTTGTCCTTCGATAGTGTGAGGGAGAAGACTGTGAGTTTGGGCGCGCGCAAAGTGTAGGGTGAGAGGTGCTAGAGGAGTTACTGGGAAAATACCTTTCGCACACACAACTGGTTTAGGCAAAAGAAAAAAAAATTTTCATTTACTCTTTGAAATTTTATTTAGTATTCTTTTTCAATTAACAGTGATACAGAAGTGTATGTTGACATATACCATGTACTTGATACTACTTATTATATGAATGATTCAATAACTAAATAACAGAGGAATAAAAGTTTATTAAAAATGAAGTTTTAAAAAAAGGACAGCATTAGATTCATTGATAGTGGAGTTTAGAAGAGATTAGTTTTTCATAAAACAATGAATCAGTATAATATTCAGGATGGGAGTATATCATTATGACTAAAAGAATAATAAAGAACAGAGTATTATTGCAAAGATTAGAGAATATATATACTGGGGTTATCATTGAAGGAAGTTGGATATCATTTTATATAAACTAGTATCAAAGATTAATAAATTTGGAAAAGTTTTTTTTACTAACATATTTCTTTTCTTTTTAGTTTAAAATGGGTATTTCTAGAGATTCACGTCACAAAAGATCAGCTACTGGTGCCAAAAGAGCTCAATTCAGAAAGAAGAGAAAGTTCGAATTAGGTAGACAAGCTGCCAACACCAAGATTGGTCCAAAAAGAATCCACTCTGTTAGAACTAGAGGTGGTAACCAAAAATTCAGAGCTTTGAGAATTGAAACTGGTAACTTCTCTTGGGGTTCTGAAGGTATTTCCAGAAAAACCAGAATTGCTGGTGTCGTCTACCATCCATCTAATAACGAATTGGTTAGAACCAACACTTTAACCAAATCCGCTGTTGTTCAAATTGATGCCACTCCATTCAGACAATGGTACGAAAACCACTACGGTGCTACTTTGGGTAAAAAGAAGACTGCTCACGCTGCTGAAGTTGCCGATGCTAAGAGATCTAGAAAAGTCGAAAGAAAATTGGCTGCTAGATCCGGTGCTGCTGCCATTGAATCTGCTGTTGACTCTCAATTCGGTTCTGGTAGATTATACGCTGTTATCTCTTCTAGACCAGGTCAATCTGGTAGATGTGATGGTTACATCTTGGAAGGTGAAGAATTAGCCTTCTACTTGAGAAGATTAACTGCTAAAAAATAAACAAACAAGAATGGATAAGTAAATTAATTATTGGGGTGTTTCATAGCATAATTTCTTTTTCATTTATTATAAAATATATACATTTAAGGAGAATTTAGTTAATAACGCTCTTTAGGTTTATATCATGTATTTTATTTAGTTAATATTAACAAAACAAACGAATAATATCAAAAAAAAAAAAGAATAAGACTAAAAGTAATCAGAAGTAGTGGATGTCTATTCTACACTAATTCAATCACATCTCTGCGAAATTCTACACTTTATTAAAGTTAAATTTAAGTAGATATCTTTATTTATTGAGTACTATACAAACTATCGTCTAATAAATTCAGTTAGTATTAACTATATTCTCCAAGAAGAATTTGAATGTTTCTTGATTTCTTCAATCCAATAATTTTGTTTTGCAATTGAAAGAATGTCAGAAGAGGCATGTCGTTGTCCTTCAGAATAGAACCCCCGAAGAGATTCCACTCAGTACAGGTCTGTGTAAACATTTGCTTCATCATTTTCAAATAATAATAAAATCAATTCAAATAGTAATAGTAATTAAACATACTTGTAAGACAAGGTATCACTTGATTAAAGAAGAAGAAGAAGAAGAAGAAATAATAAAGAGAAAATTTTTCAATTCGATGATGATTTTTTTTTTTTTCAGTGGTGCATTTTTATACTGCAATATTTAATATTCTCACTCGGCCGGTTGGGCCCATGTCGTGGCAGAATTTAGTCGTGGTAGAATTTTTTTTTTTTTCAGTACATTTTGAGCCCTAATCAGTAGACATGTTTACTTGGCAAAACCGTCTTTACTTAGTGATAATGTCAGTTGCATATTAAATTGCAGGTAGTATTCACAACAGCAAAAAGAAAAGCACACTTACAACTGATAGTAGTAGTAATAGAATGAAAAAAAAGACACGTGAATCTACATTCGACTAATCAACAGGTAACCTATCACGAGGATCACCCGTTTCATTATCTCTGACGGAAAAAAAATTCCGTCTCCCACTTTTGTCTATTGCCTACTTGTATTGTATTGCATTGTATTATTTTTTTCCCCTAGTTTGATAGCGAGTGAAATCAGAGCCATCCATATTGATTTCTTCGATCCAAAGTTTTTTTTTTTTTTTCTCTTTTGCCTCAGTTGTTTTTCCCCTTTTTATTAAGATTATCGACGTTTTCCTAATACTTTCTTTCATTTCTTTAACCAATTGTGTGTTTGTTAAGTTCTTAAATGAGTTCAACAGTTCCAAAACATATAGCGGTTCTTGTTCTAGACACACCAATTCCTAAAGTTGCCGAGAAATATGGTGATTTTGGTGATAATACAATTGATTTGTTATCTAGAGCAAATAATAAATCATCCATTGTGAAATATCAATTATGTAATTCAGACATTGATGAATTAGATCGAGTTTATGAAAATTTACAAAATAATATTTCCAAAAATTTGATAACTGGTTTTATTTTAACTGGATCTAGAAGTAATGCATTTGATGAAACTAATTGGATTTTAAAATTAGATGAATTTATTATTAAAACTTTATATAAATTAACCATCCCTATTGTTGGTATTTGTTTTGGTCATCAAATATTAGCTAAGAATTTGGGATGTAAAATAGGTAGAAATGAATTAGGTTGGGAAATTGGTATTCATACAATTGAATTAAATCAAGAAATTTTTAAACTTGATCATAATCCATTTGTTAATAATTTATTACTTGCTACTACTAATACAGATGAAGATAAAAATCAAAAGAAACAAATCATATTAGATCATTTAAATTTAGTTGAATTTCATCAAGATATCATTTATGGATTACCTGCTAAAGGATATGAAATGGTTAGTATTGGATCAACTGTTAAATGTGGTATTCAAGGTATGATTTCAAAAGAAACTTGTCCTATTAAATTATTGACTTTTCAAGGTCATCCTGAATTTACAACTGATATTGCTTTAGATATGTTGAAAAGTAAATTTGAAAATGGTTTGATTACTGAAACTGAATATGAAAAATATAAATATCAAACTACAAGTTTAAATAATCAAGGTGATTTGATTGGAAGAGTGATTCTAAAATTCCTATTAACTTGATATCCAACCTCCCTCCTCCGATATCTAATACTACTGTACTCCTTCCCGCCATGTATTGCTATTACACATCAACAGATAGAATGAGATTTTTTTTTTTTTTGTTTTCTTTGGATTGATTTTCTTTTGGTTGTATTCCTGTTTTGTTTTGTTCTGTTTTGTATTGTATTGTTAATGTTATTTTATTGTTTGATATTAAATATTTTTGTTATAACGACATTAATACTACTAATATATATATATATATATACTAACTTACACATACAGATCCTTCTGCATTTTACTTAATCATCAAAGAACTTTTTGGTTGGATTTATAATTGTAAATCCATTCAATTTACCACCTTTTTTACTTTCACTGATATTTCTATTACTTAATTTATCATTGATTTTTTTCATATCCTGTAATTTAAACTCTAATTGTTTAATCTTTTCTTGTGCCAATTTTAATTCATTATTATTATGGGAAGTGAGTTTATTAACAACTTCCCTTAACTCATCACGTTGTGTCGTCAATGCCTGGATTTCTAATCTTGATTCGTCATATACTTGACCTCGTTCTTTCTCGGCCAATTTCTTTTCCAAGTTCGGTATGATTATTGATTTCAAATCAGCATTTTCTTTCAACAATTCATTATATTTCTCCATTAAATCCAGATCATTCTCAGGCTCCGAAAATGATCTCTTACCGTGTCTTTTCTCATATTCAGCTAATTTGTCCTCTAATTGATTAACCAAATCATTTTTGATCAATAACTGCTTATACAATTCAGTCTTTTCATAATTCAATTTCAATGGTGATGGTGTTTGACCATGTTCACTTAACAATGCATGTTCTTCACTGATGAATCTTAATCGTCTTTCTTTACTCAACTTTTCTTGTAATTCAGAAATGGTCTTGGATTTCTCAGTTACTTCAAATGCTAAATCTTTCTCTAATGTTGGAGACGAGGTTTGGGAAATATTATTCTTCAACTTATTCTCTAATGCCAATTCACGTTTGATAGATGCTGCCAATTCAGTGGTCACCAACTCTAATTCATTCAATAAATCATTATTACAATTCATGATACTCATTTCTTCTTTGGTAAAAGTCAATGGTTTCTTAGGAATAGCTGTTTCTAATGAACCCAATGTTCCACTAGATGAAACTCTTCTTGTAAAAGTTGGTGGTTTTGTTGCTTGTGTAAATGAAGAGTTTCTTGATGACATAGTACCAATAGAAATATCACCTTCGTCAATCGAACTGCCTCTTCTACTTGATTTAGAAAATCTCTTGAATAAATTCTTGGTTCCATTCAAATTGAAAGACGATCTCTTATTAACAGCTTGAGCTGGTGGTGCCCCCACAGTTGATAATCTTGAACTGCTTTGACGAGATGGCAACAAATTCTTAATATCTTCACCACTGGAGGAGCGACGAGCACCCGTACCAGTCTTGGAAGAGAAATCTTCATCAGCATCTGGTTGTTCTTCTTGAACTGGTGAAAAATCAAACGATTTTTGATCATGATTTCTAATTTCTGGTGCAACATCACTGATTGGTTCGGAAAAGTTTTCATAGAAACTATCATCATGCTGTTCTTGTTGTTGACTAGATGCATGGAGTGATTGTCGCTTATAATCGCCATCTCCCTTCAGTGGAGTCATCAATTCAATTCCTTTGTGAGAAACATTAGACGTAGAAGATGTTGGAGGAGTGGTTTCACCATTTGTGCTTTGTTCAAACATTGCATTGGTATCTACTTTTGGTCTAAATTCACTATCATCGGTATCAGAATTGTTTAAATCAAATTTCAGTGATTTGAAATGAGAAGAATCACCATAGACCGAAGACCCTGTTGAACTAGGTTGTTCTGAATCATTCAACTTATTGGTGCTAGCAGGATTGGCAAAACTTGGGGTCGATTCAACTGATGGTGATCTGAAATTACTGAAAGCTGTATTTGCAACGAGATTCCTAAGTTTTGGATTGGTTTCCAGAACATTACGTGGTCTATTAGGATTGAATAAACTTGGTTCCTTCGGAGCTACAGCCGCACTGTTGGAACTGGACGCAGTAGTATCTTCAGTAGATGATTTGGACATATTGGATTCTTCTTGAATAGTACTTTGCTCATCCATTTCATCTTCCTCGAGATCAATTTCGACATTTGGAGAAGGAAAGCTTGATTTTGCCAGGTGACTATACTGTCTAACTGTTTTTTCTGGAGATCTATGTGGTGATGTAATCTTTATCGATTTATTGCTCTTTTGTGGGGATGTAAAATCCAATGCAGTGACAAAAACATCATGAGTTGAAGCCCTAGCATTTGCACCCAAAGATTTGTAACCATCATTCTTAGGAACAAAGTCATCATCATCCATGTATGACTCTCTAGCAGCTGGACTTGCAATATTAAAAGTTGGTGAAGAAGGAACTTCATTAAGATCTTCTTCTTCTTCTCCTTCTGGTTGTTTTGTGTTTTGAGATGGGTTATTTGGAATTTGAGGCAATTCTTTATCTTCCGTTCTAATACTGTCAGTTGAACTACTAGGATCAAACGTTTCTACCGCAGGACTAACGGGTGGCTTTTTTCTGACTAATGTCTTCTTGCCTGATTTTGGCTCTGCTTCATTATTAAACAAGTTCAATTTACGAACTCTCATGGAATTTGTCTTTTTCAATGTCGATTTTCTTGATAAAGCTGCATTAGCATCATCTTCTTCAAATTTATAAATCACATCTTCTTCACTACCACTTGACTTTCCTTTTGGATCGAGACTGTGATTCAGATCTTCTGGTTGCTCTTCTTCTTCTTCAACAACCTGTTGCAAAGAATCGTTAGAGTTATGGGCAAATTGTTGCAGATTTCCTGACATTTGACGCGGCTGGGAAAATTGTGGTGATTTATCATACTGTCCACCTTGTGGTGTTGGATAAGTTTGATTTTTAGGAACAAAAGGTTGCTGCCCAGGTGCAAAAGCTTGCTGAATTGGTTGCTTTGGATTTTGTTGTTGTTGTTGTTGTTGTTGTGGAGAAGGAGAGAATGGTTGATACGGTTGCTGTTGTTGTACTGGTTGTTGTTGTAATTGTGATTGTGGCGGTGTTGGTCTTGGTTGTTGACTTGCATTTGCAGGTACTAAATTCTGACTTCTTAGAGGTGGACCTTGGTATCCCATTGGTGGACCTTGGCTACCTAAAGATTTGGTTCTTGGATAATTCTGTGGCATTGGACCCCCACTATAAGCCCCATTCATCATTGACATTGTTCTAGGTCCATTATTCTGAATAGCAGTGTTTTGCATGGACATCGTTCTAGGACCCATATTTGGCATCTGCATCTGCATTGGCATTTGCATTTGCATTTGCATTTGATTTGGATATTGGTTTTGAGGGTAAGGACCTGATCTTAATGACATTGCACGAGGTGCACCAGCAACACCCATTTGCTGTTGTGGTTGGAATTGTTGATTATATGGCATTTGTTGTTGTGGAAAAGGTCCTGATCTCATTGACATCGTTCTTGGACCCTGTGAGTTTAATGACATGGTTCTTGGTCCTTGTGAGTTCATCAATGACATAGTTCGTGGGTCTGCACCTATTTGCAGCTGTTGTTGCATCATCATCATTGGATTGCCTCCAGCTAATGAGTTGGCACGTGCACCATTAATCATCGCTAGCTTCTTTTGTTGGTTCATTTGTCTTCGATATTGAACATTGTTAACCTTTGCTCCCGAAGCTGATCCCAATCCACCTAATGTTCCATTTGCTCCTAGTGTTGGAATAATTGGAGCTGTATCTAGAGAACTGGCTGCATTGATACCATAAGGACCCTGATTTCTAATATGAGTTATATCATCAAACGACAAATTGGCACCGTTGGTTAAATCAGTAATGTCAGCTCCAGAATCTTCATTAAAATTTGGATCTGCGCCTTTATGCTTTCTGAAGAATCGAGCAGCAGCAGATTGTGAAGTCATGGACGATTTCCTCGATGAATTTGGTGCAACATTAGTGAAACTTGAGTTGCTATTGTTGGTGTAAGGGCTTCCAGTAGGTAAGGGTGTCATAATATCATAATTTGTGGTTGATGCGGAAGTTATCAGATTTGTGTGAGATCCATTATTCATGAGATATTGTTGTTGCTGTTGTTGCTGCTGGAGATACGCTGGTTGGAATCTTCCAGTTTTCTGTTGTTGACCCTGTTGTTGAGCGTATAATTGTTGTTGATTTAAGGATTGACTCAACGTATCAATGTCCTGTTCCCCTTCCAAGATCTGTTGCCTCAAACGAGCTTTATTAGTTATTGTTGATGTACCTGCATCCATTTCTTCTTAATTGGGCTGTGCTTGTTGTTAAATTTGTTGATGATGATGACGATGTCAAAATATTTTCTGATGAAGAAACAGTTCTATTAATATAAATGGTGTAGAAGAAAGTAGATAGTTGGGATCTCCAGTGGTGAGATTTGAACAGCTAATCAATGCAGATCAATTAAATCAAATCAAAAAAAATATTAAAAAAAGGAATAAAAGAATTCTATACACCTCTAAAATGAAAGAAACCACTTGGTACGAATAAATAATTAATTTGTTTCAAAACAAGGAAGAGAAAGAGAAAGAGAGAGAGAGAAAAAAAAAAATTCTAACAAGGAAAAATAATATATTAAATAATTTTTTTTTCTTCTCTTGTCTCTCTGCTCTTTGTTTTAGATGTGTCTGTGTCTGTGTGTGTGTCTGATCAGGAGCGAGTATGTGTTGATGTTGATTGTTTTTTTTTTTTTTTGCAAAAGAAATTGACAAGAACGAGCAATCAAGTTGTATCTATCTATGTAAGCTTTCCGTTTATCTTCGTAGTATCATGGGTATGCTCACTGTATCCTGGTTTAAAAGATCAACTAGTGCAGCTAAGAATGGGATCTTGAAAATGGATAATAAGAGAAGTAGAAATTCTTTTGTTTTGAATAGTAAGCGCCTTATTGTACCACCATATTTTTCGTTTTGTTTCGTTTCATTTGGTACGGTTCAATTTTTTTTTCTTTTGGGACGTTACTTTAGTTAACGGATCAGATGGAATGGAATTGAATTTATGTCGCCTTTGCATTTTATCATTCTAGTGCTTCTTTTTTTCTTACTCTTCGTTAAATTCATTGTTGCAGGGTTTCTAGCCCCAAATTCATGTGTGAACTTAACTGTGTAAGGTTCCAAATGCCAGATCTACACATAATAGGATTCTTGTCATACCTCGTCTCTTTCTCTCCCCTCGCTTCGCCCCCCTGGCTAAAAACCCTGGTACATTTAGTCCAATGGAACATTCCTCATTCTCGTTCTCCTCTCCTTTTTTTAGCAACCTCATGATTAATAACTGTGTGTGTATGTGTATTTGGCTCGATATTATAATGGTTTTACACTTGTTTTCGTTGTAGTGTCAATAATTTAACTTTTACTCATACATGCACTACAAGTCACAACAGGTTGTAAAATTCAATCGACGGAACAGGTTTCAAAAGTAGTGTCTTTCTTGCCGGTTATATTTTTTTTTCTTTTTCTTTTTTTTTAAGATTTTAAAACACAAAACACAAATCTTGTTCTATTTTTACATTTTACATCATAACCATTTTCATCGATTCATCGATGATTCTATCTCGTTCTAGTTATTATTCAAAGATTTCCCGATGGGATCAGAAATTTCTATAGTATATTTAACTATGGGAAGGTCTTTAAAATTAAGGTATTTCCTGTGTGTATTGAAAGTGCTACAGTAAGTTTTTCAGAGTGTGCATGTTACTTTTCGTGCCTGTGGTACCTGAAAAGACGACGAGAGAATGAAAAAAAAAAAAGAAACTTCCTCGAGCGTCAATTACACAAACAAATCGCAGCCTAGAAACATCCTGTGCGTGTACCATTTTTTTTTCTCTCTCACTGTCTCTCTATCAAATTCACCCTACTCTAAAGGAATGTACATCCGAATAAACAAAATTTATGTGGATATGCAATTGAATATGAAAAACATTCTTCATGTAGCTATAGTGGGAATTGGTTTCAACTGTGTGTAATTTCTCGTGTAATCAAGCACACTCCAAACATAAGAAAATCACTCTTCCACACGCAACAAGAACACAAACATCAAAACAATACTGATCGTTATCGATATTCGCGATACATAGCAATTGTTGAAAATACAAGAGTTAGAATCTCGAAACAATTGAGCTTTATTTTGCGATTGTGGTGGGTTTTTGATTAATGTTTCTTTTGATTCTTTGCGGGAGTGCTTATCTGTGTACCTATTGTCTTAAAAAATGGTGACCTTACCATAGTCCTTGAATATCTTATCTCTTTATTCATTTTATTAAAATTTAATAAAAACCATCTCGTTTCTTTTTAGCCACAATACTCCACGAACTAAAGCAAAATAGAAAAGTAGGCGTTTACCTGTAGACTATAAACCTGAATGAACAAAAAGAAGAATAGCTCGCAAATTCCCTTTAACTTTGCTTTGTTGGATGAATGTATGGTTTCTTTTCTTTTTTTTGTTTTTGTTTTAAGAATCTACGCGTCACATTTTTTTTTTTTTCAATCTGTACTACACAAATGAAATTTGCTGGGAAAACAATAAACAAAAATACTATCAGAACAATATCACGTGTTTCCTGAGTGAGAGTACTATTCGATAAAGAATTGGTTTGGTTAGTAGAAATGGAACATAAGACAATAAAGTATCTGTTAGTGATAACGCTACTTTATTGATGTAGATGGTTTTGATATGTCGGACGAAAATTAAACTGAACTAACCGATTGTAATTTTCAATCCAATTTAATTAAAAATTTGTCTCTTTTTGGAACTAAAAATAAAAAATATTTTGGTTGCTGCACAACCTATCAATAAACCCATCTTTGAGATTTATTACATCCAACATATTCCAAAGTTACCTCTGTTGTGACCTAAAATCTAGACAGATATTCTTAAAACTTACAATCTATTACTTCGATTACTATATTAATGGATACTTCCTAGTTCCACGTGGAATTGTCCAATCTCTGATAATCGTGCACAATGCCCGTTTTTTTTAAATCAACTCGTGTTTGTGTACCCGTAATTTTTAACATCCGTATAAGGAAATCCGAGCGTTTGAAATCACGTGAATATATCTTATATTGCGAATGATTTACGGTAAGGGGTAATTTTACATTTTGTTTTTTTTTTAGAAGGCACGGATGTGATTATTCTACCGTCAACAAATCTTTGTGAGATAGAAAAAATAAAACAAAGCATGTATATTTCTAAGCATAGAATGCCAGATCCACAAATGAGATGAATTGGATCGCATGTGACAAGAGTATAACGAGAAAATCTTGATTTTGGTGGAAATAACCGGGCATAAATACCTTCTCAAGAGTTATAATGGTTTGTACACATAATTTCATTTGTTTTTTGTTTCCCCACCACCGAAGTATAAAATTTCCAGTACTATTCTATTTTTTTTTTTGCCTTTGATAGACAACGTTTACTCCCAAAGTAATACAACACGCAATGATGGGTGAATTAAAATATCGAAGATGGTCATTTAAACATGGTGGAACTCCATTAAAGATAATCAGTGACAAATTCAACTTTCCTAGAGATTCTCAAGGTCAATTAATTATTCCTCAAAATGATATCTTGGTTAAAATTCATTATGCATCAATTAATCCAATAGATAGTAAGCTTCATCATATCATGTATTTTGCTCCCTTTGTCAATCATGGTATAGGCAAAGATTTCAGTGGAGAAATCATTGCATTAGGTCCAAATGTTCAAAATTTTAATATTGGCGATTTAGTTCAAGGTTTCCATCCTGGTGCTTTAACTTTTGATGGAACATTTAGTGAATATTTATTGATTAATACAAACTTGCTAATGTTTAATACTGAAATTGCTAAGATTCCAAATAACATTTCCCTCGAACAAGCTGCTGCATGGCCATTGGTTTTTGGTACGGCCATGTTGATGATCTATGGATTGTCTGTTAAAAACAAGAAAGTATTAGTTCTCGGTGCTGCCACTTCTGTAGGAAGATACTTGACACAATTACTAAGAATTGAAGGTGCAAGTGAAATCGTTGCTAGTTGTTCTCCGAGATCTCAAGATTTAATAAGAGAATTAGGTGGCACAAAAATTATCAATTATCAAAAAGATGTATTGAATCAAGTTTTGGAGAATTCTAAAGATAAACCATTTGATTATATCTTAGATTGTTGGGGTGGTACTGAATTATTCCCGCACATTGATCATATCTTGGTCAAAAATGGTACATACCATTCTATTGTTGGTGATTGTCCAGGTAGTGGAATGTTTCCATTTCTTTGGGGGACTTTCAGAGCACTTGCAAGAACTGTCGCAAGTTCTGTTCATTTCTTCGACTATTCTTATAGTTATGTATTTTTGGGAACTAAAAACACTGGATGGATTCCTAAAGCTCAACAGTATATTGCTAGTGGGAAAGTAAAAATTTTTGTCGATAAGGTTTACGATTTTGAGGATGTTCCGAAAGCAATTGAGTTCATAGAAAGTGGTCAAGCTCAGGGAAAATTGGTTATCAAGATTGCTGACAACTAACCTTAGTGAGTGTACAGTGATAGTGTACGTTTTTAGTAATTGATTAACTCTTTATCAACAAGCATTTCTAAATTATCACGGATAAATTTCCTCTACAGCAAATGATTAGTTTCTCTGACTTTAACCAACTTATAGAATCGGATATCGAAAAACCTTAGCATATCACCGTTGCCAACATACCTGGTCGCGAGTTCTCTTTGCCACCATTAAACTCTCTGGGCTGATGAGTTACAATTTCCTTTTCATGATTTCATATTTTTCCGTTAGTCAAGCGGATGTGAAAAAAAATTAGGGTCTAAATTACCCGCGTATATAAAACAACATTTCCAGTTAACCCCGTCTTTTTATGCTCTCCATTTCATACGATATCTATTGCTAAGAAAGTACAAATCTGAAAGTTTTATCAGAATAATTTTAAAATTCAGTTTCATGGGACAGAAACACGGAAATCTGTCAATAAGAACTCATCTCCAGTCCAAATTATCCATCAAACAAATCCAAGTATTTAAATTGACCCCATTTCCGTCGTTTCAATTGTATTATTCTTAGTTTACAAAGAATCATTAGACTATAACAAGAATGTCAAACAATCAAGTTACAAAAATAAATTATAAAAGATGGGTTTACAAAAATTGTTGGACTCCATTAAAAATCATCAATAATAAATTGGAGTTTCCCACTGATTCTCAAGGTCAATTGGTGATACCCGAAAATAATATTTTAGTTAAGATTCATTATGCGTCATTGAACCCTGTTGATGAAAAGTTAAGACACGTTACATTTCTACCACCAGTGATGACCCATGGTATGGGTAAAGATTTTAGTGGTGAAATAATTGCTTTAGGCTCCAATGTTAGTAAGTTCCATGTTGGTGATTTTGTTCAAGGATTCCACCCAGGTGTTTTAACAAGTGATGGAACATTCAGTGAATATTTACTTATAAACACTGAATTATGGAAGTTCAAAACTGAAATTGCAAAAGTTCCAGATAATACAACTTTGGAACAGGCATCTGCCTGGCCATTGGTGTTGGGTACAGCTATGCTATTAATGGATAAATTACCAATCCAAAATAAAAAAGTTTTGGTTCTTGGTGGTGCTACTTCAGTGGGAAGATATTTGACGCAATTGTTGAAAATTGAAGGAGCAAGTGAAATTGTTGTCAGTTGTTCTCCTAGATCACAAGCATTGGTAGAAGAGTTGGGTGCTACAAAGATAGTCAACTACAGAGAGAATGTCTTAAACCAAGTCTTGGAAAATGTCAAGGACAAACCATTTGATTATATATTTGATTGTTGGGGTGGAAATATGTTATTCCCAGACATTAAACAAATATTAGTTAAAGGTGGTGCTTATCGTACTATTGTTGGTGATCAAGCTGGAAGTGATCTAGTAGCATTGATTTGGGGTACACTTAGGTCAATTTGCAGAGCAATGGTCAGTTCAGCCAATTTATTAGACTATTCATATAGTTATGTGTTGGTTGGAGATAAGAATCCAGGATGGATAGATAAAGCACAGGAATACATTGGTAGTGGAAAGGTAAGGATTTTCATTGACAAAGTTTACGACTTTGAAGAACTACCAGCAGCAATCAATTATATTGAAACCGGTCAAGCCCAAGGTAAATTAATCATCAAATTGAGTACCACCGACTAGTTATTACTTTTGTTTTGATTCCTTTGATTTGTGTAGACTGCTATTAATATATGAATTTTATACTCTCAAAACACATTCAATCTCCTCCGTGACTATAGGAATTTCATGAGTGTTCCATAGACTGTGAAAGTTTTTTCCATATGCCCGTGGTTTGATTTTTCACAGCCAAAATTTATATTGTGTGATATTATTACCCTTTCAAAATCCGAAGTTCGCTTTCGCAAAGCATTACATAGCCCAAGTGTATATTTTATTGTACAAAACTCAAAAGGTCGCATAACGGGGATATGCCCCCTATTTAAGTTAAAAAGGGGGGCCAAAAAAATATAAATACTTTTAGCAACAACTATAATTTTCTTTGTATTCTTGATATAATTATATACTCAATCATTATATCAACATACTCATTGGGGAAACATGCCATTTGAAGACAAGAAGCCAGATGTGGAATATACATTCCTGGAAGCGGAATTACCGCCTTATTCCGATAAGACTGTCGAGGACGAGAAACAACCCTTTTTGAAAGAAGGCAACGAAGAATCTGATGAAAATTCACCAAATCACGACTTACACGTCATGTATTTTGTTTTATTGGTGTTGCCTACTTGGTCTATTTTTTTTGCTTCAATTTTAACGACTTTCAAAATGGATTAAGCAATTTTATGTATAATTTCGGTTGCCACAGAACTCCAACTAAACCATTAGAACAACATCCAATTTTCAGAAACTTGATTAATATTCTTGATACCAGTGGCACTGAAGAAGAAGGTACTACCAAATCCAAGGAGATCATTAGCGTAACAAATCCATTTGTTCCAAACCCACGATATGGAAAACCCGTGTATTCAGCCAAGTTGCTCCATCACAAATTCGGAAACAGTTGGGGAAAACCAGCAGTTGTTAATTTCACTGTTCCATCTGATATTTCATTTGAAGCAGTTGTGTTGACTTTACATACTGAGGTTGATGGAGTACAATTTGACAGATTAGCCAATTTGTTTGTTGATGGAGTTCAAGTCTGGAGAACATCTACTATTGAACCAAGTGGCCGTAAAAAATTCAGTGATTTCAAGAAGGATATCAGTAAATACTCCAAGCTTTTCAAGAAGGATAATGTTCAGATTTTGTTCCAGTTGGATAACTTGTTGACTGATAAATTGACTGGTGTTTTTGATATTACTTTATCTGTTGATTTCTACGAGTTCCATGGCTTTGGTCCTCATCACCACGACAGACCACATCATAAAAGACCACACCATCGTAAAGAGCAAAATGATGTCAATGAAAAACGTGAATATGAGGGTGATAGCGATGATGAGAATATCAAAGATGGTCACCATGGTATGAAACATCATAAAGGTGGAATGTATCATGATGATAAGGAAAGACATAATAACCATAAGGAACCAAAGCACCCAGACCATCCACCACATGGCCCTCATCACAGATTCCATAAAGAGCGTGAAATATTTTCCATTGCTAAACCTGCTGATAAAATCTACCCATTGACCATCAGCTCTAAACCAAACGAAGCTCCTGTTGTTTATCTTGCTTCTGGCAGACTTGCTGTTGATTTACCAAAAGTTTCCAAGAACACAACTCGTTTGCAACTTTCCATCTTCACTTCAGGTAACGCAGCTGACGAATTCTGGTACTCCAATGTAATTGACAAATTCAGAGATGTTTTTGCAGATGATGGTAACCAATTTATTGGCAGAGGACCAGCAAGAGCTGTGAATGTTTACTTCAACGGTAAAAAGATTGTTACCCAAACTCCAGAACCTGTAATTTTCACTGGTGGTATCTCTCCAGCATTGTGGTCTCCTGTGGTTTCGTTCAACGCCTTTGACGTTCCATCTATTGATGTGGATATCAGTGGCTTGTTGCCGTATCTTTGGGAGCACCAAGCTTCTCAGGACACAGTCTTGGAAATTGAAATTAGTAACGGGTTAGGTGAAATTGGCAAGGATGACAAATCAACAGTCAATGAAAATTGGATCACTACAGCTAATTTGTTGACTTTTGAAAATGACCAAGTTGTTGAATCATCTGGTGAAGTTGTCAACAGTGAAAGCATTGCAATCGGGAACTTGGTTGCTGTTGCACCTTATTTCACTCGTTCATTCCAACAAATTGTGGAAGTTATTTTAAAGACTCAGATAATCAGTGATATTAAATTGAAATTGAAGGATGGTAGAGTTTTAAATACCACCATCAGCACTTATTGGCAGGCCGAAATTGCGAATGTTCAAAATTATGGAAGCTCTGGCGATCGTCAATCTATAGTGCACGTTGGTCATTCAACACAATCATTTGTCATTCAGGACAATGATCTCCCAACTTCAGGAGATGCTATTATCAACAAGCACAAGAATGCAGTTCCTGAAAATGCAATTGTATCAGTCAACACATCATTGAGTTACCCCTTGGTTCTTAATTTAAATCTATTATCAAAGAAACTTTTCGATGACAATGAGTTCTTTGTTGATTATGATGTAAAGCTAGTTCATTCCAAGGGTGTCGATATTTCTTTTGCACATGATCGTGGAAGTATCAGTAGTTCCGCTTCACAGAATGGTAAGTCCAGGTTCTTCTTATCATCAAAGGGAAACCATGGAGCTGGTGCAACAACTTCTAAATATGAATCTAAATTCAAATTTGGAAGACATGGCAGAGAGTACCTGAGAGTTGTTGATGCAGTTAATGGAACAATTGTGTCAGATAAAACAGATACCCATAGAGATGACAGCAAAGACAACTTTGCATCTGTTGTTGACGTTGTTGAAAATACATCAAATCAAGAGAGTGCTTTCGAGTTGTCTGAAAGAATTTTAAAAGCATTGAATGGGAAGCATACTGACAGAGCAAGAACCCCGTGTCATGGAAACAAGGGGATGAGAGGCACGAGAGGTCACCATGGAGATGTCAGACACCCGGGATCTCACTAATCTATTACCGTCATTGTTTTTAGTCTATATTGTTTTTTTTTTACTTTTTTGTTATAGTTTAAAATATAAATACTCTGTCTAACCAAAACCCGCCCATTCTATAGAGAATGTCAATGGTTGCGACTCTTGAAAGAGCTCCTCTATAACTTCATCATTAACTGTATTGTGTTTCTTATCAGAAGGTTCTCGTTCGCCTATCAAAACCAAATTCTTCTTGACACTGGTTGCTAACCTTCCACCAACAACAATTTCGTGCACATCAGCAAACTCAAATTTCACTATAGAATAAGAGTGGTAACGCAATGGATCACCAGGATATATGACTAAATCACCACCAAATTTCAACCCAGGATTGATGAAATATCCCTGATTTTGTAGGTAGTTATAATATTTGTTATATTTTATGAACGTATCAATTGTCAAACTAGACAGGGACAAGTATTTCGTGATATATTCGGGAATAGGAACTTGGTACTGTTTAGCCAATTCAATATCAGATGATTCTTCAGAATTAGATGTAGAGATCAAATTTCCTGAATAGTTCTTGTTATCTATACTACTGGTAACCCTGGCATTTCTGTATTTCTTTTGATCAACCAAAAGGGCTTTCTTGTTTTTAACTAACCATAACACTTCCCAAATGACAAGTTTCAATGGAACAGAAAGGAATATGTTTTGTTGTGGATATTGTTGTAATGTACCTGTGAGTAGACCAAGAATGTTGTAGTCGTTTCTCAATTTCTTGATATCGTCGATGTTGAATATGAGGACTTCTGGCTCCGAGTCACAGTAAACTAGGGGTAGGATTATTGGTTTGACTGATTCTATTTCATTGCTCATAGCTGTAAGGTTGTTAGATTTGATTACAGAACCCGATGGATTACTACAATTTTTTTTCTTCTGCCTGGTTTGGTTTTTCCGTTGCAGGCTTCATGTTCGCTACAAAGACAACTTTGATTGCAAAAAAAAAAAAATCTTATGTATTCAGTATATACCTAGCTTAGGCACCAATGAATTGTTTATAAGCATCAATAACAGACTCTTCCAAAGAAATCAATTCAAAACCAAGGATTTTATTAGTTCTAGAAGAATCAATTTTAGAAACAGCGTTTTCAATGATTTGATCGCTTCTGGTCAAGTCACCGGAAGGACCTTGGTAATCTGGGAAGTTCTTCTTAATAATATGAGCAGCCAAGTCAGGAGTAAATAATTCATTTGATAAAAGCAATCTTTTATTGATTGCTTCATCTTTTTCAAAGCCGACTAAATGAGCTTTGGCAACATCACGAACATCAACCAGAGCACCAGCCAATTGCGGAAATTGGTCATCAGCTTTTAATCTAAAAATTCCAGCAAGAATCTCTGACAGAGAGTTCAACTTAGATTTATCTTTAATTTCATAAGCTTGTGGACCAAAGACAATAGATGGGTTAACTACTGAAACTTGAAAATGTGGTTCTTGGGCCTTGACAAATTCCCAAACAGCTTTTTCAGCAAATGTCTTGGATACAAAATAAGATTTTGAAGGTTCGCTTATACCAATTTCAATGGTACATGGATTCCAATCATCCTCGGTAAAGACCTTATCTTTAACAAAGTCTAAACCAGGAAGGATAGCAGCAGTAGATGATGTAACAACAAGTCTAGAAACATTGGTACCGTATTGATTAATTGCATTCAAAACATTCTTAGTTCCTTCAATAGCTGGATCAAGAACATCCTTCTTTGGATCAGTAGTATCAAATACGACCGGAGAAGCAGCATGAATGAAAACAGTTATCTCTGGGTGGTCTTTCAATGCTTGATCAAATGCATCAACAACACTGATATCAGGAATAACGACGTAGCTGAAATTCTCAGAATTCACCAAATCTTTGAGATCTTTACCTTTTGCTTCAGATCTGGCAGAACCGATCACTTTATAGCCATTGGTTAATAATTCTTTGACAATATGTTGGGCAATATAACCAGTAGCGCCAGAAACAAAGACAGTAGTTGATGAAGACATAATTTAAGTAATTGGGTTTTAGTAGTAGCTTAGTTTTAGCTTTAGTATTAGTTTTAGTTCTAGTTTTTTATAAGTTCTTCCTATGAATCTCAATGGATAGGCGAATGATACTTCTATTTATAGCTGTACTGTCAAACTTCTGACCGCCTTCATTTGTTTCAACATAGATAATGTTACTTTTGTGCTCTATTCTACAGTATGAACGACTACATTAAAAACAAACACATAATAATATAGAATAACTGATTAACAAATAAGTCTACTTTTCATAGGACCAAAAAAGCCATTAAAAGTTTATTATTTAATTCCCCCGTGGCACGGAGGTGATCTAACGGCTAATTACTCGATCAGGTAAACTCCGCGACTCTGACAAACACCATTCGCTCATAAGCGGATTTAAGGGCCACAGCAAAGTTTGTTGAATAATAAAACTGTGCTTAAGTGGATTATCTCCGGAAAGGTCTAATTCGTATAACAGGGACAACATCATCTTCGTCAGTGTTCACTTGTGTAACCTACGGTTATGGTGGACATTTTACGATGTCGTGTGTCTTTTACCTGCGACATTTTTTTGTTGATCTTTTAACGTGTTAATTTTTTTTTTTTCACTCATTCAACGTTTACCAGGGTACATTTTCAATTCAAATACCACCAACAATGGAACGAGTTAGAGGTACCAGGAAGGGTAGTACTTTTGTATCTTTCAACGACTTACATATTTCAGATACTACATCAGAATTGAAAACGAAATACCAAAATGCCAAAACACCAAACGATCTTTACAATTTAATAGACCAGATTGATTCAGCTATGTCAAATATAGATAACAATCTTAATAATTTTACAACATTGAATAGTAAGAAGGTTCAACAAGATATAACAAATATAGAGATGATGAGAACTAGTAAATTATCATCAACCATCACAAACTCAAACAAATTAAATGGGATATTTTCAGGAGCCAACGATTTGGGACACAAATTGACTTATAAGATTAAATCATTAGATCAAGAAATTGGGAATGTAAATAAGACTTTGGAATTTGTTAATGACATACAATTACTCAAGAATAATATCAATCAAGCAAATTATGCTATAGAACACAAGAACTGGGAATTGGCGGCACAATGTATACATACCATAAACTCAAAAATCCCTGCTGAATTAATCTCGGGAAAATTTGCATCAGTTGTTATCCCATCTACAGATATACCCGAATTACCAACTACAGCAATAGCAAATTGGACTGATGAGTTAACAGAGGTTTTCAAAGAGCAATTCAATGATGCAGCTAAGGAAAGGAATGTTCCTCAATTAACCAAGTTCTTCCAGTTATTCCCATTAATCAACCAAGAAGAAATTGGTTTGAATTGTTACTCCAAGTTTATTTGTGAAATTATTAATGAAACTTCTAAGAATCTCACTAAAGGTTTAGAAAATGCTCATGACTTAAAACCTGGTATATTTGCGACCATCATCATGCAATTGTTTGAGAATATTTCCATGATGTTGTCCCAACATGGCCCATTAATTAAAAGATATTATAGTGAAACATATCCTCTGGCATTATCGTATGTGATTAGTAAAATTCAAAGAGAAGTTGATTTGCAGGTAGGCATTATAGCCGATACATTTTATGATTTGAGAAGGTTGGACAAATATTTCCAAGACATAAAATTGTATTCGTTCCCAATATTAACTAAGAGGTTAGCAGAGTTGAAAGAACAAATGAATCAGGATCAGGAAGGTTATCGCCTGAGTTTTGAGTCCTCTGATGACTTGTTACCAATCAGAAATATCGGGGATTTGATCCAAGAGCTTTCTTCAATTTTGGAAAACTGGTCGTTGTACTGCAAATTTATCACCGTTAAATATTTAGAAAACCCATCTACAGATCCATCAAAAGAGGTTACGTTGAATTTACCTGACTTGATTCGTAAATCAACATTTACAAAGAAAATCAACGAAAAGCTTTTACCTTCATTTGAGAAGTTGAATAATTTCTATTTCCGTCGTTCTTTAGAGAAGGCGATCACTATTGAAGAATTGGCTTCCTTGGAACAATACTTGCTGATGAGCAATGAGAAATCAATTAGTCCAGACCCAGTTCCTGTCTCGTCCGTTGTTGAAGACTTGACATTAGTCTTGAATACAACATTGCGTAACATCATTCAATCAGGACTTCCTACGTCAGTAAAAAGTTTTATCAATGAATGTTACAGTGTCGTGCAACAAGATTTGATTAATGGGTTTTTTATCAAGAACTTGAACGATAATCAACCTCGATACAACCAAATTTTATCATTAGTGAATCCTAATACAGCTGCTAATCGTACTGCAAGTCCAATCAGTAGAAGTACTACCCCTGATCCACAAAGTGCCGCTGGATTTTTGAAAGGAGCATCAAGTGCATTGGGTAGTGTTGTTGGAGGATCAGTAAGTAGCTTACAGACCACACCAAATAGTCCAAAATTGTTGAACTTTATAATGTATTTGAATACATTGTCGATGGCTCAGGAATATTTCACCAAAGTATTTGACAATTTGAACAAAACTAGTTACTTACTGGCATATTTTCCATTTGGTAAGGATCAGGAGAAGATTTCCAATATTTTGCAACAGGATTTCATAATTCCATTCACAAGTATGAGCAATAAAATAATATCTGAAAGTTTGATTAATTTGTATAACCAACTGATTAAACATAGATTATTACTACTTGTCAACGAATTCTTTAGTGATGCACAAACAAGTAACAATGAATCTAACTATGTTATTTATTCATCCAATAACATTAATGATCCAACGACTTTGATTAAATTCACTTCAAACTGGCAATCATTAACAAAACCATACTTTCAAACTTTACATAAACCGATTTGGAATAAAATCCTTAGACTTGTGGTAGTCAACCTTACAAATTTATTAGAAAAGAAATTATTGTTTAACCTTAACAAGTTCAAGATCAATGAATTGGGCTCAATTAAATTAGAAAAAGATGTTTCATATTTGATTAATGAAATTTGTCAAGACAATTATTACTTGCGTGAAAAATTTGTGAGACTTACACAAATTGTTTTATTAGTTGGTATGGACGATGAAGAATATGAAGATAGTAACCAACCAGTTACAAAAGCTCACAAGCGTTCTGAAATTAAAGAGAATGGTGATGAGTTTGATGATGATGAAGAAGAAGACGAAGAGGACGAAGAAGCTGGTATCAATTGGGTATTGACACCACAAGAAAGAAACCAAATTCGTAAATATCGTATTTAGAATAGATCTAGCATTAATTAAAAACATACACACATTCTATACACTTTCACTTTCCTCTTCTTTGACCTCCTTATTATCCAGTTTATGTGTCATCTGTATCAAATTATCTGGCCTTATTCTTAAATTCAAGTTATGGAAGTCAAATTTTGGATGAGTAAATTCACATTCAGGACCCTTTGGACAAAACCCATATAAATATAATGGACAAAGTACTCTTCGTACATGACGATTCTTACAATTTGGTCCATCACTACAGAAACCTTGATTATAATTAACACATTCAGGTATTTTCAGCTGTGGATCAACATGTAAATATAAACATTCAGAAGTTTGTGTACAATATCCATTCTTGGAATAGAATAAACATTCAGGCATCTTTCTTAAATTGTACTCATGTAAGAACTCACAATGATCACCTTTTTTACATAGCCCTCTTAACCAATGTTTACATACAATTTTATTTGAATACATAGCTGATACATGTTTGTTGGGACAATTATTACCTTGAGGACAAGAAGTCTCAGGATTCATGGGGTTGTAAAACTGGCATACTGGACGATCGGGATCAAGACCAAAATTATATTCTTGTCGTAAGAACGGTTCAAATTTAAAATGTCTATTGGATGTATTTGGATGTATAACTGAGTTCGACTGTAGCATTGATATTAGATATAGATTGAATTGATTATTAATCTTGGAGGTATGTTTTTTAGATGGTTGGTTATTTTTTTTTTCTTCTCTCTCTCACACACACACATACTTGCCTTGGTTTCAGAAAGACGTGCACGATGGCAAATAGTTTTTGATGATTTGCACACACTTGGGTACACCACATCACCTTAGAGAACGCGCCAGGTGAGAAAGGAGATTTTGTTACACAAAAGAGGAAATCATACCATTCAATCACTTACTCTCCGCCCCAATGAGTGTAGTATAAACGACCAGGAAATTTTTCATAAGATTTGCATAAACTAATCAGTTGTTCTTTTCCCAATATTTCAAAGTTTGTCCCTGCTTTAAATTTACTATTTTGGGTAGATATTTAATTTTCAGTTTACTCCTGTTTCTTTCTTTTTTTTTTTATTCTTTCCTAGCCCAAGGGGTACTATTTTCAATATTCGATTCTTTACTACGTTTAGAAGATATCTACTTATTTTAGGTATCAGTTTATTATTAGTTTACAGTAACTCCGCATTGTATCAATTGGTCAAATCAAGTGCATCCAAACTATTGTTATCATTTTCATCAAGTTTTTCAACTTCATCCACGGTAAATATGAGTAAATCGATTGCCAAATTTGATACAATTGTCATTGGATCTGGATTAGCTGGTTTAACAACCACTTATCAATTACTTAAATCTGGTCAAAAAGTATTGTTATTAGAAAAATGTGAAAAATTAGGAGGTAATTCCATTAAAGCTTCTTCTGGTATCAATGGTGTTCCAACTAAATATCAACCACAACCACAAGTCGACTCCATTGAATCATTTGTTGAAGATACTTTGAGATCTGGTAAAAATTTAAATGACAAAAAGATGGTTGATATCTTGACTCAGAATTCTAAAGATGCAATCAACTGGTTGAATGATGAAATTAATGTTGATTTAACCAACGTTGTCTTATTAGGTGGTCACTCACATGCTAGAACTCATAAAGGTGATAAATTACCACCAGGTTTTGCCATTGTATCTGGATTGACTAAGAAAATTGATGGTATTCAACAAGAAAACCCAGAAAAAGTCACAATCCAAAAGGAATCTGCCTTGAGCAAGATTTTAATTGAAAATGGTAAAGTGAAAGGTATTGAATATGAAGATAAAGATAAAGCAGCCCATCAAATTGAAGCTGATAATGTTGTTTTAGCAACTGGTGGATTTTCTGCCGATTTGAGTGCTACTTCATTATTGAGAAAATATAGGCCTGATTTAGTTCATTTCCCGCTGTCCAATGGTGCTCAAACTACTGGTGATGGACAAAAAATTGCCGAACGTGATGTTAATGCCGAATTGACTCATATGGATAAAGTTCAAGTCCACCCAACTGGATTTATGAAGTTGGATAATCCAAACGAAGGTTGGAAATTCCTTTGTGGGGAACTTATGAGAGGTATTGGTGGGATTTTACTTTCCCCAATGTCTGGATGGAGATTTATTGATGAATTACAAACTAGAGATGTTGTTACTGATGCTGTTTTGAGTAAATCACAAATTCCAAGTGATAACACGATTGGCTTGAAAGCAGAAAACGGATACGGTTCTATTCTTGTCATTGGTGGTGATGATTGCACCAAGGCTACTTCACATATTGGTTTCTACAAATCTCAAGGTTTGTTAAAAGAAGGATCTCTTGAAGATTTGTTTGCATTGTTGAAACAATTAAACCCTAATGTTCCTTTGACTCTTGAACAATTTAAAGAAAACTTTGCTGATCTCAACCAGGTTGTTGATGGTAAGAAAAATGATCCGCTTGGTAGAACTAATTTTGGTGGTCAATTTGGTGAAGAAAAATTATGTTTTGGTGTCACCACTCCAGTTGTTCATTTCACTATGGGTGGTATCAAGGTTAACTCAGACAATGCTAAGGTTATGACCAAATCCGGTGAAACCATTCCAAACTTGTTTGCTATTGGTGAAGTAAGTGCTGGTGTTCATGGTAATAACCGTTTAGGTGGTTCTTCATTGTTGGAATGTGTAGTATTTGGAAGATTTGTTAGTGAGAAAATTATCTCCCAGATTCCATTGTAAGACTTGTGTGTATATGAGAGTATATGAATTCTACAATAATGACTTTTTTTTTATAATATATAAATGGCTTCGAATTCTTATTTCCATTCACCAACAAACATATTATTATAATAATTTGTATTATGTATATTTACTATGTGAAATAAAATTAAAATAATAATAATAAATGCCTTTTGAAAATTGTATGAAGCCAAGTCATATTATATTACACCAATTTGAAAAGTAAAGAAGATATGTTTTACCATAAACTTCAATGTAGTTTGTTTTTATGTTACTTTTTTTTTATAATTCATTATATTAAACCATCCCCTACACAGTGACTAACTTAGATGTTAGATGGGTACAACATGATTCTAACGGAAGCACCGAAAGTCTTTGGTGGCAAGTTCTTCTTGAAGTTAGCTCTGACTAAACCATTGTTACCGTGAGTTCTGGTAACTTTACCCCAGATGACTCTGATCTTAGAACCTCTAATTTCCTTTGGAGCTCTGTAAACGTAAGCAATTCTTTTACCTAAGTAGAATTTGGCATCTTTGGCGGCAGCAACACCTTCGATTTGAATCAATGATACGTTAGGGTTGGTAACGGATTTAGAACGTTGGTAAGAAATGTGTTTACCTTTAACGTATACTATAATATTAATTGTTAGTATTTTTTGTTTTCAATATTCTAGTGAACAATTTCAAATATGAACTAATAATCAATCAAGTTTGGATTATATTTCATTGGTCATGATATGTACCTCTTATTAGGTGTGAAAATTTTTTTTCCTTCTATAACATGAAAAAAACACGTAATAGTATGACAATACTGTAGTTCTTTGATATCCATTTTATCATCCTTCAAAGTAGAATTTCTCAACTCGTGGTGGTTTTTATATAGTGGTTGGTAGAATTTTTCATTTGACTATTGGTTTGCTTGACAATTTTTTTTCATTTCATTATTTCGATTCCATATCTTCCGCTATTGATATCCATTAGTTCAATATTATTCATTCTCTCATTTGAAACATACATCTGTGTGATTCAGCCATTGTTAATTACTATAGTTATCTTAAATGGTTTTATAAGAACAAGGTTAAATTAAATTTTTTTTGTTAACAAACTGTTGATAGTGATTTTTTTTTTTTTCGCGGTAGTTTCGCACTCGCTCGCACTCTGCAGAACGGTATAGAATTTCCTTTGGTATTTTGTGAGAGAAACTGAGAAAAAGTTGTGCGTGCACATTGTCAAGAAAAAACCAAAAACTTTTTCTACTGGTTTTGATGCTACATCAGAAAATAGCCCTAATAAAACACACGTGACAAGCCCTAATGCCAATTGCGAAGACAACGAAAAATTCTGTATGACTGCAAAAAAAAAAAAAATCAAAGTTGCACATAGGTCCCAGAATGAATTTAAAATTTATATGAAAGTTGTTTATATTTAAAATACTTTATTAAAAGAAACAAAAGAAAAGAAAATAAAAATATGAATCAGTGTATACTAAATAAATTGTTACTTGCTAAGGTCAATGAAAGAAATGAAACAGTTGGCTGTAGATGAGTATTACTTCTCTCTCTCCTTTCCATCTAAAATTTGATTTCCTTTTCAGCATCCAATTTTTGTTTGTTGAATCTCCAATGTTTAGCTTCACCATGATCGTATTTGGATTTCTTCAAAGTTCCAGATGGTGCATTGTAAATTGACAAGTTGGCCATGTTTGTTAAGCTTGTAAACTCATCTTTAACTGGTTCACCATTTTTGTCTAAATAGTCTACCTTGTCAAACCATCTAGTTTCCCAAGAAATACCGGCTCCTTTTTCAGATTTTCTCAATTCACGTTGTTGGTTTTCAATTAATGATTTTTCTTCAGCAATCAAGTTGTAATCTGATTTTTTAATGGCTTCAGCAACTTTAAACCATGCTTTTCTAGATTCTAATGGGTTTTGTTCTTCAATTGGTTTGACCTTTAAATGGTGGGTAACGTTTTTACTAGCATCGTAGAAAACTTCGTCCTTCGAAGTTGGAGAAGAGTATCCTTTGGCAATATAAGATTTACCGGACCATTGTCCTTGAATAGAAACCAATGCATTTCCTTTGTCAGCACTAGCCAATTCATCACGGTAAATTCTAGCTTTGAAAGTGTTCTTCTTACCGGAAATCCACCCACGTCCACTGTATTCAATAACAGCAATGTAACCAGTAGATGATTGAATAAATGAAGTACCTTCCAATTCAACAAATGGTGAGGCGGTGATTAAACCTTCAATATGCAATGGTGGCAAAGTGACCAAGAAGGTTTCACCAATTTCTGGATGTTCAAGTAATGCATGACCATATTGTTTAATATTAATAGAGGTGGTGGAAATACTAGAAGTGATACCATTATAACCTTGTAACACAATATTGTGTTTCTTGTTCTTGACAGCATAAGCAGTAACCGGTGGATGGTGACTAACTTGTTCAGAAACCAAATCGGTTTCGCCGGTCTCTTCACCTTCCCATTTACCAACAAAAAGTTCACCTAAGAATGGATTTAATGGTTTCTTTTCACTTCCCATGGTTTCATTCCTAGAGCAATATTGAGATTTCAAGGTGGAGATAAACCATCTAGTAACGGCAATCATTTGTTTTAATGTGATAGCTTCTGATTCTTCTTTAGAAGGATTGGCAGTAGTTTTAATTAAACTTGGAGCAACAAATAAATCTGGATGTTCAGCCCAGTATTGAGAATATTCAACCAAGGAAGTTGGGGATAATATAAAAGGTGGCGCTGTCAAAGAAGACAAATCACCATTGAAGGAAGCAATTGACTTTAAGAATGAAGTCCATGATGATGATTTTGCATTAGAAGAATTATCTGAATTTGACATGATAAACCAAGTTTGAATTAGATATTAAAGTGTATTTAAATAAAGTTGAAAAAAAAAAATTGGTGATAGTGAAGTGCAGGGAGAATACGAGGGGTTGGAGGGATCGGATTCAAGTTAAACGTCTTCCTTTGATAAATGATCAGTGGTTTTTCAAATAGCAATTACCAAAAACAAAATAAACACGTGCTAGTAGTAGTTTGGTAAAAAAAAAATTGACAACTTAAACTGTATAAATCTGTGTATATATTTTCTTTTTATTCTTTTAAAAAAAGAAGATGCAACGACGAATGGTATCTTTGGTAGGAGAATGTGGAATGTGATGTCGTAGAGTTTTTATCGTTCTTTTTTTTTTTTCTTTTGCTGTTGTTCTCTCGTTTCCTCTCGGCTCGGTGTATTGTTTGTCGTATGGAAATGCGGTATTTGTGGTGTATAGGGAGAGAAAGCCAACCACAAGTGTTGCTTGCTTAATGTCGTCTTTCGAATGGCAAGGGTTACGTAAGTCTCGCGACACTTTGACTACAATTATGGATCTTTCGGGTTACTTAATATAGAATCAATTATATATGAACTAGACTGAAATTTATGGTATCACGTAACTTGTATTTATACTCTAAAGCTTAATGTATATCTTCTTTTTATTTAACCATAACGCAGTGACAGTCCAGATGAGACTATAGCCAATCAACACAATTGTCGAAATTGTGTTATTTGCTGCCAAAGTGTTCATAGACATGTTGACTAAACCAGTCAACAAGTTCCCAAGTAGAAATATAAATAAACCATTGTTGTTAATGGAGTCCAATATTGGTGAAGTCTGATCTCCTGGAACAATTTTATCAACCAAATTGTAACACAATAAGAAGACGGCATTATATGAAACAACCCATAAAACATAAGGGAAGTTGGCCAATCTTCTGGAGATATTTTCAAAGTAATCTGAACCATTCACCAAGTTGAAGATCAATTGGTAGAATATACTTGCAATTAACAAACCCTGAGTGGTAGTAACACTAAATATAGTAAATTCTTTCTTTTTGGCAACTTTGGTTTTACTTATAATGACCAAGTTGTTTTTGGTCTTGTAACTTGTAAGGACAAAAGAGCCAAATGATTGACCAATAATAAAAATAGAAAGATAGCCAATGAAAGAGAAAATGCCTTCTTTATTCATGGTGATTAACGAATCCATTCTGTTATCACTACGCAAAATAAAGTTCAGTAAATCGGTTTTACTTAACACTATCTCATACGATAATGAGATCACAATTGCAATGATAAATCTAGGGAATAAATTCAAAAATGGATCCAAAATAGCCAAAAAAATTGGTAAGAAACCCAAAGTGAAGAAAAAATTCCAATGAATTCCATATTCAGTTTCATGTTCTTGATATTCCAATTGTTTAACACTGATTAAACGAATGATCCCCAAACCAAGAATTGGAATTGACTTGATGAGGTTCTTTTTGATGTTGGATAGGTATTTTCCAACACTAAATGAATACTTTCCTGTATAATTTTTAATCAATTGACGTGCATTGGCTAAACCCATAGAAAACACAAATGATCCAACACCCAAATCCATCATGGAGGTACCCCATGTTTCAACTTTGGCAAATCTTCTTGGGAAAATACGGAAATCAACAGCTAAAATAGCTAAATTTGTAATGATCAACATTTGCGATCTGTATGCAGTTATGAATTGTTTTTTAGGCAAGAAATCCTTAGATTCATCTGATTCAACTTTAGTTTTTGAAGTATCACGTGGTTCCACATAGTAGTTAAATACATATATCACCAAGGAAGGAATAACAATGAAGTAATGCAAATATGTGGGGTTGTTGCTATAACTTGTAATTGCAACCAAAATTGTGAGAACATTGCAAATGAAATCATAAACAAAAGATAATTCGCCAAATGTTTTTTTCAACATTCGGTACGACAAATAAGCTGATAAAGCTACCCCTGTGACATTATAAATTTCTTCAATTGAACCTCCAGTCAAGTCTGAAACAAATTGTTCTTTCAATTGTTTTAAAGTTGATGCCATGACGACCAAAAATTCAGTATAGTGAGAATAAAAATCTGAAAATACTCTTAGAATAAGGGGGCGGATTCAAGAACAACAACAAAAAAATAAAGGAATGTAATTTAGATTTCTCGATTTCGTACAAAAGGAATTGGGACGGTAAGGAGGAGGAGTATATTATCCAATTCAGATCACTTGAATGGCTAAGACTAATGAGTTTGTGGGGTGGAGTAATATACTAAATAACTTAAGAAGTTGTACACGTGAAATCAAAATTTTCTAAAACAGAACTCTCATAGTTTTTTTTTTTGGTTGTCATTATAATTATTCTTGGTTGTAAACTTGAGCAAAGAAGAAAAATTTTCTTTATTTTCTGTCGCAGTTGTTAATTTTGTTTACTGCCTCTCCACGCCCAAGAATTTCATTTTACAATTCGCATTAGACTTTGCGTAGCACCACCCATCCCGTGCCAGGGATTTCAATAAACTGGAAGAAAGAAAGAAAGAAAAAAAATATTCTGTCACATTTCCTTTTAAACAACCAAGGGGACGATCAAAAAAAAAAAAAAAAAAAACAGAGAAAATAATAAAATTAGTTGATTTCATTAATTAATATTAATATAATCGTTAAAGTTTTAGTTTCCAGTTAGAAATATCATCTTTTTATGCATACTTTCAACAAGTCATACGACTATATATTTCACGTTAATCAACTTACTTCATTATAATTATCACTACATTTAATATTGCCCAATCAAGAAATATCCACATTTACAACATAACACAACCACAACCACAATTAGAACTACAAACAACAATAAGATTACCTGAATCAATTAACAATGGAAATATCTTCTAATTCGTTCATTCAACAGAAAGAAGAGGAAGAGGTAGACAGGTCGAATTCAATGCTGAGTTTGAACTCGTCTAGTATCTCCGAAGATAGATTAGCACATGAAAATGAACTTGATGAAATGGCTTCTTCCCCAACTAGCAGCATCAATTACTTGTCTTCATCGTCTACAAAATCACCACCCCCATCTCCTTCACCAGGGTCATCTCCACGATTAGCAAGTACCAAACAAATTCTAAAGATGATGGAATTGTCTAGCACAACACCATCAAGTCTACTGACAGAAAGTGTGGTGCTCTCCGATTCAGATGAGAAAAGTTCTTTGGATTTTGAATCTGAAAGAGGTCTCAAAACACCTACAAAAAATACACATAGAAAACTGTTTCTGCCACCAAGTTCTGACGATGATGAAGAAGGAGTAATTGATTTGACTAGATTAAGAATATCATCTCCTGATGTAAATAGACGAAGAAAGAAATCTAGAAAGAGTCGTTCTGAACAACAGGAAGAGAACGAAGATGCTGATGATGAAGGCAATACTGGTAAAAAGTCAAGGAGATCTTCGACCAGTTTGTCTCCTACCAGAAAAAGTAGAAGAACAAGAGATAATAGTTCAACTCCCGACTCGGAGACCAATAAATCAACTAGCACCAGAAGAAGGTTGAGAAGAAAATCAAGAGATAGCGATAGAACAAACCGTTCAGAGTTTTTTGGTACTGGTTATACGTCAATGCCAACTTCTGGAAAAGTTTTCAGAAATTTGTTGATTTTAGAAGAAAGTCTTCGTCAGCAGGTAATTCAACAGAGAGCCATGAGACGTAAATATTTGACATTTCTTAGTATTTTATGTTCCATCATAGCCGCATTATCGCATCATTTATTTATTATGGATAATTCATCAACGGGAACTTTGAGAGTTATCTTACAATTTTGTTTACTTGCTACAATTACCACTTTGCTATTATATCATTTATCTGGTGAATACCAGAAAACTATTGTATTACCAAGAAGGTTCTTATCGCTGACAAACCAAGGAATACGTCAATTAAATGTTAGATTGGTTAAAATAAAAACACCTTTTGTTGACAAAGTTACTGATTTCATTAGAGAAATTCTGTTGGCAATTATTAATTTTGACTTGAATATCTTTCACAAATTATTTCCCGGGTGTATTCAGAACAAAAATTCACGAATTGAAGTATTCTTAGTGACCTGTCAATCACAGTGTCAACCAAGAATTGGTGTCACTGATGTTAAATTGGTATTAAATGCAAGAGTATTTAATACTAATATTAGAGAAGGTTGGGAAATGTACAGAAGTGAATTTTGGATCAATGAAGGAATCAGAAGAAGAAATAATATGCTTGCATTTTGTAATGACTCGGGTGCAACTAAGAATGTCAGTTTGAAGAGAAGAAAGAGAAAATCAGTCACACCAAACAAACCACAACCAGTAACAGCTACATTAAGTGAACAGAACTTACAGAAGTTATCACAAGGATTTGATGATTCGAAATTTGAATCCGATCGTAATTTAAGAAGTGAATCTAGCAGTCCATTGAGATCAGAAACTTTAGTTAGTGGGTAAAATTTTTTTTATAGATTTTTGTATCCTTTTATCTCCTCTTCTTGTTCTTTTAAGTATAGCTGGTTTATATGTTAATTTAATGTATGATGAATGTTTAAATTTAATGAATGTTAATATTGGGACTGCAAGTCAACGTGAAAGAAGAGAAAAAATCGAACACAAACACAATACAGAAAACCAAAAAAAAAAAAAAAAATCAAACTCATCTCTCTGATATCCGAATTTTTTATCTTTTTTTTTTTTTAATATCACTTTAGAGATTATTCATACGGTATATACTCCACATATAATCTATTAATACAGACACGATGAGTGAAGATAGTATAACGTCAAAGAAAACAAGTAAACCACAATCATCCAGAAAAGGGAAGAAAGCATGGAGAAAAAATATTGATATTGAAGATCTTGAAAAGAATTTACAAGACAAAAGAGATGAAGAGATTATATTAGGTAAAAAAGAAGAAGATTTTATAATTGATGATAAACCAAGTAATATTGGACTTAAATCAGTTAAAAAATTAAAATCTAAAGAGATTTTAACTAATAAATCTAAAATACCTGCTTTAGTTCATGGTAAACATCAAGATAAAGACAAAAAGAATACTATTCAAGGTGTTAAAAAAACTGATCTTTTAAGATTAATTAAATTAAATGGTGGTAAATTTAAAAGTGAAGATAAGTTGATGAATAGAATAGAACAAGATGGTCTTGTAAGTGGTTCTAGTAAAGATTTATGGGATGATAATGAAGAAGATGAAGAAGACAATAAGAAAATGCCAAAATACATTAAATCTACTGCAGAAGTTACTAAAGCTAAAGTTGTTCCTAAAACATTAAAGGAAACACCAATTAAACTTATTGATAATGATTTAACTCAAAAGAAAATTCATGCTGGTAAATCATATAATCCATCATTGGAATCTTGGAAAGATTTGATTAATCAAGAATATGATATTGAATATAAACAAGAATTAACTAGACAAAAAATGGAAGAGCATCGTAAAATGATTCAAAAATTGGTTAGTACTTTAGATGATATGGTTGTTGATAACCATGATGACGATGATGATGAAGAAGAGGATCAAGAAGCTAAGGAAAAAGTAGGTGAAGAGAAGGATTATTCATTATCTGTGAATAAACCAAACAAATTCAAGATCAAGACTAAAACTAAGAGAAATAAGGAATTGAAACATAAAGAAAGAGTTAAATTGGAACAAGAAATCAAAGATTTGAAAAAACAATTGAAAGATTTATCCAACTTGGAAGAAATTTTACAAAAAGAAGCTGAGAAGGAAGCTGCTAAACCAGAATCCAAGAAACGTAAAAGAAGAGAAAAATTATTCAAACATGAACTTATAGAAACTCCAATGGAAGTTAAATTATCTGATGAGTTAAGTGGTAATTTAAGAAACTTGAAACCAGAAGGTAACTTGTTTTATGATCAAATGTTGAATTTACAATCTAGTGGTAAGGTTGAATCAAGAGTTCCAGTTGCAAAGAGAAGAAAATACCAAAAGAAAATCACTGAAAAATGGACCTACAAAGATTTTAAATAGTTCTTTCGTTTGTTCACTTTTTCATGTTTTATATATATATATATAATAGATAAAAATAATTAATAAATACATTATATCATAACCAACTACGACAATTCCCATTCACCAAATGCATAACCTCTGAATAATCTTTCTCTCAAAACAAAGTATTCATCTCTATATGGAGTCCAGTATCTTTGTTCAACCTTTTCAGCAGTCTTGAATGATTCAGGGGCAACTGCATCACTACTTTGACCTCTTTTAACACCGGTTAATAATAAGTCTCTAGCCATCATTTTTTCATCCCATTCATCTAAATTGTATCTATCGTTTTTCCAACCATTATCCCAATATCTAATGAATTGAACACCATGACCTGCTAATCCAAAGAATGCAGTCATGATAGCATATGGTAATAACCCTTCAAATGGAACTGGCATTTTTTAATTATATATATATATGTCTGTTTATTTGGGGAGGAGGGTTGGTGATAATGTTATATGAATATGTAAAATATTGTATTTGATATTGGATAGTAGTCAAATGAGAGTGAGAAAATTATTTTCTTAGTTCTTTTGATTGGTTCAACTTTTTTACTGAACAAAAAAAGGAAAGAAAACACAATTTGATGCAATATACACGACCCGCAAATTTTTATATATAGTGACTGCAAAAAGTATTGGCGGTGGACCAACTTACGAATATAGAGGTGGATGGTGATATCAAAAAGAAGAAGAAAAAGAAAAATAAAGCCAAGTGTTATTGTTTACATAAGATCTAGGTGATCAATAAATTTAAAAATTGAATTTCTTTAAGTAGGTATTTATTAATAAATTTCGTACAATAATTAGAGTAAACCAAATGCGATTATGAAAGCGTCTTTTGTTTTACTTCTAAAAACAAAGAATTATTGAATGTAGTCACGACTAAAGAGTTTCGTAAACGTATTAGTTTTAGACTTCTCCCAAGATAAGATAATGGAAACATATATCCCACATTGTAAGAATGTCTGTATTATCTGAGACATGTGTTAGTATACTAGATCTATACAATACGAGGATTATCTACAAACCAGGGGAAACAACATAATTAACGATGGTTCTAGTTTCTTTATCAAGCAAAGCGCAACGATAGAGGCTTAATCATTTCTTAGGGGGTCACTAAACTCAGTTTAAGGAGTAATATTTATCATTACCGTGTCATCTATTTATGCAATTTGTGATTGTAAGACATGCAACAAACATTGACAGAAAAGACGATTATGTAATCGCTTTTTCTGCTATTGTTTTTAGTTCAACAAGTGCCATATTTCTTTGCCACGAACCGCTTATGATGATTTTTTTTTTTTTCGGCAACTATCGCCAGGTCGAAACATGCACAATTCTCGAACATGGCTTACTTCGAGCATGGATATGTGCTTATTTATCCGAACGATCGACGCAATTGCAGTTGATTTTCTTCATCGTTAGTAATAACTGATATGATCTAGGCCATCATCATATCCGTTGACAATGAATAATTATACATGAGGAACACAAAAGATGTTGCAGTAATTTTGTATGAACAAAAGTAAGCAAAAAATACATACATGAACAGAGAAAAATTTGTCTAAAAGGGATAATGCATGTACTGACGATACTGTGGGCTATTGATGAAACAAAAAGAGAGTTAAAAATTATAAAAGAACAGGTGAATCCCCCTTGATTGTTTAGGTTTTCCATTCATTTCGTTTTTTTATCTAGTGCAAGTCATAATAAAAAAGTTATGATTCAATCATGCAAAGATCAATGTAGAAAGGTAACTAGAATAATAGGCATTGTTGTTGGAGTGAATTAATAACGACTCCTAGATTAGATATATGTCATAGCATAGATGCACTCACTATTGGTGTACACAATTGGATTGATGAAAGACAAGTCAAAAATCTGATCAATAAACAACCTTACTACCCCACATACTTGAAAGATCTAAAAGTTAGTCATGAACATGATTGGTTTGATGCCAATCTATTGATCTAGGAAACATCAAATCACGTGGGTTGTTGTTGGTTGTCTATATATCACAGGACAATTATATATCTTTCTCGAATACAATTTACGGGCGGATTCCTCACATAGATCCGTGATAACTCCGTCTTTACTTCCGTTCCATAACCATGAAGTTAGAGAAAACGGAAAAAAAAAACCAAGAGAACCAAAGAAGAACAAGAAGAAGAAGAAAAAATAATTTAAGAGAGAGAATTCAATTTGAATGAATGAAGTTTTACGCGAAAATCGAATTAGGATTGCTAATATTATTTATTGTTTTTTAAGGTCTAATTATTAGAATATCATCAATACCACCAAGAACCATGGCTGTGAGGAAGAAATCTAAACTGAAACGTTGTTTGAGTTGCAGACAATTAAAGATAGGAGTATGTTATTTGAGCCACCCCCAATTTGCGATATCACAACTTTGTGTGTTTTGTATTTTTTTTTCTTTGATTTGAACCACGTATTTACTAACATATGTTATTTCTTATTAGTGTGATAGAGGACGTCCATGTGAATATTGTGTTCATACCAATCGTGATTGCGTTTATGAGCAAGATCTAATTGATGAAGAAGAAGAAAAAGAAGCAGGAAAAGCCAAAGAACAGGATAATTTATCTTCGACCTTGACTAATTTGAGTCAAACCTCAGGTGTCACCAATGTACAAGAGTTGACAGTTGGTGATTTAATTACTACTGTAACTCAAGATATCGAACAATCAAAGGAATATATTGAAGAAATTCCAAGAGAATCCAGATTAACCAACACCACCACAATGCTTTCTATATCAAGATTTGAATTATATTTAACTGATTTTTTCAAAGAACGTGGTCAATACATATTCAATTTTAACAATCGAAGTTTTATGAAGGTTTGGTTTATAGAGCTACCGATGTCATTTTCTTACAGTGCTTTGGTTAGACAATCACATTATGCATTTTCTTCATTGATGTTGATGCATTGCCTGAAACCACAAGTTGTTAAAGATATTGCTGCTGCCACTGGTATTTCATCTTCACTGTTGGCGACCAATAATTTTATTTCTCCTTCACAACAACAGCAATTGAAAATAATGTCACTTCAATATTTTGATCAATCAATTTTTGAAATGAAGAAATTACTTGACAATTCATGCACAGTTGAGGGTTCTTATCCTTTACCAATTGCAACACAATTGTTCTTTGGATTGATTTTTCAGTTTACATATTTGGCTTATGATCATTTATCAGTACCACTTTTAACATTTGATGAAATGGAATTGGATTACATTTCATTATGTAAAAGTTATAAAATAGCCACAGGGAAATGTATCAGACCCATTCTTAGTTCACCATTGAAAGAATTGTTTTTATACAGAATGGTTAAATCAACAGTGCCTCCAGAAGATCAAGTCATTAATCCTATCGTAGTGTCTTTGACAGAAGAATTAGAAGATTTAAAAGATACGTATCTGAATAATTCTGGATTTATGAGACAATATGATATTTATAAAACTGCTGTCAATGAAATAAGACAAGGAATATTTTCAACTGCTATGTGTAAATTCCCATTCCCATTTATGTTGTGTTGTTTAGATTTTAGTTCTGAATTGAGAGATTTGATGCATGAAGGACAATATTTTGCATTAAGATTGTTGTATGTTTATTCATGTTTATGTATTTTCTGTAAATTTTACATGGAAAGAGATGCTAATTTATGGACAGATTATATTATTTGGTATAAAGAAAGATCCACATTTTTTGATGGTGGATTATCAAGTGAATTAGATTATTGCTTGTACAAATTGGTTACTGAATCAGATTTTATCATCAAATATGAAAATTTTGAGAGTTTTGACCCAATTACTGAGTGGTGTAACATCGAGTCAAGTAGATAGAATTCTCAATGTGTGTATGTGTATGTGTATGTGTGTTTTCTTTTGTTTGTGCTTGTATTTGTTTTATTATGTATGTATTTAGTAATAGTACTTATTCTTGGTAATGTTGGAAGTATCGATTAAACTTATTCATTTAATTCCCAAACAACTTTAACAAATTTATCCATTCTTACTTTTTCCTTCAGTTGAATCAAACACCATTCATCAGATGCTAATAAATCACCTGGTTTCGGACGTCTTCTATAATCTTTAATTAAACATTTTGAAATAAATGCTTTAAATTCATTTGACCAATAAATATTATCTTCTTCAAAATCTTTTAATTCTAAATGACTTCTCAGAATCATTTCAACTACTTCAATAGGACCCAATGATGAAACAATTGGGAAATCTCCATTAGCAACTTCTAATAATGACATACCTAATGACCAAATATCACTACTTATTGAATAATTACCACCTGTTATTCTTTCAGGTGCCATATAATATTGAGTTCCCACAAATGTTGAAGCAAATGAATTCACAGCTTCTCCACTAACTCCAAAATCACACAATTTAACATTACCTTTAGTATCTAATAAAATATTTGAAGGTTTAATATCTCTATGAATGATATTTTTCAGATGCAAATAATCTAAACCATTTAAAATTGAATTAGCAATTTTACCTAAAACCTTTTCATTTATTCTATTAGTTTTATCCCTTTTTAAAACTTCTTTATAAATACTATCTAATGATTTTCCATCCATATATTCCATTGAAATTCCAATCATTGATTGTTTTTCTAATAAAAATGTTCCATAATATTTAACTATATTTGGATGTTGACATTTTCTAGAAACTTCCAATTCTCGAAATATTTGTTTTTGAATATCTGGATTTGAATCAGTTATAATTAATTTTAATGCAAAAATTTGTTTATTTGGTAATAAATCAGGTAAATAACATTTCGAAACTGAACCTCCATTACCTTCTCCTAATTTACTAATTTCAACTATTTTATTTGAATTTGCCAACAAATGCCAATCATAAGGTGTTAATTGTTCTAAATGATGTTTTGTACTAAACAGATCAACTTCTTCAACTGAATCCACTTGTTGTTGAGTATTATTATTATTATTCATAGATGTTGTTAATTCTTCATCTATATCCATATTCATAGAATCATTATTTTCCATATTTGTATTTAATTCGAGGTGGTGGCGGTTTTCGTTTCAATGGTTTAATTGTACTACTAGATGATGCAGATGATGACGTAACAGGAGTGGATACAATTGGTGAACTTGTTGGATATTGCAGCGTTGTTACAATTTGTTGATTTGTTTGTGATTGTGGTTGTTTAAATGGAATATATTGATCTTGTCCATTACTTGATTTTGTAGATATATTTGAATTAATACTCAAATTCGATCCATTATTGTTATTATTTGTAGAGACTAGTAATGAAGGTTTAGAATTTTCTTTATTGTTGGTTCCTGGAGGAATAGTTAAATTAGGTAATACTCTATTACTTGAAGTCTTTTTGGTATTTGGTATATTGAATAACGGAGGAAATCCTGACATTTTGATATCCTTGATCTATCTTTGTGTCTTAACTAGTCAAGCAAAAACAAAAACAAAAATGATGATGAACACTCATACAAAAACGAAGTGGAGTTCACTGAAGATGGTGGTGGTTTACAAAAAAAAAAGTCTCCCATTCGATGATAGGCAAAACAAAAAGAAAATTATAAATTGTACACTACGCACAACCAGACACACGCGCAAGCAATTTACGAGACCCCTGTAACAACAAGCTTATATAATTATTTATCTACACAGATACAAAGTATTAACAACTACGTCTTTTGTCTCTTTTTAGTTGCACCTCCGGATGATCTAGCTCTCGCCTTAGATTTAGCAGGTTTCAATTTAATCAACTTATCCTTCTTGTCAATTTTATCGGAATCTTCTCCTTCATCATCATCTGGAACATCTTCCATATCATCATCTATAACGTCTTCAAAGTCAGCCTTTGGAGCAGCTGCTTTTCTACCTCCAACTCCTAATGAGTTACCTGTCTTGTAAATAATTGTAGGATGCATGGCTGCGTTATATTTTCTAGTGAATGCTGCTTTAGTGTTTTTATCTAATTTCATCTCTTTGTTGATCATTTCTCCAATATTGTCCAAATCTTCTTTGGTTAAATAATAATCATCCATAACTTCGATGGCTTCATCAAGACCATCACTACCGAGTTCATTAATTGGTTTAGATATTTTCTCCCACAAAGTGTCTAAATAATCAAGTCTCAATTCTTGTTTTGTAGTTGAAGTTCTGACTCTTGTATGATATTGCAATTCTTGCAACATTCTTTGATACTTCATTTGTTTGGAGTTTTGTCCCAACCAACTACTAAAATTCAATCTACCCAAAACTTGACCAGCAACTTCATATGATGGTTTAACAGTAGACATAATCCCATGGAATGGTAATAAACTCCATTGTTGTTCTCCTGATCTAATCAATGAGTTAACAGTATCAGATAAACTTATATCATCAGCTGCTTGTGCCACATGGTTGAGCGGTTTTCCAGGTAATCTTGGCTTGGTAATTAACAAATTTTCTTGAATCATTAACGGAGAAAAATCAAAATCATTAAAATATAAACTCAACTTGTCATCAATTGTCAGTTTTGGTGCAATCCAAATCCCCAGACTCAATAATCTACCAGCAATATCAAAAGGTTTCAACACAACTTGTTTACTCCAACCTTCTCTGACTTCTTTCATGGAATTAGCACCAATTTCCTTTTGGGTTTTAGAAACTGTTGATAATAAATTGATCATTTGTCTAATATCATTTGATGTCGCTTGTACTAATTGTCCAATAACATTTGGATCTAATTTGATTTTTTCTCTAAAAGCAATTGTCATTAATCTACTCTTAACTTCGTTTTCACTTGGTCTTCTGAATGGAAGGTCATAAGTGACTCTATCAAAAGTTCTCATTTTAGGTAAGGATTTATCATTACAAATCAAAATCATTGGCATTTTTGTAATTTTACAAAATTGTGACAAAGCACCAGCACCACCATGATCACCACTTGACATACCATCAACTTCATCCATAATGATACAAAATTTCTTACTGGTATTTTGCTGTTCTTTATCATCACGGTTCTTGAAAAAACCAACAACAGATGTGTTATTTAAAATGGATTTAACATTGGCATTCAATAAAGATTTAGAACGAACATCAGATGCATTTCTTTCTAATACATCATAGCCAAGACTTTTTGCAACCAAATGAGCAGCAGATGTTTTACCAATACCCGGAGGACCACTAATTAACATTGCTCTAAAAGCACTAGGTGAATCACTTGGACCTTTAAAACCTCTAGCTTGATAAGTAAACCAATTTTCCAACCATTCTTGTAATTTTCTGATTTGTCCCTTGTTACCACACAATTGAGAGATATCAGTTGGTGCATGTCTATCTGTCCATAACTTATCTTTAGCAGGAACATCTTTCAATTGTGAAGATGGCGGGCTAATTGAATGCCCTTTCTGAGAAGATGAAGTTGATGTAGAAGATGAGACAGCAGTAGCGGCCAATTTAGCCTTTCTTTCAGCTTCTCTTGCTTTTTCTTGTTTTTCTTCTAATTTAGCTTGTTCAATAATTGCCCTTTCTTCTTTTTCACGTTTTTCCTTAGCTCTTTCAGCAGCTTCACCGGAACCACCATCTGCTGGCATCATTTCCAATAATTTGATAAATCCAGCTTCATCAATAGCTTTGATTTTCAATTGATTAATCTTTTTAACTTTTGATGGACCAGCTTCTGCACCAAGAACAACTAAACTAGTACGACCCAGGATAGATTTAGTTACATTTGCACCATATTGTTTAGCAGTTTGTTCTGCAGTTGTACGATCCAAATTTGGCATTTGGCCAGTGAAAACAATGGTTAAACCAGATAAACAATTTGGCTGAGCAACCGGTAATTCAATAGTAGTACCAACAGTTTCATTTCTTGCAGCTTTAAGTTCGAAAAAATTGACCTTTTTATTTGGATCAATATCTGGTAATTCTGCATCGGGGATATTTGCAAGAATTTCAAGCACTTGTTGATCAGAACCACCCTTTGTTGCCTTTTTTTGTGGTGCTGATTTAGTACGTGATGGTACTGGCTTTTTAGGAGATACTGCTTTAACTGGTTCTTGTTTAACAGCAGGTTTTGAACGCGATGTAGTTTGTCTTTTCTTTGGTGGTTCTTGAATGATTTCGATATCATCATCATTGAAATCATCATCTTCATCATCCTCTAAATCCTTATCATTAACAATAAAATCATCATCATTATCGTCGTCGTCATCTATCTCAATTACTTCTGGTTTTGGTTTTGGTTTAAGTGCTGGTTTTGCTATTGTTTTTGGTTTTTCTTTAGGGGCTGGTTTGGTGATTTTACCCTTTTTCTTAATTAACGCGATGTTAGTATTATCGATTCAATTGAAATCAGATCTCACACAATAGTATACATACAGATGACGCTGTTTTACTCAGCTTAAAGAAATCATCAATATTCACCATGGTATACTCGGTGTATAATTGATTGGAAGTTTACAAGTTCTAACAGGAGTTTGCTTTGACTGTTTTTTGGCTTTAGATTTTTTTTTTCCTTCCTTTGTTTTTTTTTTTCCTTCCCACGTATGAGACGCGTCGTGTCCATCGAACGAACGAATCTCTCAAACACATACAAGAAATTCATTTCACTATAATTACCTTGGAGAGTTATATTTAAATAATATTATACATTAAACCTATAACTGGGGGGGGGGTTATTCCCTTTTCACCCATTATTTCCCAGTTGATTCTTTTTCTAAAAATTCTGTCCATAAAGATACAAAACTTTGTCTAACAGGGACTTCATTACCATCTTTATCTAATTTAGTCTGTTGATTTTTAAGATTTGGCAAATGAGTTAATCCAGCAGAAATCTTTTGCAGTTCATCCCATTCCAATAATGCGCTGATTAAATTTAATGCTTCAAATTTCTTAGTATCACCTCTTGGAAATTGTAGGAAACTTATAATTATATTTGATATTAATTCCTTGTCAATTGTTTTATTAGATCCATTTTCACCACCTTGTTTCAACATGGTCAATGCTTTGGTTAAATGCTCATTTAATATGATTGCTTCATGACGTAACTTACCAATTTGTAATTGCTTGTTATGAACTTCAGTTTTTAATTCATCTATTTTCTTGATTTCTTCATTCAATTTAGTCAATTCATCACGACTAGTGTTGAGCTCTTCAACTAAAGATTTGTTTTTAGATTCATGAGTCATTATAGTTTCTTCCAATTGAGTTATTTTATCGTTCAATGAGGAGACTTCCTTTTCGGTGTTGGTTTGATTCGTAGATACTAGTGTCTTTAATTCTTCTATTGTTTTGTAAGATTCAGATATCTCGTTGTCTTTTGCTACTAGTTTTTCCTTTAATTCGTCAATTGTAGATATATAACTTTTTTGTTCCATATTCATTTCATCTTGAGCAAGATTCAACTCATTAATTTCCAGCTTTAATTCATGTAGTTTTTTTGATATTTTAGAATTTTGATTTTCTAACTCGTATTTTTCATCTTGTAGTTCTTGAATAGTAGATGTATACTCTCGCCTAGATTTGGTTAAAGAATCACTCAATTTTTCACATTCATTATTCAAATCAATATTTTGCTCTTTTAACTTATTAATGGTCTCAATATCAACTTTATTCGATGAAGATTCTTTCAATTTCTGTTTTAAACTTTCATTTTCTGCAGTTAATTGATCAACTAATTCAGATTTTTCTTCCAATTCAGATTCTGATTGTTTCAATTTAGTGAATATTGTTTTCATAGACGATATTTTACTAACCAAGTTATCATAGGATTGTTGAATTTCATCTCGTTCAAGTTCGGTTTGTTTTAATTTTTCAAGTAATTCAGCTGTGTCAGTTGAAGCCGATGAATTCTCTGATACACCACCATTCAGAGTTTCTTTACTTTCTTCTGTGAATTCCCCTTCTTCTTTCTTATCCTCTACAGACACAGTTTCTGACACTTCCTTAGTATCAATGGATTCAGTTGCTTGTGATTCGGTCGTCTCGTTCCCACTATCTTTTGGAGTCTTGGACTGATTATTCAGCTTCTTTTTATTCTTACCCATGTTCGAACTAAAACCAACTTAGATATATGTATGTACAGATATTAGATAAACTGATTATTTCTTTTTTTTAAAAAAATGTGGTGGTGATGGTGGTGATGAGAAGAAGTGATGGTGTTGGTTGTCAATAGCTTTGTTGGTGATTTGGCATTATTGACACTCTGATATTTTTTTTTTCTTTTCATTTTCTTCACTCACTGATTTGGTAGTGCGCTGGGGTTGAAAAATCACGTTTTTTTCCCTCTTCTCCTCAACAATTTTCATACTTTTGAACGTGATGCACTACACTGATTTTTAATCTTTTGCAGTCATTTGAATAAAAAGTCAAATTGCTTCATGATTCACGGATAATTAAAAAGTATGATTTGAAGCAGATATCAAGCAGGGATTATTTATGTAGTTAAGTGGCAATCGTTATTTGAAAATCACACACTATGCCAGATGTTTTATGCGTTTATTTCATTTGTTCACATTTACAGAGAAATGGCTTTGCAGCAACCTGGAATTGTCACTCCAAATGAAACAATTCGAAAGGATATGAAAATAAAACGAAAAATTCAAATGCAATGCATTGTAATTGAACAACACTTCTCTTTGCCACAATAAAAAGACTCACCAAAATGTGAAATGATTTGGGTTTTTATTCTGAATCAGAACTCCTATACTTCAACATGTTACTTTTTAATTGGAGAGAACCTGAAACCAAGAATCGTAATCTCGTTGTCTTGCAGGGGAGCGATTATGATAAAACATTCAGTCTAGAAACAATTACAACAATCTACTACTTCAAACATTTCTTTTTTTTGTTTTCTTTGGATGATCATAGAACGGGTAAAGAATTATAAGTATGACTACACCCTAAATCCTTACATAAAGTAATACTAAACCTCGAAGACATTAAAAGTGAGAAGCTGCCTCAAAGAAGAGCAATTATTGATACTGCCATGCTCTTTATTGTCTTTCCCGTTAAGTCCCGCTTTGTCACTTTTTTCCCCCTAACCCTCTCTTTTTAAATACTTTTTGCAATGTTCCATGTTATCCAGAAAGAATCAAAACCATAGAAGTTTACAAGAAAAAAAAAAGCAAGACCTGCTCCAGTCTAGAATGATTTGACTAGATCAGCATAAAAAGAATCAAATATAGAGTTTCTATATTTATAGCTTCTTTTTTTTTTTTTTTTGGAAAAAATAATAGTTCCTACGAGTTTGCCGACTCTCATTTTTAAATTTTTCTTTTTACGAAAAACATCAAATACCCCCCAATGGTATAGCGTCGGTGGAACACATGGTGTAATATATAATGTCTTCTAAAATTAGAACATCAACGAGTAAGCACCATGAACAATTATGTAAATCAAGGGTAAATGAATAAGCATTATTGAACTGTATCAGGTAAATTAATTAGAAGCAAGAGAAAACAATTATAAAATTCGAATATGAAATTGTTCTTGTTTGTGGTTAGAGAATAAAAATAGAAATTAATTTTCCTCATTCATAAGAATTTCATCCCAAAATAGTAATATAATAGCCTGTGTTTTGTGTATATGTGTGTGTGTAGGTCGTTATTGTAAATTCTTCCCTTTTGTTCTAAATTTTATTTTTAGATAGAACATTAATCGATGAGAACAAGGAGGTATAGTACGGTAATTTGTAAGAGTATAGTTATAGTTATAGTTTGAACTATTGATAAAGGCAAATAAAAATGCCACAAGATGAAGAAAAAGACAAAGAGTTTTTCATGTGTTTAATATTTAAATAATTGAAAGGGGGAGGGAGCAGCAAGATAGAGAGAGAGAGAGGAAATGGAAGTAGGGGGGTTATCAGGGGATGGGTGATGATGTAGAAAAAAAAATTTTTGTGAGTTTATGGATATGTGTAATTTTTGTCTATTCCCTTTGCTTCCCATGAAAATGTACTAAACATTGTATAGATATATGAAGTGTAGTAGATGTTAGTATGAATCGTTGAAGAATCAAAAGATATTAATTATGTATAACTTGTTAAAGTAACAATTTATGTAATTGCTTTTTTTATTATAATACTAATTTTAAGCTGTGATTGATGCTGCTGTTGCTGCTGTTGGTGTCGGTGTTGTTCGTGGTGGTGTATTATTTTTTTAGTTTTAGTTTTTAGTGCAATTGAACACAGTGCACATATTACACACACAGACACAGAGCGACACAGATTTTTTTCTAGTTCTTCTTCTAGTTCTAGTTTTTCTATACTCTACGTTTGAGTAATCAATCCAATACTGAACACCACCATTTCAAGGAAGAAATATTCCATTTTGTTTTACGTTAAAAAAAAATAAAAAATTATAACATTTGTTAAATTAATTAAATATTTTCTTTCTTTCTTTCATTATCCTTCTTGTTCATTTTGCTTTTCTTTATTTCTGTTTTGTTTTGTTAATTCGTGTTTATTTATTTATTTATATATCAACTGTTGGTGTTCTTTTATTGTAATTTGTACAGCTCATTTCCTAATCACACTCCTTTTTTTTTTCTTCTTTCTACTTATTTATTCATCAACTTCATAGCTGAATTCACTAAAGATCTCCAACTCCATCTACAACTTTACTTGTAACACATATTCCTTAAGTTGATGTTTTTGTATTAGTCCACATCCTTCCATTTTATATAAATTTCATTTCTCATTCATCAAAATACCGGAACAAATTACACACACACTTCCTCCATCAATAATGTCATCTATGAGTGTCAATTCACTCATTGACAAAAACAGTGAAGATGAAAAGCAACAACAACAACAACCTCAAGTAAAGTCAATCCCACAGAAAAGATCATCTTCTAATGATGTGGAAGAACTACAACCTCCTTTTCAAGGACACAATACAGCATCTCCTTCTCATTCAACAACAACAACAGCACCAACAATTCCATCACTAAGGAGATTAAGTGAGTCTTTACCACATCCACCCCTGAAACAAGAAGAACTTTCAAGATCTCCTCGAAAACCAATCAATGATCCGGGATTATTGGCTTTATTGGGGCCAAATGTCACAGCATTTCCATTTTCAGAGGAGTCTTTCCAAGATGCATTGAAATTAAGAGCAGAACAAGAACGAACAAAACAGGAATATTATAGAGTGGAGACTGCAAATAAAAATCTTGCCATCTTACAAACTGCATTAAGAGCACAAATCCCAATTAATTTAATACCGTTGATGTGTGTTGGAAAAGTACCTGAATTGACAGAAGAACAAATGAAAATGATGTTGCAACAACCTTTACCACAACCACCCATTGCTTCAACACAACATTTTCAGCCACAAGGTCAACCACCACCACCGCAACAACAGCAGCAAATACCTCAATCACAACCACAGCATCCACCTCAGCAACCTCCACAACAATTTGTACCGATTGTACAACAACAACAACAACAAGGACCTCCAGTATTCATGCAACCAGGACTACTGCAAGAACAACAAATTCAAATTATCCAAGCCAATCAAAAAAGAATGCAACAGGAATTACAACAACAAGGTGGAGTTTTGACTCAGACAAGCCCGTTCCAGAAGGCCCACAGAAGAAGTGCAAGTAGTGGTGGCAGTGGGAGTGGATCGATTTCACAACAAGATGCATTCAACGTAGCTGGAGGTCCTCCACTAGGATTTAGATTTGGTGCCGGAAGTTCTGGCAACAGAAGACCATTGTCACCCGCAAAAATTGGTGCTGCTGCGGTTGCTAATTTGGCAACACCAACAACACCTTATCGTGGGTATGCATCAGCATCTTCTTCAGCAAGAAAAATCCCATCTCATCACCGTCATAGTTCTCTTCCTGTGGAGACTCCCAATCGGCAGCCTATTATAGATTTAAATGCCGCAGACCCAAATAAAGGTGTTACATCTTTACAATCCCCTCTAGTTGGATCTACATCTACTATACAAGTGAAACCAATACCGGCTCAACCATTACACAAGCAAAGTAAACTGCATGTCCAACCACTGCAAGAATCGATGACTTCGTTTCAGCATGTGATCCAATTTCATCACTGGAAACCAACTACTAGCCAACCAGGTTTAAGTAGTTCCAGTGGTAGTCCTACAAGAACACATTCCCATAAGAGAAGAAAGTCGTCAATTACAAGTACGCCTATCCAGGAATCATCACCTATATCACCAATGAAATCCAGACCTGATGACCCAATCAAGGAGCCAGAACAAGAGAAAATAGACGCTGAACAAGAGTTGGCATCATCCACACCAAAAGCAACGACATCTGATTTGGCTAGTAAAGATGATGATACAGTGGACCCGGATACTTCAATGGAAAGTTCAATTAGTGATACAACTGCTCTGAAAGTCGACGTTGAAGCGAATCCTCCTAAAGCTCACCGTCGTAACAAACTGACTTTTGGATCAAAAAACCCATGATACCCTACATAAATAGAGAAACGAAAGGAAACATTTTGTTTATTTCTTAGTATATTTGAAGTAGCAAAAATATTTTCAAGATTTAACCATTATGATTTTATTTATAAATTACAATTTAGAAAGGATAAGAAAGTACGTTGAATTTGGTTATAGATTTTTTTTTTTTTTGATAATCCTTGTAATTATTCATAATATTAGTTTTTTTAGTTATCGGTTTTTATATAGTTTTGTTTATTGCATCAGCTATTTGCATAGTTTGTATTTATGTATAAGTATAGCAAATTATTTGCCATTATGAATAACGTACATCATTCTGTACCAACATAATCTTGATCAAGATCACGAACAATAGATGGTTGCAAAATTTGTGTTGTCTATTCAATGTCATATTATTTTTTTTTTCCTTCTTTGACTTCAATAGTCAAGCTTTTGATACCGCGGTAAAAACTATTACAATCACAGTCACCGATTGCCCTGTTTTTTCCCCCAGGTGTTGTCGTACGAGACATGGAAATGGAAAAATTATTTCCTTCTTGAGTATATTACAAAATGGCAACCATCTCCACTATCAAAAAAAAAAAAAAAAAAAAAAAAGAATAAAGGCAGCACTCACTATCATTTCTTGCAACCCATACATTTAGACAACAACCTCACCATACAATTAACCAATGATTTATTCACTGTCTGAAAGGATACGAAGGATGGCCTTGGCAACGTCAAGGACACATGGTTCCAAACCACTTGCTGTAACCATGATTCGTATTTTCCGTTTAATCAAATATTTAACCAACCTTTCAATTAAAACAGGGATAAAAATATTTCGATTAATATTTGTTCAAAGGTCAACAATAAGTACTTTTATATTTGCTTATATTTATGAAGTAGTCCCAAAACTACTATCTCGTTTCTTTACCCATTTATTCAAATTAGATTTCAAAGGGTTTAGCCATGATATACTCCTGGTCTTATCTGATCCCTTGAGTCCAGGAAGATTACCAGTATTTATGACAAAACTAGTAGCTACACTTAATGCATTTATTCCAATTTATAGATCCATATTAATATCTTCTGTTGATCCAGAGAATTTATCATTCATTAGTTCACTTTGTGCTGCATTCACTTCAGCAGCATTAAACTTCCCAAGTTTCCAAGCAGAGAAGATTAAACAAGACAGACATTATACATTAGATTGGACATTAATTTTAGTAACTAGAGCTTTGGATACTGTGATCACATCGAATTTTGCTAAACTCGCTAATCCCAAGTCTAAAACTTTCAAACGTTTAGATCAATTTGGTGATGTTTTGATGTTTATGGCATCATGTTATGTCATTATGGATACTTGGTTTTATGAACCAGAAAAATTACCCCCAGATTATAAAAGATGGGTCGATAAAGCTAGTGCTATTGATTCAGAAATAGTGCAAGGAATCAATTATCTCAAAACTAACAAACTTAACTACGACCTCAAAGACAATGGTGGTGTACATCATGATCATTTTGAACAATATTGTATCAAACACGGCAAGAATCCAAACTACGGTGATACTGGAAAAGTCAATAAATTACCGTGTGAAATTTTCCATCAATTTAAAACTAAAAGTTGTCTCAGACATACTGTGTATAGATTTTGGCTGCAGTTTGCGTTTGCATTTAAAGCGTATTTTGCCATCAACGCCTTTGTTTTCGTTTTTGTTAAAAAATTTAGGGGAAATCCACTTCGATTATTGGTAAACACGATAAGATCAGCATCATTTTTGGGAACTTTCTCCGGCATTCAATGGGGGCTTTTCTGTTATGTAAGAAATAATCATCCTCGTTGGTTTGATCAAAGATTTTGGGACATTTGGGCACTTAAATTAGGTTCAGCATTAAGTGGAACAAGTATATTATTGGAGTATCCTCACAGAAGAGATGAATTATCAATGTTTGTTGCACCTAAAGCGTTGGGTACATTTGTTGACCCAGAACCTACAAACAAGAATATCAAATTGGAAATTCTTGCATTTAGTATCAGTTTTGGGGTATTGATTGCCTATGCTAAGCTGAGTCCTACTAAATTGAGAGGTATTTTAGGTAAAGGTTTGAGTTTTATGGTTAAGGATTGAAGTAATATATATATATATATATATATATTTATTGGGCTTCTTGGTATTGTCTATACAGATCTTCGGCCATTATTTCTATTTCCTCTAGGTTCAAAGCAATCATCTCATCGTCGTCGTTGTTGTCTTCTTCTCCCTGTTGACCTTCTTCGGTATCATCTTTCATGGCATCTGGGTTCATTTTTTCAAATGTTATATCTTGTTTAGTAACTGAACTTACTTCTTTTTTCAAATCATGGGCAAGATTTCTAATAGTACCTTCAGATATGTTATCACTAATAAGAAAAGAACAAAGATCTTCTAACCATATTTTATCATAAACATAATAAATATCATGAAAACGGAACAATTCTTTTAAATCCAATAAAGCTTTCAATACAAGTCTTTTCCCACCTCTTAAATTATAATATACATCATCCCATACTTTACTAATCATTGCAAAACTTCTATGAAATGGATAAGATAATGCTCTTCTTATACATGTAATAATAGCTGCTTTCAATAAATTATTTTGAGAAGGATCCATGATTAATTTTGAATCAAGAAATGAAAATTGTGGAACTATTTTACCTATTGTCCAAGCACTTTCAATATTATGTTCACCTTCATTTTCTCGAAGATCGAAATGATAAGCAAATAATAAACAGATCAATAATATTAAAATTTCAGGTTTATATGAATTTTCAATAAGATAAGATTTTCTAGGTAATTGAATCATTTTCTCTTGTTCTTCTTTAGTAAATTCAATTGTCATAATTAAAGATCTTTCAGATTCTGGTAATGATTGTTGATTTTTATACCATTTAAGAAATTTTTGAATTAATGGATTTTTCCAATTAATCAATTTTTTAAAATCTTTATCATCATCAATTGCTGGATATTTTTCCATTATATAATCAGCTGCATAAATTTCAGGATCAAATTTAATATTTTCCTTAATTAATCTTTCAATAATACGATCAGTATCTGGAGTTGATTCAGGATTACCTAATTCATTAATATCATTTCCATTAGCTATTGAGACTCCAACAATTTGATCATATTGATTATTAAAACCATATTTAATAGGTTGTAGATTAACATTAGTTGATGTGATATCATCACCATCAGAACCAAGTTTTTCAATATTTGTTGATGGATTAGTAGGAACTTGCTGTTCAACTTCCCAATTGAATTGTTCACCTTCTTCTAAATCTTTTTCAGCTTGACTTATAGTGTTGTCACCTACTTCTTCAATTAATGGTTTAGTTGATTTTTCTTGTTGTCCAACATCTCCTAATTTAGGTTCATTAGTTCTAGCTAATAATTTTGCAGCTAAATCTAAATCAGGGAAAAATTGACCTTTTATTTCTTTTGGAATTCTAATTTTAACACATTCAGATTTGGAATCATATTCTGCATGGGATCTTTCATCTTCTATACATGAATAAGGTAATCTTAATCTTAAATAATATGGAGGTAATGAAAATACAAACACATCATTATTAATTGTCATTTCTATATTTGGGGCACTAAAACGAATATGTGATATCTTCACATCAATGAATATAAATTCATCATCCTGAGTGATAGTGAAAAATGGAGTTATCATTTTTGTCGGTAGAGATGATGTTGATAATAAGGATTGTGATAAAAAATGCAGCAATTTTTCTCAGTGGATGATTTCGCGATGGAGATTTTACGTAATCAGGAAACAAGTACAGAGAAAAAAAAAAAAATTTTTTTTCAGGTTATATCTCATTTGTATCCACTATCATTATCTATATTACTAATATTACAACATTATCATAATAATGAGTCCAGTTGAAGTTCCTAGAAATATTGAAGATCCAGAGAAACCACGTGTTGCCAAACGTAGATTCGTGGGTAGAAAACCACAGAATTTAAATGTTAAAGAAGGAGATCAACCATTAACAAGAACTCTAAATACATCTCGTCATATAGGTAGAGTAATGAATCAAATACCTGATGAAATTCTAAATGATAAAGAATTGAATGAAGCTATCAAATTATTACCATCAAATTATAATTTTGAAATCCATAAAACTGTATGGAATATTAAAAAACAAAATGCTAAAAGAGTTGCATTACAAATGCCCGAAGGTTTATTAATTTATTCATTAATTATATCTGATATCTTAGAACAATTTTGTCAAGTTGAAACTATAGTTATGGGAGATGTATCATATGGTGCATGTTGTATTGATGATTATACAGCAAGATCACTTGATTGTGATTTTATTGTTCATTATGCCCATTCATGTTTAGTTCCAATTGATTTAATGTCAATTAAAGTATTGTATGTGTTTGTTACTATAAATATTGATGAAACTCATTTGATAAATACAATAAAATTAAATTTTGAAAGAGGTAGTCAAATAGCTATATTTGGTACTATTCAATTCAATCCAACTATTCATAGTATAAAAGCAAAATTAGAAAATGATGAATCAAAACCAATTTATTTAATACCTCCTCAAACAAGACCACTTTCAAAAGGTGAAGTATTAGGTTGTACTTCTGCAAAACTAGATAAATCTCATATTAAATCAATGATTTATATAGGTGATGGAAGATTTCATTTAGAAAGTTCAATGATTCATAATCCTGATATTCCTGCTTTTAGATATGATCCATATAGTAGGAAATTTACAAGAGAATATTACGATCAAAAACAAATGATTGAAGTTAGAAAAGATGCTATTTCAACTACTAAATATGCTAAAAAAGTAGGATTAATTTTAGGTGCTTTAGGAAGACAAGGTAATCCAATTACTTTGGATAAATTAGAAAAAGAATTACTGAAAAAGGGAATTCAAGTAGTTAAAATTATATTAAGTGAAATTTTACCTTCTAAAATTGCCATGTTTGATGATGTTGATGCTTTTGTTCAAGTTGCTTGTCCAAGATTATCAATTGATTGGGGTTATGCATTTAATAAGCCATTATTGACACCTTATGAAGCTATGGTTATGTTGGAAAAAGATACTATGGGTGATGAAAAAGTATATCCTATGGATTATTATTCAAAAGAAGGTTATGGAAGAGGTAAAATACCAGATCATTCAGATATATAAGGTGAAGGACATATATCCAGTTCATGTATATATATATCTATATATATAAAACTATGTATTTATTTCAGGTTGTTGATATACATCTTCAATTCCCAATAAGGCAGCCAATTCGTAATCAGACCACACAAATGAGTAGTCTAAATATTCTTGATTGACCAAATTCAATTTGAAGTAAAATTTCACAAACTTAACACAGGCATTATTTACAATTTCATTGACAGCAACAGGGGAATTCAATTTCAAAAGAGTCAGTTGAATTTCCATCATTGCATTTGGTAAATATTCACGCACTTGTTCATCAACTTTAATGAAATTATCAACAGTGTATAGCTTGTTTTCTTTAATTGGTTCATAAATAGAAACTTCAAAGAAATCATCAGTAAATGGACAAATCATATTAATAATGTTATAGTAGTCGTATAAGTTACATTTGCCCAACATGCGAACCAATTCCAATTCTGTCATTTTTGAAGTCATATCGTCAATCATATCATTGATTTCCAAAACTTTATCAGTCAATAATGCCACGGGGACTATCTTGGATAATATCAAGTCAAGGAAATTGGATTTAATTAACAAAACATCTCTCTTCTCTGAAAACAACTTGTTCTTTTCAACATGCTCATAGAATATTTCAATTGGTTGATTAATAATCAAGTTCAAAAACTTGGCATTGTCTTCCTGAGACAAGTTCAACATGGTTTCCGTGGTTATCTGATCAAGCATTGGTAAAATATCTGAATAAAACTCAATAATCCATTCTGGTGGTTGCAAATCTAAATTCAATTCTAATTTGGCCAGATTACTTGTTTTAATGGTGGCTAATCTATTGGATATAATCATAAATATACGATCCTGACAGATTTGGATCAATTGTTTAATAGTCTCTACCAAGTTACCTGTATCGCCTAATTGTTTCTTAAACATAATGGAATACAACTCAACGAGATTGAAAATTTGCATTATTATGGAAAGTTTGGTTTCACTAGAAACAATTTGTTCCACACGGGCTTTAACAGGACGAGATAATGATCTTAATATCTTATCAGTAACATCATGTATTGAATTTTCAAACTCTTTATCATTATCATCACCCATTGTGAAAATACTTGTTATAGTTTCTGATTCGTTAACAGCAACTGAATGAACATATGCCAATAAATCACCCACAAAACGTACAGGATCATGAGCTGACATGAAAATTGGACGTGACTCACCAGAAACTGAATTGGACCTTGTAGGGCCATTGGCTTCCGCATCACCTTGGATTTGTTTATATAGCTCGTCAAGTAAAACTTTAGATCTTGATTCACTGAATGTGGAAACAATGGAATTGAAATAATTCAATTTGTTTTGTAAAAATCTAAAACAATTATGTAAGGTAACTAATCTTGATTTGGAGTTTAAGGAGTATAAGTTATCTAAAGTCTTGTTTGTATAACTTACAATTCTATCCATGGCTCTGTTGATTATTTGATTACTTTTAGCAATTATTTTCAACCCTAATTGAGGATTGTCCAATGAAAGAAGAATTGAACAATTTTCATTAATTTGTTCAGCACGTTTTAAAATTTCAAAAAACTCATCATTTAAATCCCCAGAATTCAAAACAAATTCTTCATATTCATTCAATGTAAATTTCTCCTTAAAATTGATCAATAAATTTTTCTTTAACCCGATTAATTGTTTACTCTTGTTCAAGTCATTGATCTCCACATTTAACTCGTTTGAAGATTCAAAATTCTTGTTGACTTTCTCATTAGTTTCTTTACTTAATTCATTTAATTTCTGTAATTTAGTTTCTATATTTTTCAACTGTCTAATTGTTGGTTGGTATTGTTTAAGTATGCTCTGTTGGTTTTTGATTATTTCATGTTCAATTCTACCTTTAAATTTCTTTCTTGAAATAGACCCAGTGATCCCAGGTTCAATTAAATCGGACACATAGCTTTCGGACTCTTTTTCAAATCTTTCTTCCAAATTAGTGAAAATTTCTCTAATATTATTATCACTAAGAGAATCATTGAGTACTCGTGATAATCTAGTGGACAACATATTATGTCCCGTAACATCATTTACTTCTTGATCATTCAGTATGTCTTCCTGTTTATCCTTTTTAAGTAAACTAATTGACATTTGAGCATACTTTTCCATAAGATCATTACCTTGCTGGTTGAGATCAGTGTCTTTTGGTTTTTCAACATTTAGTATATTGGTAAAATTTGACAATTTTTTACTAAATTGATCTAAATTAGAACTAACGGGTAATGATAATGGTGGTTGTGGCTGCGGAAGTACACCACCCTCTGTAGTGGATGCATCCTTGGTGAATGTGTCAAAGTCTATAAAGTCCATGTTGTTGACCTGTTGGGGGTTAGACAACAAGACAACACGAATCTACAATTTTTTTTTTTTCTTACTATTTTTTTTTTAATGTCCAGAATTGTGCTGCCAATTTTCAATTTGATTTTTTGAAGTGTGCACTGAGACAACCAATGCTGCCAATACACATATAAAAGAATTGAAACTAGAATATCTATTGAAACCAAACTAAATAAAGTACAAACTCTAAATAAAAAAAAAAAAGGTAGAACTAAAAATTGAAATAAAACATGAACACCCGATACATCACAATGGGAACTAAACATAAACGTAAGTAAAAATAAAAATTGAAACACCCGGAAATAATAAATAACTATCACGTTAATAAATCATTAATTGTCATGCCTGCTTTCACATTGCTATCTCTTGGAGATGACCTAGAAACAGCTTCCCTGTGGTTATTTGAAACACCACTCAATCCAGCAGCTAACAAAATAGCAGAAATGCCACCATTTTCTGAACCATATACTTTGTTTTCATTCTTCATATTACGAGGACTAGAACTGTCTTTACTTAGAGTTTGCAAACACTTTGATGCATTTACAATATCAATCATTTCATTAAAAGATGGAATCTCTGATGTCAGATATCCATTAGAAATTGGAGTTATTCTCTCACCTGAGAATACAGATGATGAGATACTACTGATACTGCTTGAACTTGAATAATGGCGCTTTGGCGGAGTTATTGGTGCATTGTAATTTCCATCACTTGTGGTTGTGACGTTACAATTGAATGGGAACGAACTACTATTATATTGCATAAGTGGAGAAGTTTGTTGACTTTGTTGACCTGGTAATAACACACCCACTGGCGGGAGAGCCTTGGCGTTGGTAATAGGAGCAGGAGGCTCAAGTTGATTTGACTTCGCAACATAATTGGAATTTCCACTGTTAGTATGTGGAATTGATTGTTGTTGATGGGAAGTAGGAGGGGGTGGTATTGGCAATGGTAAAGCACTTTCTCCAAAATTGTGTAAATCATCCAACTTCAATTCACCAAACCCTCTTGCATTAGGTTTCAAACACGAGTTAGGAAAATCTGCACCAAAAAGTGGAATCAATGAATACCTTATATGATAACAAAATCTTCGAGCAAGAATCTTACACAATTTATAAGGTAACCAAGTTCCTTGAATTTTCAAAAATCCTCCTCTTATTCTTTTGATATAATGTTGGTATTCTTTCGGAGTTGATTCTAATAATTTAACAATGTCAGCCTTCATATGGGAGGGGGAAACATTTGCTTCTTCCACATTTAAGGATGCCTTCCATATTCCTGTTAGATGGACCCAACCGGTTTCATAATCCCAAATGACCCAATGATTATTAATCGGGTATTCGTATGCAGTTATATAACTGCGTTGTGGATCAAGTGCCGAAGTGGAATATTTTTTAATCTCAATCTTTGGATAAATAAACTTGTTGAGAAATTCGGTATCATAAAAGGATAAGCCATCATTTGCAGATGGGCGATAGATTGGATAGTAGATGCTATTATTTGGTATCAAATTATGATTACGCTTAGTCTTTTTAGATTTTAGTTTAGTTGGAAATTTTGAAACCAAATTCTCGGTGTTTCTTGATTTTCTACGATTGATCTTGGCGACTTTATTTGCTTTCATCTTTGATTCGCGAGGTGATAGTTGTGATTGTTGTTGTTGTTGTTGAGGATGGGGAGACAGTTGTTGTTGAAATTGTTGTTGTGGCAAATGATTACCATAATTCATCAGTATGGTAATAGGAAATTGATAAGACATCTTTTGTGTATTTGTATCAAGGATTGTAGGCTGTGTCAGGTACGACGGAGACGACGATAACACACACAGAGACGAAGGAGAATAAAATTGAGGATCCGATACGTTAGGTGGTGTGTGATCCGGTGAGATTGGCGAATACGATGTCAATTGAGCCGATGTGGATTTGTTAGTGCTGATATTTGCAGCACTGGATAATTCGCGTTGTAACGGAAAGTAAAATTGCTGTTGTCCTGACACCGTGAAAGTATAAGGTAAGGAGTTATAGTGAATTAATTGTGAAGGAAATGACTTGTGTATAGGCAATTGTATTGAAACTTGTTGCTGTTGTTGTTGCTGCTGTGGTTGACAAGGTGGCTGATGAACAAATGGTTGATGGGATTGGGTCTGGGTCTGGGTGTGAGAATCTGGTGGAATCATTTTGTGCGTACTTGGTGCGATTATTTATACCAGAAACTTTTTCCCCTTGTCTCTCTCTTTCACTCCTTCTCTCTCGCCAATGAAAAGGAATGGAAGGGTTGGGAAGGGAAGGGTAACGAAATGAAACGAAACGAAGCGAAGCGACAAAAAAAAAAATAAAAGTCAAATACAAAATGTAAAGGACAAAGGGGATGGATGGATGTATGGGAGTATCTATTTGTCTTTGTGTTTGTGCGTATGCGTGTGCGTGTGCAATTGCAAAAAAAAGAAAAATAAAGGAAGGAACTGTGTCGTATGTTGATACCAATCAACTAATTTTGTGGTGCTAAATTTTAATCAAATGGATATAATCCTCGGACCCACAGGAAGCAGAAGCAAAAGCAAAAGCACAACAGCGAAAAATGTGTAATACAATACCAAAGGGGAATAAATACGGGGTGCAAAATAACAAAAAATAAAAAATAACTAAACTATTGTAAAAAAAAAATGATTCCAGTCGTTCGATTGCTATGGCCTGGAAACGATCAATACGATTTTTAATATTGTTAGCTTTTCTTCCTTTCTTTTTTTTTTATTTACTACGACTATTTCCCTCTTATTTGGTTATTTTTATTCAAGTTCTAATTGTTTCCTTCTTATCGGGTAATAATGAATCGATAAAGATGAAAAACTTATGACGAGGGGTTGAAAAAAATAAGAAGATCAGGATCTTACTTTTTTTTTGCTTTGCTTTTAGTAAGCGATTATTCAACAAATATATGGATATGGAGGAAGCAGACGAAAAAAAAAAAACAGGGCGACGAGATGATGAGGATGATGAAACTTAATCTGGATATTATGTAGACCACAGTTTATCTCTTGTAAATCTTAGTTTTGCCTTGCTTATTGATTAAACAACGTATGAATCTAGATTTATTATAAGATTGAGATGAGGAATGGGGACGTTGATGTTGAATAATACCAATAGTCACCCAAAATAAAATAAAAATGAATTTAGTGAAATCAAACAATTGCCTAATTTGTATTCAATTTCTCTTTGATTATTCGTTGGGTAATTTTTAGTTTCTTCTTTCCTATGATTGATATTATTATTATTTAATTTTCTTTTTTTTTTAGTTCTCAGTTGATGATAATCTGCAAAGAATGGATTTTAAACCAGATATTAATGAGTAGAATGAGGGGTGGATATTATCAAATGGTTAGTATGGGAAATGGGTATACTAGTGGATGAAAAATGAATGATGTTCTTGAACTAAATAAATAAAAAAGAAAAAATGGTTGCTGTAATAAATCGTTTCTTTTGCAGTTATTCAAAAAAAAAAAAAATTAGAATCTCGTTTTGTGTGCTTTTCCTTGTAGCGGGCTCTTCTTTATTTTACTTTGTGGGATGGATGGTGTTCTATCTTGGTCTTATGAACTGTTGATGCTTTTGGAACAGAAAACCACGCAGAAGCTGTACTTAGTAATTGTAAACTAAAAGAAAATGATGCATAAATCTAAAGAATCGGATAATCAGGGATATTCTACATCTTTATATATTTGTTTAATAAACAATTGATGTTCTTTCGAGCAACATTAAACACCGGTAGATTTTATGTTCATTTTAGTAAATCTTTAAACCTCTCAGCATCTTCCTCCTCCCCCTCTCTCATTCTCTTTCACCCAACAAGAATATTCACTTCTTGTTTTTCTATTTTTGATCCGGTTTTAATAATCATTTCACCGGAAGGATTCATGTATTATTCGAAAACAATAGAATTTATTCAAGAGGCGAAAGTATTCATTATTATGTCAAAATCTTGTGAATATGAAAGGTGAAAAAAAAGCATTATAATATTTTCCCGTTTCTTAGATTACAAACCACTAGGAAAGAATGAAGGAATAAGAAAAAAAAATTTCATAACAATCGTTTTTTCATTGTAGTTAACGTAATCTATTGTTTCAAGATACCTGCTGTGGCCTTGTGCATCATGTACGATGGTTTATAATTAATTAACTACATTTAGAAGGAGACAAATAAGTGATTTAGTCACCTAAAGAAACTCAAGAAAATTCTTGATTGGTATAGAACTGATGACAATCGACAAGAATTATGTATTATGGAATATCTGGTTAGCACAATTAACATATCATATTATGTTTGTAACAGAATAGCATAACCCTTGAAAAGAATTGCTTTACAAATTTTAACGTAAATTCCTTTCTTTAAAGCTTATTATTATTTTCTTTTCTTACTTTAACCATTAAAAATAGAGTTAATGAGCTTCGAGGATTGTACTTCTGACGGGCTTATACATTTTTTATTCATTCCTTCAAAAGCCTTTGTCTTCTCACGCAACATTCAATTTATGAGCACCACTAAATTTTAGTTGGTTATTGTTACTGCAAAATTGAGTATCAAATGACCCGAATACGTGGGGGAGGGAGACTGCTTGAAGGACTGTACATAAATAAAACAATACAAGCTCAAAATTTCTCACGACTGGATTTAATAGGAGGTGTTAATCGACGATGATTACCTAGTGATCGAAAATCGTTTTGTTTATCAGTTTAGTTGTTTGTTTAAAACTTGAATGTAAGCATTGAAATTCACATGAACCCTAAAAAGTTTTCTCGTGGAGTGCAAAAGACGAAAGAAGATCCCATTGATAAGACATTATACTTTACAGTATCCCCCTTTTTTTATATATAGGTTGCTCTCAGTTCACAAAATATACATCCTCTAGGGTATTGATATATCCCCTTCTTGATGATGGTGTTTGAATCAAGTGAAATAAATCACCATTGTCCGAATGATGCGATTGTAAATGATTCTTTGGCAGTTAGTAAGAACACCATAATTGATAATCTCTGTAGATTTCTTTTTTTTATGTATATATATTTTTCTTTTTAGTTGTTCATGTACATAATTTCTCTCTTTTGCTAGTGCTTTCGAATTTCAAGTTGGGGGGTGATTTATGATTTAGTTTGCGTATTCAAAATCATTTAGACAATAGCCTAACGTTCGATTTCTTTTTCATGACATACCGGAACTTTGAATTCCTGCTTCCCTCCGGTGGAGAGCGAGAGAGAGAGAGGATAATTAAAATAAAAAAAAGAGAACGGGGAAGGCTATTTATTATTTTGTTACTCTTAACGCCTGATAACTACGGTGTAATCATTACTCTGGGAAGATTACACTTCGATGAAACACAAGATCTCATTAAACTCTCCGCTTTTCTCTCATTTCGTTTTTTTTTATTGTCTCCCTCGATAAATTTGAATTTGAGTGAAATATAACGAATCCCTTTTACCTCTTGTTTTCCCTGAACCGCTCTGCTCTGTTCAGATCTGCTCTACTCTTTAAAAGCACCCCTTCGAAATGATTAAATTCGATTTTGTGCTATTGATCTGCCAAGTTTCATAACCATTCATACATCAGACGAAACAAAGAAGGTTGAGTCGAATTGCATTGTAAGTGACAAAAATGGGATGGAAAACTTTTTCTACCTTAATAAGGTATTACGCAATCCTATAATTTGAAGGACCAACAGTTAAATTAAATAAAAACTAAGACATTACAAATTCTTCTACAATATGCAATTAATATTAAAACAAAAAAAAAGAATTATATCCCGCATTATTTATATGAAATATAACATACTGGGTAGATAGGTTTGTAGTATTCACCTTATGGTAATACCTGCCAATTTATTCATTATTTACGAATCAATTAGTTCTCCTTGTTTCTTTACTTATTGTGTATTAACCTGTATATCCGAGGTTATCCACTATAAAAGTATTGTTTCATTTGAATTTAGTAATTCTAGAACCTGTATCATAATTTTTACTTGAAATTTTGTTGATATTGCTCATTTTCGCAACTATAATTCAATTGACGACGAATCATTATAATTACGTTGCTTACTTGATACAAAAATAAATAATTTGCTTCGATGACAATGTTCTTATTGGAACTGATAATTGCTTTTCTGTTCACTGCTTAGCAAGGGTCGATAATCATTCAAGGCATTGATGAGGATCAAAAATAAATAATGAAAAAAGAAAAAAATTACTAAAAATACTTACTAAAAAAAAGCAAGAAGCAATCGAAGTAAGCATCATTGCCCAATCTATGGATATCACCAGATAAATTTCATTAATTTGTCCAACACTGATCAAAGTAAGGGATGAAATTCTAATAAATACAATCACATTAGCAGGAAAAGAAAAAGCCATGAAACCTTAATTCTTGAATCCGTATCGTGCTTGAATCAACGATGTACAATCAATCCTCCAAAATTCTAATCCATTGGGGTGTGTATTTTTTTTTTCACTCGTAGATCTTAATATATGTACGTTATTAGTTTTTGGTTCGGTTCTAAACTAATATGTGCATATTAAATTACATCTAAATTCGATAATGAACAAAAAAAAGAAAGATTCGAGTTTCGGTTGGGGTCAAGTTTCGACTATTGGAACCACCTTCCGAGGATTATCTAAAGAAATTTTAGCCTTATTTTACTAAAATCAAAAGAAAACCACATAATTTAGATTTATCTATCTTTGGTAAATTAAATGCAGTATACGCATTACGTATTAATTACTTTGTATATACTTTGATCATGTATGACACCATGGGATTGTATTTATAAGGATTGGATAATAAAAAGCATAACGGTTACTTATTCCGACGTACGCATTTATCAAAAAAATATTGAAAACTCCTAATGGTTATATGCAGGAAATTCGAACAAATTATCAAATACAACAAAGACAACGTAAAGAAAAAAAAATTAGAAGATATGAATCAGACCTGTATTCTTCATTCTTATCAATAAAAAAACCCAATCACCTTATTGCAAAAAAAATAAAGTAAAAAAAAAGAATGCTACAACGTGCAAGAATTGGTATTTCTAAAGGTTCATTGTTATCTCATTCAATTATTAGAAAGAGATTCTCAAGTACAAATCCCCTGTCACAACAACCTCCAATAAATAATCAACCTAAAATCAATCCTCATGTATGTTTGCTTAAAACAATGGTGTTACCATAGAATTTGTCAATTACTAACTTACTTTTTTCTTTGTATAGTCTGTCTTTTATAGACAATTTGCTAAACCTTTTACCAAAATTTGTGTGATTTCAATTGGTACTTATTATGGTTTGATTTACTTATGGGAATATCTAGAAAAAGAAGCACAAGAATCAGAAAACTAAGTCATGATTATTATTGAAATTTCATTTGTGAATAGAATGTCTTGTTTTATGGACAAATATACAGATATATATATGCTTATTTTTTCAATCTGTCAGCAACAGCATCCAAGAATTCAGTAGTGGTAACATATGCAGATCTATCAGTTTTACCCATAGCTAAAGCCAAATCTTTAGTCATTATACGATCAACTTCAACAGTATCAATGGTAGCTTTTTCGAGTTTGTTAGCAAAATCAACAACATCTGGGGTTTCATCCAATTTACCTCTTTGAGCCAAACCTCTAGTCCATGCAAAAATAGAAGCAATTGAGTTGGTAGATGTTTCTTTACCTTGTTGATGTTGTCTGTAATGTCTAGTAACAGTACCATGAGCAGCTTCAGCCTCATATGCTTTACCGTCTGGGGTCATCAAAGCAGAAGTCATCAAACCCAAAGAACCAAAACCTTGAGCAACAATATCAGATTGAACATCACCATCGTAATTCTTAAGAGCCATGACAAATCCACCCTTAGATTTGATCATTTGTGCAACCATATCATCAATCAATCTGTGTTCGTACCATAAACCTTGTTTTTCAAATTCAGCAGCATAATCTTGTTCATAAATTTGTTGGAAAATGTCTTTGAATCTACCATCGTATTTCTTCAAAATGGTGTTTTTAGTAGACATATATAATGGTAAACCTTTAGCTAAAGCCATTTTGAAAGAAGCATGAGCAAATCCAGTGATGGATTCATCAGTATTGTACATGGCTAAACCAACACCTGGACCAGTGTAGTCATAAACTTTTTTAGTTTGAGCTTCACCACCATTTTCTGGAGTGAATCTTAATTCTAATCTACCTGGTTCATTAATAACCAAATCAGTAGCTTTATATTGATCACCAAAAGCATGTCTACCAATGACAATTGGTTTTTCCCAACCTGGAATTAATCTTGGAATACATGGAATAATTATAGATTCTCTGAAAACAGTACCACCAAGAATATTTCTAATAGTACCATTTGGTGAAAGCCACATTTTCTTCAAGTTGAATTCTTTAACTCTGGCTTCATCTGGAGTGATAGTGGCACATTTAACACCAACACCATATTCTTTAATAGCATTAGCAGCATCAATGGTGATTTGATCATTAGTGGCATCACGGGATTGAATACCCAAATCGTAATATTTCAAATCAACATCAAGGTATGGTAAAACTAACTGATCTTTAATTTTTTGCCAAATGATACGAGTCATTTCATCACCATCTAATTCAACAATTGGATTCTTAACTTTAATCTTATCGGCTAAAGAAGATGTGGTGGAGAAACTACGCAATTGTTTCAGTAACATTGCGGTACGTTTAATAGCACTAGCTCTAATCATTTTTTTTTGTTCCAATGAGTTATTAATATGAAAGGAAGGAAAAAGGTGAAGATATTGGTATAAAAGAAGTAAAAGAAGAAGAAGAAGTGTAGAGATATATATTCCCTTGAGGAGGAAAACGAAAAAAATCTGTTGAAAAAAAAAAATTGAAAATTTTTGAAAGAATTAGTCAACGCTTTACCGCGACAAGTTTGTGATCTCCGATACAGGAGATTGGAAATATTCCGGTGACATGGTTTAAAAAAAAACCTTAACTTGATAGTACAAACATCAAATAGGATACTCACGTGTGTGAGGCTGGATTATAATTAGGTGGGTTCTTAAAACTGTGCTTTCTAAAAGAGTATTACATATATGATTCTGATTAACTCCTCAAAGAAAATTATGCATGACATTAATTTGTCTCATTTCTTTGTTGTAAAAAAATAAAATTTAATCTTTTTTCGTGAAATCTTGCAACCAATTTTTTTTTTATTTATTTTTGGTTCTACTTTAATTTTAACCGTAGATACAAGAATGAATCAAGAATTGGACTTGGACCTGCCATATATTTGTTGTGGGATATGCTTTAAAGATTATAATGAACTAAAGGGTTCAACGAGAAAACTATTACTTACTTCTTGTGCTCATATAACATGTGATAACCATGTTAAATCGCGTATGTTAACCGTGAGACAAACATCCGCTGGATTAGATAAACAAGTATACTAATGGTTAAACTAGTGACTGTGGAACTGTATCTCAATGCAAATGACGAATCTTCTGACTGCCCTGTGTGTGGAACAACTGGTATTTCTACTGTGCCAATTAATACTGCTTTACCAGAGGAATTGAAAACATTCTTTATCCCCACTCCACAACAAATTGATCTATTAAACAGTTCAGGAAAATTCCAGTATTGTGCATTGATGGACAGAATCAATCATTACAAATCCACCATCACAAAGTTGAATGACAAAATTAAAAAACAAAAAGAATTCCTATATGCTGCAAAAGAAGAAATTACTCACCTTAGTAAATACAAATCAAAAGTCGAAGAACTAAACCAAGAAATCGAGTCACTTAAAAATCAACTAAATGAACGTGATCGACCAGAAACATTTGATCTTTCTAATGAAGACGGTGATAGTGAATTGGATTTACACCAACATCTTGGTCACCACAACAATCTTAATAACAATTTCTTACCACAACGATCACCACCAATAACATCACCCACTGCTATTACAAGCACTCCTACTGCACTGCACACGTTTATTGAGAAAGTCCATAAACAATCGTCACAAAGAGTGATTCCCACCTCTAGGAGTAATAACAATTTAAAACCAGCACAAAGTCGAAGGCATTCAGAAGTGCAACATAAACCCTCTTTTTTTGCTGAATCCACAAAAATCGGGGAAATCAATTCCAATAGTCATTCATCCAGTGGAAGTTCTCATGGATCATCAACAAACAGTCTAAATCGGTTCAATTACAACAAACCTTCAAGAGCACGACCTTCAACTAGTCAAATTGCATCAAGAATAACAGCCAATATGAAAGTAGGTTCCCCAATAGGTACTGGAGGTACAGTATCTGGAGACTTTAGACCAAAGAAAATATCACGAATATCCAAGACTCCAACATTAACAAGAGCTTCACGTCGTGTCAGCGAATCTTCACCTTATTTTGGAACTTCTTCTCATTCAAAATTTAAACATTAATTATAGGATATATGTATTTCTGTTTTTGTTTTAATGTAATATAACCTCTTAGGTAGGGAATAAACTTGTATACACATGGCCACTTCAGTTGATACTCGAAACAGTGAAGCTAAATGTTTTGAACAAAGTACACGCACAAAAGATGAGTATAAATTGATTGATTAATTCTCTGTGTTTAGTTTTCTTCATTTTTTTTTATTATTTTTTTTTTCTGGTCATTCTCTAGGATTGACTTTTAATAATCAGATAACATTTAGCATTACATTTCAGTCAAGAGGTACTTTTGTTTGGAAATTGATATATCAACAATAAAGAAGAATACGTTTATCATAGAAAGAATAAACTATAATTCTTTCTAAGTCGTTTGTATTTATTCATAGACATATTTTTCTTTATTGGTTATACACACTTTGTTTTTATTCTAGTCTTCTTAGAAGCTTCAAACAAAAAAGAACTTCCTTGATTTACTTTTACAATTTTTTTTTTGTTTGAACTTACTGTGTATATATATACATATCTAACTGATTGTTATCTATTTATATATATATGCATAAAGACGAGATATAGCTGAAATTTATCGGAGTTGAATTATTACATTTGTTTTTCACATTTGATATTTCAAATATTATATCCATCAACCATCACTGTTACAGTACGTTACTGAATCCAAAATAGACACCAGTACACGACCACTAAGAAATCATAATTGCACCCTAGCAAGAAGCAAAAAAAAAAAACAAAGAGAAATTGAGACAACCACTATTTTGAGATATATCAAAATGTCCTATTATCGTCCCAACTACAATCAAAATGGACGTCACAACAGCAATACTACTAATAATAACAACAACAATAACAACAAGAATTACTCTTATGATGATTATTCTGAATCTGAATACGAAGAGTATCCTGAACGTGGATATAATGCTGACGAATTTGCATCCCTTTTGAGTGGATTACGAAATACCACTCGTGCCATTCAGAACATCACTGATTACTGTGCAGAATATATTGATTTTGCTACTCCTATTTCTGAGGACATAAAGCGACATATTCTTAAAACAAATCCAGACTATAAATTGGCAGGGTTTTATCTTATCGATTATCTTGTCAAGACTATAGATCAACCTTATACAGCATTGTTTTCTAAAGACTTGTTGAAACTATTTGTAGATACTTATGGTGTTGTTAATGATAATGTTAGAAAAAAATTGATTGATCTTTTCATTATTTGGGAGAATCCAAGTGCTCCAAGATTTCCATCCAATGTATTGGTTAGATTACGAAAATGTATTATTTCTGTGACAAATAATCCAGATATTATTGACGAAACCAAAGAAGGTATATCAAGTCAAGTCCTCGTGCGAGATTTGAAAGCTCATAATAAATGTATAACCGAAAGAGATAAAGATCTTGATTTGTTTAAACAACATCCATTAGCTGAATTTTTTATTGGTGAAGATTGGGAAAAATTTGAAAAAGTGAAAACAGACAACTATGCATTAACTGCAGAAATAAATGGGATTTTTGATCAAATGGAGGGATTGGGTATTAGTACAACTATTGATCAGGGTCAACGTAATACGAGTCTTTTCAATGAGCAAGCAGAAGAGATTTTTGATCAAGTGATGAAAGTTAAAAAGGAACAAGATAGACAAAGCATTCAATGGAAAACTTTTAAACAAGAGATTGGCCTACTATTGTTCGAGAGAAAGCAAGAATATGAAAAACAAAAAATTAAAAAAGCTCGAAAGAATGTTGGCATTAGATATCTTAAGAATAATTATCATGAAATTGATCCAAATCCAGTCGGATCTTTTTTCCTGAATGTGTTAGACGATTCTGATGAGTTCAAGGAAGCAGTGAAAAAATTTGGTAAACCTATTAAATTCACTGATGAAGATTTGTTATTTGTTCATGAAGAAGATCAAGTCGATAACTATGAACCTGGATCCGACACAGGTGAAAGCAATGCCCTTATTGCTTTTCAAAATGAACCCAGTAGTAATTCATTGGGACTTGCTATTGACTTTGGTATTTTCAATGAAACTGATGATCCTGGAATTGAAGATAATATCCCAGCTGGTTCATCAGAGGATAATAACCGTGAATTAGCATTGGTTAGAGGAGATGGAAATACTGAGACAGCGGTTGCACAAGAGAATATGTCAAAAGTTGGTGAATTACAGTCGAGTTACAATAGTTCCAAACAGAACCAATCTGAATTACTTGATACCCTGGAGCTTCTTGAAAGATTCAAAAATAAATACCAAGTGAAAGATTCATCAAATGAAAAATTATTGACATCTAGTAGAGAACAGGTGCAGCAACCTCGTGATAATGAATATGGTCAACAACTACTGCAATTGCAGAATATAAATGGAGAAGGAAATACATCAACAGAGACAAATACCAAGAGATTGGATTCAAGTTCTATTATATCAACCCTTGAAGAGATTAGAAACAAGTACTTGACTCCAGCTTCTAACAATGGGAAAATCGATGAGACAGAGAGATCTCCAGTTGATAATGGCACACAATCAGTTAATACTAGCTCTATTAGTAACGTGAATGATGGAATGATGGTTGATGAAAGTCAAGAAGAACCTGTAGTAAGAACTGAAAAACAAGGTGAAAATAGAATTAGAAATTCTTCTCCATCAATCGCCCATACCCTGAATGCATCGCAAACAATAGCAACACATTCTACTACTCCAAAATCAGCTCCAATTCAATCAACAACCAATTTCGAAGATCAACATCAAAAACCAATACCGTCAACAACCAGAAGACCAAGTTTTTCATACATGGAGAAGTATGGTAATGCCAAACATCAACAGCTGGTCCGTACAAGTGAAACACTGAACCAACAAACTTTTGAAGACTCTACTTCCACTACATTATTACCACCGAGACAACCACAGCCACAATCACTGTTAGTAAGAAAGCATCCCGATCAACAGCAACAAAAATCACCACAACTACGTAGCCCAAATGAACCCTTTGTTCCACTACACAGTACGACTACGGGTTCCACCATAGCACCTGGAAATAGTGAACATTTGTCAATTTCTACACAACAGGAACCTCGACCATGGTCTCCTGTTCCACCTACAATTTCTCAATCACAGTCCGATCAAAACAAACAATTAAAGGTAAACGTATCGTTAGACATCACATCGCATAATAATAACCCGATTTCCAACAACAGTCCACAATCAAGCGTGGATGTACTGAATGAAATGACAACCAATAAAAATTCACCATCATTAGCACTGGAAGGTCCTACAAATACAGAAGTGTCTACAACATCATCCTCGACGACAAAGAAGCTAAGAATAAGTGATTATAAACAACAAAAGTCGCTTTCACCAACTATTAGAGTACCGTCACTGGCCAAAGAAAAGTCCATTTCATCTCCTACAGAACAAGCTACTTCACGCCCTCTGTTGGATTCAACTAGACATTCACATTCATATGGAGGTTTGGCCATTCCTAGACGTAAATCAAGTTTGAAGAGACCAAGTGACTCCAATATTTCATCGTCAAAACCTTCAAAGCTGGTTAGATTTGAGTAATTCTTGAAAATATCTATTGCTAATAACAAATAGTTACTTGTTGGATAATCTTGCTATTTATAAATCACTGCATAATCATCATCATCATCTCATTTGTATATGTACACCTCTCTACATTATTTATACTTGTCATAATAATAAAAGTATTGAATATATATTTCAAACTAGAATGCAAATACTAATAGCAATAAAATATAAAAAAAATTTAAAAGTAAATCAAGATTCAAAACATCCCTAAAACAAACTCTTGTATTACTTTCTGATAAAGAAACCTTGGTGGATTATATAATAATAATAATAATAATAATAATAATAATAATAATAATGAATAAACAAATTTTTTAAAATTATTCATTTATTTAATCAATCATTTATTCAGTTTGGTTAAAAGCACCAGATTTCTTCAATTGCCACCAAGAAGTCAAGAATGGGAAAGCAAAGAAGAATCCCATAACACCCCAGTAGTAAACAGCAAATGGAATGAATTTTCTGTTTTGAACTTTGAATGGCAAGTTAGTGTAAACACCTTCTTTGGCATGACCATAAACAAGAGTATTCATGTCCAATTTTTTGGAAGAAACTTGGAAGTTTCTTCTGGTGATGATTCTAGATGGAATAGTTCTGGTAGATCTTAAAGCAGATTGAGCAAACATTGTGATTAGGGTTTAAAATGATGTAATAATTGTAAGTCGTAGTAGTCGTATGATATTGTTAATTTTTTTTTTCTTCTGTCTTTCTCTCATTGAGATCTTTATTGGATTTCTTTTGTTACGGGCTATGATTGATTGAATATTAACTATGGTCGTGTACATGATAACGAAAAAACTGAAAATATAGCAGAACCAATAAAATCTCATTGGTTAAACATCAATTGGTGGATTACACGCGCGAGTACAATATGAGCTGATTTTGTATGGCTAATAGAAAACTTAACCCAAGAACCAAAGAGAGAGACAGAGGAAAGAAAAAAAAAAAAACTAAGAGAAAATCATCAACTGTTCTTAAAACAACACTCCATCACAACTAACCTCATATTTACATATTCATAATGGCTATTGCTCCAATTACTGGTACTTTGAAAAGAAAAATCATAACTGATATCTCCCTTGGTTTCGTCGCTGGTTTCGGTTTGGCTTTCTTATACTGGGAAGTTGAACACAAACCACTTATTGTTAAAAGAGATGCTTACTATGCTCAATTAAAGAAACAAAAGGAAATTGAAGAAAGTGCTTAAATATTAAAAGAAATGTGATTATTATCATTCATATTCATTAACTAAAATGATTTATATGTGTGTTTTTTGCAATGAACAATTTATTCAACATTTTTTTTATATATATATTTTTACAAGCTATATTATCTGATTAGCCTTATGAAATTACAGGATTAAGATTTCCTTTCCCCTTTGTTTTTTTTTTATTTGCATTCATATTCTCCAAATTTATTATTGTTATATAATTATTCTTTAATTTTGATATTAGGTATATTTGACAAAAAAAGAATACATATATCTATCTTAAAAAAAAAGCTTCACAAATTATTCATCATATTGTTTTACTCTGACATGAATTTCCAAAGCTTGTTACTATTGACAATACCATTGGTCAAGACAATGAGTTTCTTGGATTTGCCTTGTTTCTTAAACCTCTCCTGTAAGTATTTGAAACATGTTATTTCACTTCTAGTAATACCACCAATAATTACAATCACAAGGTATTCTGACTTGTCATCATTCACTTTCTCTAGATTCAAATCAACAGTGTCACCAGCAAACATGGTATTAACGCCTAAATTATCCCAATTTGGTCTTCTCTTGAGGTTGTTGACCGGTTTATACTTTAAGAAATCCCTAAAGTATAAAGATTCGACAAAACGATAAAGCAATGGAACCGTATTTCCTGGTAATGCAAATGACGGATTTGGGTATAAATCTAATAAATTTGTCAGTTCATTTGTACCACTTTCATTCATGTCCTGTTGTTCTGCATCTTCATCCTCAAATGGATGCAAGTTCCAGAATTTATTGATCAAAGTGTAGTTACTTCTAAAAGCATCTCTGCCACCAGATATTCCAATATTCTTATCCTCTTCAATGTCCAATTCATCAGGTATGGCTTTCTTCTTCTGCTTTGTTAAACCTAAACTGCTGAGAAAATCACCAGAAGATTCGTTTATAACTCTAATCATCTTGTAATCAATGAGCTTTTCTAAAGTAATAGAAGCTTCGATTCCATAGTTGTCCTGTAAATCAACAGAGATCCACTCAAGATCTTTACTTGAAATCCCATCATTCAAATAACCTATTAACAAAATTGTAGCAAAAACAAATTCTGATTGATAATTACTATTAGTGAAAAACTTTAAATTAGAAATATGAGCTTTATAATCCATGTCAAATATATCATTCTGAAATGTAAGAAAACTTTCATAGTCTTTATTTATCTTGTCTAGCACCTCTTCTCCGATAATAGTATGTTTTTTTACCAATTCTTCTTGAAGTGACAATGTACCAAGATTTGAAACCAACTGCTTGATGTCACTGATATTAGAATCTTCAACTGAGGTCTTGTTTTGGACTGTTGATGTTTTGAATTGCTGTTGGATATATTTCGCTAACTTATTCAAACGCAACCCGATGGATGAAAAGTTCAAATGTTTCAAATCTTGAGAGTATAATTCATCTTTAGACAAATTCTTATTGATATCTTTACTAGCTAAATGTTCAATAATTTCGAATCTTATGTCAAATAAATCATCTATTATCCCATGATAGTTCAATTGGTTAAACACACATGGTGTAAAATCGAGATTTCTTTCCAAAACAAACCAAATCTGTATTACTGTGAAGGGTATCCAAGTAAAAATCAATTTCCAACTTAGTCATATTTTCATTCAAGAATTCTGGAATTTTCGAATTTTGTAATTGATCAATGAGCAACTTTGCATGAGATCCTTTACCATAGATATTACGTATCTTAAAAAGATGATCATGCTTTTCATCAGTGATACCCATAAACAACAATTTAATCAAAGCATTTTCTAATTGGTTTACTTGCTTAAGTGGCCTTTCAAAATAGTCATCAAATCCAGCAAATTTATTAATCTCTGTAGTCAATATTCCATCAGCATAAATAGGATATGTTGCCCAGTTGAAAAGCTTAATCTTCGATGTAATATTAACCGGCTTTGTATTGATCTCAGGAACCAAGATATTTTCAAAACTGACAATCCCATTAAAAAGTTTGTTTATATGATATATGAATGGTTTCCCCAAGTCTTTAACAACAATATTAAGCTTCAAATTATGCAAATCCAGTTTTGAGTGTATTAGTTTATGCAAGATACTAATGTTCCCGATTGAACCAGTCGGTATCACAACAATCAAACTGGCGTACTTTGTCAAGACCCCGGATGAAACTTCCAATAATTCATTATTCAACCATAATATGTTCTGAAATTTGCCATGCTCTTTTAATTTGGTGAATGTAGTCAAGAAATTTATTAGTGGAGACAATACAGGATCTAAAACAAGCAAGTTATTAGACGTATAAATCTTTGAAAACTGGTCCAACAAGTTTTGTAGTGTCAAGTTATTGAACTCGAGTAATTGATGTGATGGCGATGCAAACTTATCTAATGTCATGGATAGACTAGTTCTGAGAGGTGGCTAAACTGTTGATATTAAAGTTGTGATTTATGATTACAAGTTTTTTTTTTGTTCGACTGTTGTCTCGATTTTTTAGTATCAACAAATGTATTGCAAAAATATTGTATATATACAAAACAACTACAACTTTGCATCTTTCAAATGTTTGTCTTGAAACTTAACCAAGCCTTCTTGTATAAAAGATGCAACTTGTACTCCTTTGTCGCTATAAATCTCACCTTCAAAAAGAACTCTATTGTGGGTTAATTTAGTACATCTATAAGACATATCCATCCATTTAGTCACATCAAAATCATCATCATGGAAATAAATAATATGGTCCAAGGATAAACTTTGATAATTTATGGCACGTTCATCCAAATTTAAATCATTGATACGTAAAATTCTATTCAAAGTACCCAAATATAATCCATCTGTAATATTAGCCAACCCAACATATTGGAAAGATTTATTAAGATTAACCAATGGTTGGTTGAATCCTTGTTCATTGTCAATACCCCATCTAACTAAAGCACTCATTCTGCGTTCAAATACCGGCAATCCCTCTTCTTCTTTGGAAGAGTCTAATTTAAGAAGTTCAGGTGGGAATTTATAATACAACAAAAGATTTGATTCCATATCAGTTACAGGTAAACTATCAATATCATGATCTTTAATCCATTTGTGATTTGGAGTTTGGAAAACAAATGGTTTTTGAGGTGCATTTTCATCATCTTCGTCATCCTCTTCTTCACCCTCGTCAACATCACCATCTTTTGCTCTTTGACGAATCTCAGCATGATAGTCTTCATATTTTTTCATGGCTACTTTATATGAATTTCTTCTGGTTAATGAAATACTTGCTATGTAGATAACAACACCATTTTGAATTCCTTTGACTGATCTATTGCAAAATGAATTACCATCTGAAACCACTTGAACGTCCCATTCAACAGGGATGGTATCACTTCCAGCACGAATGAAATATGAATGCAATGAATGAGGACTAAATTCTGGATCACAAGTTTTCATGGCCACTAATAAAGCTTGTCCTGCTAAATTTCCACCAAATACACCTCGAACTGTTGGGTGTGGTTTTACTAATGGCTTTACCCCCACATATTTGGTATCTGAAACTTTAATCACGTCAAATTCTTTCTGGACGTCTATTGTATCTCCGTTCTTGTAGTTATAAGTAGGCATTACTTGATTGAATAAATTATATATAATGATCTTCAAATTGAAGAAGTGAAGAAACAGGAATAATCTTGAAAGAAGTGATTTTTCTTTTCTTTTTTTTTTACGAAAGGACTTTTCCTTGTGAAAACGAAATGAACTTTTGAATGTGGGGGATAAAAAAATTATCAACAGAACTATGTGTAGGTGCATAACCCCGCTTAAAATAATACCGAGCTACAAGTTTTCAATTATTCCGCTTTTCTTTTTGCAATCATTCTTTATAAATGTCTATGTATATCTATATTCATAATATTAAAACTTTGGTTTATTCTTAATGACAAATAAACGCTCTTGTGACACACTCGCAACATGTACACCATTCTGGGTATAAACTTGACCATAGAATAATACTCTATCATGACTTAATCTAGTCACTTTAAGTGAGTAAATCAAATACTTTGTAGCATCAAATCCGCTATCATGGAAATAAATACTATGATCTAATGACACATCAAATGAACTTTCTACTTCAACTCCCATATTCTCAAAATAATAACGTAGTCTGAACCAATCAGTTACTGCTGCTAATGCAGCGTATTGATAATCCCTTGTCATGCCCACAATCCTTTCATTTTCGTCACCATATCGAATCAAAAAGGAAAAAACATCTCTTGAACATATTTCTGGAAATGATCTCACAGCAATATGTGTATGTGGATTCATGATAATAGTTTTACATTCAGATACATCACGACTAAGTTTTTGATAATAAGGTTCAACTTTTCTTTGGAATTGTAATGATGGTTTACCAGTTTTTTTAATCACTTCAGCATTGGAATTTTTCCTTGTTAAAGAAATATTTGAGGTGAAAACCACTTTTTTATTTTGTAATCCACGAATCATTCTATTAGCAAATGTTCTTCCTGTGCTTGTTTCATCAACTTCCCATTCAATTGGAGTTTCATCACTAACTGCTCTTACAAAATAAGCGTGAACGGAATTAGGTTGGAAACCTTCTGGAACTGATCTAATAGCAACAATCACCGATTGTGCAACTAAATTACCTCCATATACTCCACGGAATTGTCTGCCTTGTTTTTGTAATGGATTAACCCCTCTATATCTATTGTTGTCAATTTGCTTAACACCAAAAACAGTGGAAATGTCCACAGTGCGTAAACTTGAAATATTAGAAACCAGTGTCATTGATTATGAATGTTTAGTTGATTTTTCCTTATGATTATGTGTTTTTTTTTTTGAAAGAATAAATCCCTTTGAGAGATTTGGTCAATTATTTATAGAATTCGATGCGTTTCAAAAAGTAGGTACTCTTCTGCCCTGAATTGGGTTTATTGTCTTTGAGATACTTCCGCGGATTAAATATGATTTTTTATTTTTTTTTTGGGTAGAGAATGCTTTTGCGTCGTGGTAGCACTTTTTTTATTTCACCAGGCGCCGCCACAGCGACATAACATTCTTATTCTACAATTTCACATGTATAGATGTACCATATCACCAATGATTATAGTTTATGTCATTATTTTATTTCATTCTTTATCTGTCTACAAATCATGATCCCTTACATCCGTTATTTTTATCCTGTTTCCTTTAAAAAAAATTCACATTGTATAATGAAGCCGGTATATAAGCCAACCTACTTCCTAAAGCCTCAACTTGCATATCGAATAATGACAATAATAATAATAATAAATAATCACAGTAGATCCAAGTAATCTCCGATGAATTAAATCAAAGTTTTGGTGCTTCAGCAATAAATAATCGTTCCTGAACGATACTTGCAATATGACGACCAGTATCAGAATATACCTCTCCTTCTATTAATGCTCTTCCGTGTGCTAATTTGGATAATCTGATTGTTGTAGTTGACCATTTTGTAATATCAAAATCAGTACCATGGAAAAACACAGTATGATCAAGTGATACATTAAATTTTGGATCTAAATGAATATCCAAGTTTCGTAAAATTTGACCCAAGTCAAGTACATCTGAAATAGCTGCAAGTCCGACAAATTGATAAGGTTGACTGACATTTTTCCACGCATCATTTGTTTCACCCCATTTTACTGAATATGATATCTGATGAGAATGCAATTGTTTAGGATAGTTTTTCACTTCAATGAAAAGTGATGATTGATAATATGTGTCAAGTTCAGCGTTACTGTAAGTTTTAACAGTTTCATCAGGTGGTGTATCGTATGTAAAATCATCTTTAGAACCTGCAGAATTTCTCTTCGTTAAAGAAACAGCAGCAACATAAACGACGTTTCCATGTTGTATACCTTTAACAATTCTATTTGAAAATGATTTCCCATTAGATATGATTTCAACTTCCCATTCAACGGGAATATCTGGATCACCACCACGTATGAAATAACTATGAATCGAATGTGGTGTATATCCAACTGGGGCTGACTCAATACCAACCAAAACTGCTTGAGCACAGAAATTACCTCCATAAACTCCTCTTGTTCTTGGGGTTGGTTTATTCAATGGACGGTTTCCAATATATTTGTTTTTCGCTATTTTCTTCACTCCGTATACTTCTTCCACAGTAAGGTGACTCATGGTATAATTAATAATGATTATAAAGTGTATACAATAACTATTACCAAATTAACTCAAAAAAAAAAATTAAGTTTTGTTTCCAGAAGATCCAAGTTGGGTTATATATTTAACATAAAGTTGGACAAAAGAGTCCAAAAAAAAAAAATAATGAATCACAATTCCTTTGCCGAGGTTCTAATCGTATTATTTTTTTTTTCTCTATCTCTCTTGTTAGCGCTTCTGTGCCCCACATGATTGGAATTTTCCGCCAATAACAAATCCGGAGAAGCTCATTGGACTACAATTGATAAACACTAACCATCTATTAAATTTGAATATATAATGCCAATTATATACTATAACTTAGCACCAGCTTCAAGACCATTAAGTTGAACTAAACCTTCTTGCACAAATGAAGCAACTTGTACACCTTTGTGATTGTAAATTTGCCCTTCGAAAAGAACTCTGTTATGTGAGAATCTTATACATCTGCATGTAAATGAGTTCCATTGTCCCACATCAAGATCTTCATCATGGAAATACATTGAATGATCTAACGAAACTGAAAAATAATGAACAAGTTGAGTGTGATCAGCATCGTCAACTCGTAATATTCTTAATAATCTATTCAAATAAACGGCATCAGTTAAAGCAGCCATACCAACATATTGATATTCCGAGTTCAAGTTAACTAATGGTTGGTGATGACCATCTTCATTATTAATCCCCCATTTAAAATACCAACTCAATTTTCTATCAGCAGCAGGTCTTGCTTCTTCTTCTTTCGACGCTTCTAATGAAACGACTTCTGGGAAAAATTTATGATAAATTAAAAGAGAAGAAGATGGATTAGCAACAGGAAGATCCTCTATCTTGTGTTTATCAAACCATTCGTGTCTTTTTGCTTGAAATTCAAATGGCTTAACTCCGGTAGCCTCTTCAGTTTTCTTTGCAGAATTTTTCTTTGTTAAAGAAGCACTGGCTGTGTATACCAATTCACCTGCTTGAAATGCTTGTAAAGATCTATTGGCAAAATTTCTACCATTTGATGTTTCTTCAACTCTCCATTCTAAAGGTTCTTTATCATTGACAGCTTTAATGAAATATGAATGGAACAGGTGTGGTCTAAATTCTTCAGGACAAGATCTGATGGCAACCAATAATGCTTGTCCAGCTATATACCCACCATATGCACCTCTTGAACGTCTATCTGGTTTCGGTATTGGACGTTTGCCACGATATAAATTGATACCTATTTTTTCAACTCCGAATTCTGATTCCAAGTCAATCGCTTGATTCTGTGGGTAATTTGCTTCTGAAATATTTTCAATCATGAGTTGCTTATAATATAAATGTAATGAATAATTAAAAAGATTAGTGAAATCTATAAAGAATTGAAAAGAAGATAAGAATGAATTAAAAAAAAAAAAAATACAAGGAATGATAAGCTTTTTATATATCTGACGGAAAAATAATATGAAAATCGCAGAGAGATGGTTTATCCAGCGGAAGATGATTTTGTTTGAGTCTGTAACAACAAATTTTCACATGTAGCAAACAACAATATGCACACTCCCAAAAGAAATATTTCCTAACCAAGCCGTGTTTCATAATGGGAAACTGATGTAATATACGATGGGTAACAACGGTAATCTGTGACATATTACCTTGTTCTTGTCGGAGTATTTTTCAAAAACTTTATTATTTCTGTTTTGGAAAATCGCCTGTGATACATTTGTGTCAGTTATTCTTGGAAACAGTACTACCCGATAAGTTCTAATGTTTCCCTAGAGAATTATTTCATTTTACGCTGGAAAGACATCAGGTTTGAAGTAGCCATCATAAAGAAACTAGAACTTGTACTACTAGTGTTGTGAAATGACTATGCCGCGGCTCATTTAGTACGATATCACAGATATTTATACGCGCGATCTAAAGCTATCAGAACTGTTCTATTACAAAACACTATGAAACACTGTCAATCCTTCTTGAATAACAGTAGCAATACATTTATGTTTCTCATTGAAAATATAACCACGAACCATGCATCTATTATTAGATAATCTTTTCATTTGATAAGTAAATGTCAACCAGTCTTTACAAATATCAAAACCAGATTCATCATCTTCTGAAGTGCTATGAAAATAAATATGATGATCCAAACTCATTGCGTTATAGTGTACAATTTGATGGACATTAAGACTACGTCTCATTATATGAGTGGCATCTGTAGATGGATCATATGTACCATCAACCTGTAAGGAACGTGCAAAAGGAAGATGTAAAACTCTAGCCATGGTGGTAAGAAATGCAGAATCAGATAAATCCGTCAAACCAACAAGATTATACATGGGATCTCTAAATGATTGAGTATCTCGTGGTCTTAATATATTTTTCTCCAATGTATGAATTGTACCTTGAGCATCAGGAAATGGCTCCACGATAGTATCATATCTTGCATTAGGTTGAGGCTGATTACTTATTCCACTAAATACTGTCACCCACCTTTCTGCTGGTGCTTGTTTATCTTCTTCTGGGCATTCTCTATAATCAATAAGTTCTTTCCCAAATGCATTTCTAACAAAATCTGTATGTTGAACTTGATATAATTCATCTGGGTTGGGATACTTCAATTGGATTTTAGGTACTGGGGGACTAACATCAAAATCATGGACAGGTTTGCTATTAGGTCTTCTCAAAGTTACCAAACACGTCAAACGATGTCTCCCCTTTTGTTTGGCAATAACATATCGTTTACTTATATTTTCATCATCATACAATTTTTCAACTGTATAATCCATGGGAACTTTGGCATTTCCTGCTCCAATAAAATACAGATGGTATGAATCAGGTACGAAAACTTTATTTGTTTTTTCATCTCTTGTAGATTCAATACCTACTAATAAAGATTGTGCCATCATATGTCCTCCATAAACACCTCTTGCGCCTTGTATTGGTAATCGTAATGGATGTGCTCCCACATAATGAGTGTCGTCTATTTTGATTACTCTCAAAGCTTCTTCAAAGTCCGGAAACGGGTTCGGACCAGCCGATAATTCAAACATTTATAACCTGGAATAAAGTAGATTCTAAACTATAATGACTATTTTAATTTAAAAGGTGACTATAGTTGTGAATCGAGTAATGTTGAAAAAGTCTATGCTATATATAGTGGTCGGTGCCCCACATTGCTAGTACCAACTTTTTTCTTTGGTGCAGATTCTTTTTTTTTTTTTTTTTGTTTTTGTGGTGAATTAGTTTACTCCTCTTTTCAGGTGGGTTTTCCGTACTGGATCCGGCGGAGAGATTTCCAAAATTGGTGCTATTTTGCGGCGAGTATAGATTATTGACTTCTATGAGTTTTGCAACCCGCGGTTGCACTTTCATGTGAATTTCAATGGTTAGTTATCTGTTTGTAAGTTGACAGTGATAACAATTATAATCTTTGTGAATTGCTTACAAGACTACTCCTATTAAATGAAAAAGAGCTGTAAGTTGTTTCATGAGGAAGAATGGGACCATACCGTTTGCAGAACCAAGTCCGTCCCATAAACCCAAGATTGCATGCTAGGGGGAAAAAAATTATTGAACTAAATCTTCAGTCTAAAAACAGAAAACAGAAAAAAAAAAATTTGTGTCGTGATGGGTCGAGAAATGTTACATGATACAACCCAATGCAACGACCAACTATAACAGCCTATAGAAGTATAGACGATCTAAGACAGCTCAAAAAATGGTTTTACAAATATAATGATGGTGAAGATAATAGATTGAAAGCGGTACAAAAAGTTAAAGGATTAGCAATAAGAGGAAAACTTCCACATGGAGTTGAAGCGACTTCATTTTTAACAACAATGGTTTTGAATGATAATGAACAAGGACAAATAGACTCAAACACTTTACAATTATCATATACAATGGCATTAATTAGATTTGTGAATGGTTTGTTGGATCCATTTCAACAATCCAATTATGCTATTCCTATGCATTTGTTAGCCAAACAATTGAATCTACCAACTTATTTTGTTGAATTAAGACATATGGGGACTCATGAAAGTTTACCGAGTTTAGATATCTTGAGAATTACATGTGCTAATGCATTAAATTGGTTATATGAAAACTTTTGGAATAATATAAAAGATGTGGATGAAGAACTGGGTGCAACGTTGAAAGATCCGTTAAGGGAAGCATTGAATTTAAGAGTAAAAGAAATTGACACCATGTTGGAAAAATATCAGGTGTATAACAATCTTAAAATGTTCAAGAAAATACGTAAACAAGATTTGGATAAAGTCTATGACATTGATAATACAGAAGATGAAAGTGCAGTCAAGTATAATAAATGCATGGAGAATTTAGTAAATTTTTCAAGTGAAGATATGAAGTTACTAGTGGATATCTTGTTGTATAAGAATTATTTGATTTATCCTTCATTGAAAGTCAAAGATAAAAAATCAAAGTTTAATCCTTTGGTTGTCAAGTTGTATAAACCGTTGTTGGACAGGTTAGGGATACAGTGCAAGATAGAGTGTTTTGATCAAATCATAATTATAATGGAAAACAGGACCAAAGATCCATTGGAAGCAAAATTGCATAAAAAACTAGGGTTTGCTGAATTAACACATCATGATGAAATAATCCAGTTGGTAGAGTGGCTGGTGTATTTTGGTCAAGAGCTTATCGCATCAGAAACTATTCCAGAACAATTTGATAACAAAGAATCACTCATTAAAAAGATTTTGGATAACTTGCAACCAATAGAGAAAAAGATACCTGAATCCATACTTCCTACGTTTTCAAGTGGCCTTGATAGATTACTAGAAGCTATTTCAAAAGAAGAAATTCTGCAAAGCTTAGTTGAAAGATTATCTGACTGGATAAAACTGATTAGAAACTTACAGTCTACTAAAAAGACATATGAGTTACCACCCTCGTTGGATGATCTACTTGGTTCAACAGTATCTCTGTCTTCTAAACGACCATTGGAAGATAAGCCTAACCAGTATTCAGATACAAAGAAACGACACTTACCAAAAAACAATGAACTTTTCCTATTGACACCTCATGAAAATTGGAAACCAACACCATTTGGCACATGTGTATAGAATAATAGACATTAATGATTAACATCACACTCTTATCTAATCAGCAGCTCTGTCTATATTTTTTTAGCAGGTCGACACTACGTATTACATCACATCACACGCTCGTAGCACCAGTACCACGACAAAGAAAGAAAAAAAAAAATATCACAAATTTGTTAGCAAAGATAAAATCAGGTTGTGGGATTCTGTTCTCACTCACTTTCTCTATCCAACCAGCAAAATTGCACACCTTGGTAACCAACCAAAAAAAAGAAAGCCCACGATAAGGATTTTGGATCTCAATCTATAGAACATTATTTTCTAACCACATACCCTACTAATCAGGTTCTATACTTTGTTCAAGTTATTAGTTTAACACGATCACAACTAGCAAGTCTTACCATCTCTCTAATCATTCCTTGTTAATAGTATTTAATTTTAAGACTTTGATCCCGTACTCCATACTTTCCCCTTTTTTTTTGCCCATTACAAAAATTATAGTCACATCCTAAACAAAACACCCACTATAATAATAATAATACCAAGCTAAAGCCACAGTAATAATCACAATAACATTTCATAATACTAGATGAGTCCCCAATGGATACCACAGAATATACAGAAAAGGCTACTTTTATACGTCCTTCAGCAACTATCATTGTTTTCCGAGATTGATTTGCCTAATCTTGAGGAAGTCTCACTAAATAATATTGTTCTTAAAAATATTGCCATTGATCCAGAAAAAGTAGGAAAACTTCCCGGATGTAATCTTAGATATGGACAACTTGGATCTTTAGAATTGGCTACCATATCAGGTATAAGTGGAGTCAATATTGAAGTTAATGATGTTGAACTTGTGATTTCTCCAGATTTTGATATTGATGAAGATATTGCTAACCATGTAGCGCATCTGTTGGCTCAAAGTACGGCCGATTTGGCCAACACAATCATGCTTGATAATGAAATCGATGACAACAATGAGGATGATAATACTTCTTCGGGTAATCAAATAAAGGACAATTATGATGATGATGATGATGATGATGATGATGATGATAGTGATGAAGATATCCCTAAGACTAATGACAAGACACGTCGAGCTAGCCTAACTGGGAAGAAACCTTCAACTTTGGGAGGAGTCATGCAAAAAGCTGTTGAGATGGCATTACTGAGATTACAAGTGAAGATCAGTAATCTAAGGGTCAAGATAATTTCTGAGTTGACAGATTTGCTAATGGAAGTAGATACTATTGATATAAAGAGTATTAATGGTACGCGAAATGTCAAAGTTGAAGGAGCTCGATTAAAGACTTTAAAACCATTAGTCAATCCAGGTGAATCCTGTGCAACTAAAGAATCAAAATCAACTGGTGAGAATAAATCCAATCCTAAAGATACACATACACATAATGAAGTAAACGAAAAGAATAGTGATGACGATGACAAAGAAGAAGATGATGATGATGAAGATGACACCAATGATTATGGTGATGAATCTTTGATGGATAGCATGGTTTTCACACATGAAGAAGCAAGCTCGATATACATGAGTGCTACATCACAATCTTTTGAGAAATCAACAACTTCACAAGGACCTGAAGGAGTTGACAATAAAGCTGATGAGGAGAGCACAGAAAACCAAGATCCACCAATTGTTTTTCATATGGATGAGTGTGCTATAGAGTTTGATGGGTTAGCAACAATATCAAATTTGGAAGTTGAAATTGGCAATATAAATTTGGCATTCACTCCGTTGACACCAACATTGATATCGATTCTACAAGGAGTAACAAAAAGTCTCAAGATTAAATATTACCAGAAAAAGAAGAATGCAAAAACAAAACTTGCACAACGAAACAGGAAATTCCCACAATATGCTGAAGAAGATGATGAAGTGGTTGATGATGAGCCACAACAAAATAGTGATTCTGAAGATCCATTTTTCAACAAACTCAAGATTAACAACTTTGTTATTAGTACAACATCTGCATTGAGTGGAACTGGAGAATTTACAAGTAATAATGGTATCAACATAATCTTTTCTAACATAAATATCAAACAAAAAAATGAGTTGTTGTTATATGGTGGGGTTGAATCGGTAAAGATTACACGTTTTGAAAAAGACACCATTTTTGATATTTTTCAATTTGAAAAACCTCTTGTTCTGCAATCGCCCGTTTCCCCTGATTCTGGTTCATCGATATCTAGCAACACGCCTACGAAAGCGGATGTACGGTTTGAAGTGTTTAAGAAAGCGGAAACAGCTGGTGATTTGGAAATTACAGTATTGATGGCAAAAAGTGCATATTTCAATTTTGATCTACAAAGTTTTTTAATTTTATCGAATTTTGCTAAAGCATTGAGCTCCATTATGGATGAATATAGTGTGTTAAAGAAAGTGATTGATAAATGGGGAACAGAATTAAGTAAACTAGAAAAGAAAGGAGATGTCTCAGAAGATGCCACTAAAATCCAGTTTATTTTACAAACTGCATCGATTTTTGCCAATACCGTTGTTGCCCGTGATTTACAACTTCAATTGATAGTTTTCCCGATAAAGTTCAATTTAATGCAAGATCAGTTAACCATATCGAAGATATTACTTAATTCAATACATGGTAATGTTGTGGATGAAGGATTGGTAACGATTTCAGACATTGCTTTTATAACGAAAACTAGTGAATTCAAAGCTTTTGTTCAATCATCTACAACAAGTTCATCGAATTCGAATTCTCCTTCATTGCCTCGTCTTACCAATATGATTTCGAAGCTGAGCTTGACCATACAAAAGATTGCTGTCGACTTATCAATGGAACGTTTGAAGTTTATTGGTGATAAAGTAAAAGTGTTTCTAGATAACTTTGTTGAACAATCGCCAAATCAATTGAATTCTTTGGAGAACTCATTTATGGATGAACCTCATAGAAAGGGCAACTCGAAGTTGGAAAGTTCAATGCTGATGGCTTCATCATTGCACTATAGTACAAGACGATCAGGTAGACGTCTTGGGCTTGGTTTAAATAATTCTCCTAGTTTATTTTTGGGATCTGTAAATAGAGTCAACCTGGTTTCGTTTCAATTAATTATCAAAGAAATCACTATTAGCATTACTAATGTGTTTCCAAAGTTTGGAGATTTGAATATTGGTTTGTCTGAGATTCAAATGTATAAGACCAAACAGGATATTCATGGACATGTTATGTTTGTTGGTGTTGACAGGAAAAAGGACGATTTGGTTGAAAGACTAGTGCATCAATACCAGGATTTACCGCTTGATAAACTTGCATTCCCATTGATACAGATTAAATGTAAACTTGGTGAAAGAACCAATAAGATCGAAGTGATTGCAAGAAACTTGCTACTTGAATATTACACTCATTGGTTGCTTTTAATGAACAAGGATGAATCGATAATAGATGCCGTTGAAGAGGAAATTATTGAGAAGGTGGCACCTTCATCTAAATCATCATCACCGACAAAATTTGATGTCAGATATACCATTTATGACTGTATGATTGGATTAAGTCCAGGAAGACTTGATTGTAAGAGTTATTTGTTGATTGGGAAGGGGAACTCTGATCTTTCGTTTGGAATCAATCAATTTTATATTAAATGTTCATTTAGGAATCTTACGATGGTGTTGATTGATGATGCTAAGAATTTCATTCCTTTTGAAACAAAGAAACAAAATCGTCGGAGTGCAAGTGGACAAGTCCCATATGACTACATATACCCATTAGAGTATTATTTGAATCTGGGATATATACAAATTGGATCTATAAATGTCGCTCATGTTGGAATAACTTTTAATACCGATATTGAAGAACTCAAAAAGAGGAATGAACGACTTGGAATTAGAGATAGTTTATCACTTGTTGATTTGAAGATCAATTCTGATGAACATCAAATTAATTTATGTGCTGATTCAGCAAATACTTTAATTCAGTTGATTAATGACTTGAAATTACCATTGGATTTCAAGGATGAAGATAAGATGAAGGTCAAGTTTTCAGGTCCTATTGATGTAATGAAAGATATTGAAGAGAATATCTTTAAGGATTTAGAGGAAGAATTTACAGAGTTGACAATAGATGAGGATGGAAATCCTAGTGAGAGTAGTTCACAAGAAGCATCATCATTATTGTTTGACGAGAGACATTTTGAGAAAGAAAGTCGTTCAGTTTATGATAATACTAATGTTGATCCTTTGCATATTAATATTAATTTATCCAAGACTAGTATTTATCTCCATGATGGATATGATTGGAAAGAAACAAGAAAAGCTATCAGAGGTACAGTTAAGAAGTTTGAAAAACAACAACGGGAAAGACAAGATTTGGAGCAAGATCAATTGCAAGATACTAATGAACCTCCAAAAAGAACAAGAGTTGAGTTTGATATTGAAGAGGTTCCAGAAGAGCAAGAAAATGATGTCATGGAGGAAACATTATATCAATCCATCCATCTTAGCGCTCCTAAGAAATCAAACGCAGTTGATTTGACTGCAAGTATTAATATGGAGTTGCAAAATGGAGATGTTGATGATGATGACTTGGATGATGTTGATAAATTTGAATCTAATGTTTCTCTGGGTAAGAATTATAAGAATTTAAAACTCAGACGTTCTGCTAAACATAAAATTTTAATTGATTTAAAGAATATTGAAGTGGGGGTTATTGTCTATTCCACACGTGATCCAAGAAAGGACAAAACTGATGAAAATATGGAGTTTGAATTGTTGAATTTAGTAGAAGTTCGGGTCAATACCATTAATGTTTATGATAATTTACCATCATCTACTTGGAACAAGTTTCTTGGGTATATGAATATTCTTGGAGAAAGAGAAATTGGTACCAATATGTTGAATGTTTCGATTTTGAATGTTAGACCAGACCCTACAATGGTTGCTGCTGAAGCTATTATGAATATCTCTGTATTACCATTGAGATTGCATATCGATCAAGATGCATTAGATTTCATGGTTAGATTCTTTGAATTCAAAGATGAAAGATTTGAATTACCTCCAGATGAGATTGTATACATTCAAAAATTTGAAATGAGTCCTGTTAAATTAAAAGTTGATTATAAACCAAAGAAAGTTGATTTTGCAAGTTTAAGGTCTGGCAAAGCTGGTGAATTTGCAAATTTTTTTACGTTAGATGGAGCTACTTTAACATTACCTAAAGTTAAATTATTTGGTTTAGATGGAGCTGCTAAGATTGGTGCTGGGTTAGGTAAATCATATATTCCAGTATTTCAACTGACACAAGTTATTGGTATTATTGCTGGACTTTCACCATTAAGATCAGTTGTTAACATTGGCGGTGGTTTTAAAGACTTGATTGCCATTCCTATCAATGAATATAAAAAAGATGGTAGATTATGGAGAAGTATTCAAAAGGGAACAACTTCTTTTGCCAAAACTACAGGATATGAATTGTTGAATCTTGGAGTGAAGTTAGCATCTGGTACTCAAGTATTATTGGAGCAAGGTGAAGAACTATTTGGAGGTGAAGGGTCGTCAGCTAGAACACCAAAAAATCAAAGACAACGTCGACGTTCTTCGAGTGCATCAGATACGCTGGTTCAATTAGTAGAAGGTGGTGGTGGTGGTGGATCGAGGCGTAAGAATTTACTTGAAAGCTCTCAATTGTTGAACAAAGCATCTAGTAAGATGAAACATCAAGATGTTGGAGCAAATAAGTTGTATTCCAACGTCGAATTAGATGATGAGGATATGGATGGAGATGGTCGTATAACTAATGAATTATTGAGTAAATCGATATTCTTATTGGCTCCAGTTTCGGATGACAAAGGAGAGAAATCCGATGGAGAAGAAGAATTTGAAATTTACCCGTATAGCTTGTATGCGAATCAACCGGAGACAGTAGGAGAAGGATTAAAATTGGCGTTTAAGAACTTCAATAGAAACATGCAACTTACAAAAGAAGAATTGGTCAAATTACAAGGAACTGAGAATGCCAAAGGGGCAATGCAACAGATACCTGTTATCTTGCTTCGACCAATGATTGGTACAAGTGAGGCCATTGCCAATGTTTTACTGGGAATTAGTAACTCTATTGATAAGGATAAATTAATTGAGAAACAAGAAAAATATGGTTCATAGTTTAAATAGGAGATTTTTCCTTTTCTATTATTATTATCATTTTTCTGATAATATTTAATGTGTAAAAATGAGAAATTGACTGTGTATGTAGATAAGATGCAAATAATACATGCAAAGGAATATTTCTTGGTAACGTGTATCTACAGTAAAAGATCAGCGTCAATTAATCGATCGTTTTTGATTTTTGAATATAGTATCTGTGACTTGTGTGACTGGTGTGACTCGGGTGGTTTGAGATGTGAGATGTGAGATGTGAGAAATGGCAGTTTAAGCCGTACTGTGTGTTTGTACTCACACGACTATCTCTCTCTCTTCCTCTTTCTTCCTCTCTAATCAAGCGACACGTGCATTAGCCAGGTCGTTCTTTGTTTAGTTTAATTTATTTTGTGTTTTGACAAGAGTTGAAAGACAAGACGAAGAGGCTCAGCAAAAGCAAATAAAAAAAAATTTTTGTTGGCGGCAGTTGTTGTTGGATAGTAGTGTACGCAGTGACAATTTGATGTTTTTCCTTGCTTACGGCGCTGACAAGAAAAAAAAAAAATAAAAATAATTTTCCTGTCCGGATTTATGAAATTGTTCCCGATGATAAGAAGCAATGAAATTTATGGAATTGAAAAAAAAAAAAATTCTTAACTATGTTCAAAGTGGAGAAGTAAAGTTATAACTACAAATGGGCATTTCAAAGATAACAACAATAGGAATAAGAAAAACATTGCTTCTCCTCTCTTTCTAAATTGACACGGCTCAAAATTTGTTCTATCGTTAATCTAAATAGGGGCAACGCACGTCTAATATTATTGCTGCAAAAGAAATTAGACCGATGTCATTATACACCTAGAAGCGTAGACAGTTAGAGAGAAAAAAAATTTTTTTATTCCCTTGTGTTATTTGGTGCGGCATTTGAATTGAACTCAACTTATACCATCGGAGAAATTAAATGAAGACAAAACCAATATTGTGGGTGAATTGTTTTGTTCACTTTTACGGGGAAAGGCTCGGGGCGTCTCTTATATGTAGAATGGACTACTGCTACAATCATTTCAATCTTTTTTTTTATCTTCTTATTTTGAGTAATTTCATACCAGGTCATCTCACTCGCATTTGATTCCCTTTTCAAAAAATTAGTTCCTGTAACAAAGATGATCGAACCATCCAAGCAACAGTCAACAGTCAACAAGTCAACAAGCTGCAACGAGCAAGAAAAAAAAAAGAAACTATGGGAAATGCTTGGTCTAAGATGCATGGAGGGATAACAATCATCACAAAGCAAATCCTTAAACCAAAAAAAAAAATTGGAAGATATCTCGCTGATTATCTTTCAAGTTAAATGATTACAAAATTGAAAATGCCTTGCATTTCTATTTCTTTTTTTTTTTTGGCATTTGGTTTTTGTCTTAGTTTTTAGTTTCTAGTTTGTGTCTATGCATATACTCAAGGTTTTGGTTCCCTTCAGTTTCCTCTGCTCTTCTCCTCACACATATATTTCGCCTCGGATTTTTCATACTTTTTTTGATTTAACGTAAAGCTACATATAAAAGGAGAAACATTTTTCCTTGATTTTTATTTGAGAGAATATCTTTATCATTATGATTGTTTTCTTCTTCTCTTCTCTTCTTTTCTCTTCTCTTCTGTAGAGTTAAATAGTATACGATCTCATCCTTATGTCATATTACTTGATATCACATAATCATAAAACATACCTTCAATCAGTTCATTAACATACACCTGCAACAACAAAGATTAATTCTTTTCATTTGCACACTTTTATTTAAATTAACAACATAAAATCCAAATCACCACCACTTAAAAACAATTTAAATGGCGGCATTTCCTTCACAAACTTCTAATAGATCTAATTCTATTGAAGAAATTAATCCAGTACAATACAATACAAGTTCACTGAATACCGACGATTTAGAAGTTGGAATTAATGAAGACAAACTTAAAGATGAATCAACCACTGAAGCTCATGAATTTAATACCTCTTCAGATGATGCTTCTAGTAATCATTTATCATACTGGCAAAGAATCAAATTAAGATTCCCTTGGTATAAATTGGGTATTCATGTATTTTTTGGTTGTTTTTTCACTGCTTGGTGGTTATCCATTATTATTCAAGAAAAACATAGACATCAATGGTTAATCCCAACTGTTATTTGGGGTATGATCATGGTTAGATTGATTACTTGGCATGTTAAAATCTTACATTGGATTTTATATAAAGTTAAAATCGTATGGGATTTTGTTACTGATCGTGTTTACAGTGTTCTTAATCAAAGATATCAAAGATTAATTGCTGGTGCTACTGTCACCGTTGGTGTTATTTTATTAGGTACTTTTATTCCAAGTGAAACTGATTATTCTAAAAGAAAAGATAGAGCTGTTTCGTTTTTTGGTTGTGTTGTTGCTATCTTTGGTTTATTTGTAACTTCAAGAGCTCGTTCTAAGATTAATTGGAATGCAGTTATTGGTGGTATGTTGATGCAATTTATTGTTGCTGTTTTCGTGTTAAGAACTAAAGCAGGTTATGATATTTTCAATTTTATCTCTACTTTAGCTAGAGAATTATTAGGTTTTGCTAAAGATGGGGTTGCCTTTTTAACTAATGCTGAAGTTTCTCAATACGGTATGTTCTTCTTTGCTGTCTTACCAGCTGTTGCCTTTTTCGTTGCCTTTGTTCACATTTGGTATTATTATGGTGTTATCCAATGGGCTATTGGTAAATTTGCATACTTTTTCTTCTGGACTTTAAGAGTTTCTGGTGCTGAAGCCATTACTGCATCTGCTTCTCCATTTATTGGTATTGGTGAGAGTGCTATTTTAATTAAAGACTTGATGCCATATTTAACCAAAGCTGAATTGCATCAAATTATGACTTCTGGTTTCTCTACCATTTCCGGTGCTGTTTTAGTTGGTTATATTGGTTTAGGTTTAAACCCTCAAGCTTTAGTCAGTTCTTGTGTTATGTCCATTCCTGCTTCATTGGCTGTCTCCAAATTGAGATATCCAGAACTTGAAAATCCTATTTCTAGTGGTAAAGTTATGATTCCAAAACTTGATAATATTGATGAAGATGGTAAAAAACAAAATGAAAATGAAGAAGCTCATAATGTCTTGCAAGCTTTCTCAAATGGTGCCACTTTGGGTTTAAGAATTGCTGGTACTATGTTGGTTCAATGTATGTGTATTATTGCCATTGTTGCCTTGGGTAATGGTATTTTAACCTGGTTTGGTAACTATTGGAACATTAATGAATTAACTTTGGAATTAATGTTGTCCTATTTATTCTACCCAATTTCTTTCTTGTTGGGTACACCAAGAGATGAAATTTTACTTGTTAGTAAATTGATTGCCTACAAATTTATCCAAAATGAATATGTTGCTTATAATTTATTGATGAATGAAGCTCCATATAATCAAATGTCCAAGAGAGGTACTTTAATTGCTACTTACTCATGTTGTGGATTTGCCAACTTGGGTTCTATGGGTATTACTTTGGGTGTTTTAAATACTTTAACCAATAACTCCAGATCAAAAGATATTTCAAAAACCATTTTCTCATCTTTATTCTGTGGTGGTATTGCTACTTTAATGTCTGCTGCCATTGCTGGTATGGTTATGCATGATTTGGATGCTTTTACTTAGATCACAACATGGACACTTCTGTTGGTCATATTAATGTTTTAAAATATGTCTTATCCTTTCTAATTTTTTTTTTTTCTTTCTTGTAATATAAGTCAGTTTGCTAATTCTTTGTAAACTTGAAGCTTTGCAACTTACCATTGGTTCATGATTTACAACCCTCCTTGATTTTTTTAACAAAAGTACACGTCCTGACATTGGCTATTAAATTTTTTTTTCTTTTCTCTGTTCAGCATATAAAAGGGAGACCAATTCCTCTCCCACATTAAAAAAATAGATGTTCACTTTTTTGGATATCACTATGCTTAATTGATGATAGGCGGCTAATAGGTCGATTTTTAGTGGATATTATTCCAACATTTTACTAACGTTTACGATTACTTCTAGCATCTATTACTGTTTATAAGTAATTATAATCTATATATATATACTATTTTATTTTATCGTTTCATTTGTCTGTAGCTGAGTGTATTGTAGATTGATACGTTATTACTTCTTCACATAGAAGACATATCGAAACTGGCTTTAAGCATTAACTCATTTTAGTCTATATCCCTTCTATTCAATTAACCTATCTCATTTGTTACTCTTGACCCACTCTATGTGTTATCATTGCTTGATGACTGTATTCAAGTCGTGTCATAGTCAATCGTAGGTTTATATTGTTGATTCAAATGGCAAAGGAGGGGAAGAAGAAGAAAAGAAAAAAAAATTAGAACACAATACACAACCCATACTAATCTTCACTACTAATACTATTTTACAATGTCACCAAGGACTAAATCACCAGATAATTCATGTGGAGAGGCAATTACACGTGGAGTGGTGGATTTAATTGAATCTAATTTACCAAAAGAATTAGTTAATTTATCACAAAAGGCAACACAAGGAATACTTCAATCACGTATATCTGGATATGAAGAATTTTTAACAAATATAAAGAATTTATTCATGGAAAATCCATTGTCTGAACATCAATATCTATGGTTAGAATCAATTCATAGATTAGCTTCAATTTTACTTAAATTGAAAATATCCTTCAGTGATTTATATTTACATTTACAACCTCATGAAATTGAAAATATTGCCAATCAAGCTATACCAATGGGTAATAAATTATTTGAATTTACTAATGAATTAAGTCAATTATTTAATGAGTTTTTCTCTAATCTGTCTAAAATTCCAAACATTTTCCAATCAAAAGCACGTCAATTGATTCTGATTGTGTTAGATATGTTACTTGTTGATGAACTTGAAGAGTCAGGTTTCACCAATATTGCTAGTAGCATGTTACAACTGATTCAATTGTTTTTATTAAATTATAGAGCAAATATCACTATACTTGTACAATTCAGTGAAGCAGTTTATAAATTAGGGATGTCACCTTTAATAATCCCATTATTGGATGATTTTAATCCAGAAACTCCAATGGAGTTAATAAATAATGGTGGAATCAACCTAGCTGATATAATGAATTATTATCGTTATACCGCATTCAATTTAGTTTCATTATCAATGGATAATGATAGAAAATATAACAAGTTGGCAGAAGTGTACTTTAGGATTTTGTTACGTTTTCCAAATTTAAGTGTGTCTTTATATTGTTCTGAAGAAGAAGAAAAACCCACTGAAGGAAATGATAAAAGAGATCAATTTATAATTAATTTGCCAGAAAGACAGGAGCTTTCATTGATGTATGTTTTGAATTATCTTTTATCATTAAACTCATTAAGAAAATTAATTGAAACTTCACCATTATACAAGGACGAATTGAAATTTTTAGTTAAAAGCTTATCATCGTGTCTTTCTAAAGATATCGATCAATTGGCTTCTCAACCTGGAAGTACCCGTTCAAGTATGGTTTCCATTCCTCAATTTACTAATGAAATTGAACGTAAAATTGCATTGGAAAAGAAATTTACCAGTAAATCCAAATTCTCCTCATTAGGTGGCGTTATTCTACATGGTTCATATAAGGAAAAGTTGAAATTGGTGGTGAATTTTGGTGAGGTCTTTGATACTCCAAATACAAAACTCTCAACGATTATTGAGAAATTGTCAACAAATATCATCATTGAGTCAAATAAAGTAATTGAGAAATTGGTAATTGCTATATCAACAATAGTTTCTAATTTAAATAGTTTGAGTTAAATTATTAGTATGTGTATTTTGATGTCTATAAACCTTCTACAAATTCGTCAATATCTTTTTGTAAAGTATCCACAATTAATTCTAAATCAACATCTATACCACCAATAACAATATTCATACCTTCTGGTGAAGAAATGACATTGTATTGCAAATACGACAGGAAACCATTATCTTGACTAAACCAACAAGGCATAGGTAATTGACCAACATTTGATATTTCAAAAGTTACTCTTCCATAAGTACCAATTTTTGCTTTAATATAATTTGAAACACTAACTAAATTTAACATACCAGCTAAAAAGAAAGGCTCTCTAGTTTTAAGATCTTTATTCAAACGATCAGAAACATATGAAGCAACTTTAGTTGGATTTGTACCTGGTTCAATTGAAAAATCACTAGCTGCCACTAAATTTTGAACTGGAAATTTCTTAAAATCTAAATAACGTCTACCATTCAATGGAATTGAATATGACATTGTTTTATTAGGATGAATTTTTTGAAATGAACTTTGGATTATACTAGCAAACCAAGGAGTAAATTTTGTTCCTGAAGCTCTTGTAAATGATAAGATTGACTTGGTTTGTTCTTTGGAAATTTTCAAAATTCTGTAATCTGTATGTTGACCTATTTGAATTTGAGATGGTTGAAATCTAGGATATTTGTACACATTAGGATAGCTGAAATAAGCAAGGATTCTTTTAATCCAAGTAGGTATATAGCTTTTGATTACTGTAGTAAGAGTAAACCAAAAAGATGGTTTATAAAGTGAATCAATAAAACCTGGTAATGAAGTCACATCACCATTTAATTTTTCTTTAAATTCAAGATTGTCTGGCAATTCAGTTAATTGTTTTAATAATTCTTTATGGAAAAATGCACCAACATTACCATCAAAAAATCCATGATTACAACATAATGTTATTCTATTGTCTTTAATGTATAATCTCCATAATGGTTTGTCACAATTAACATCAAAATGTATAGAATTCAAAAATTCAAAAAATTCAGGAACAGGATCATATTCGGTTTGATAAACAACTGAATCATAAGTCAATGGTATACCCATCAATCCAAAATTTTTATAATCATCATCCAAACTATTGTCTCCAAAAAAGTTGCAACCTAAAATTGGATTCTCTTTGATTATGTTAAATAATGCATTTGATAATTTTTCTTTAGTTACTTCCACTGGATATTCTGCAGTAATGTTAAAGTTCAGGTAGTAATTATGATCAGTACGAAAAATCTGATATCTTTCAAAGAATGAAGCCGGGCGTAATATAGATGTCATTATTTCTTAAGTAGTTAATTGGTTTTAAGAGCAATTTTAAAAAGAAAAAAAAAAGCCATCCAGCGACAAATCGAGATTTATTTAAACTTTTCAAGATTCAAATATTTCAACATCATCAGGACAAGAAACACGACCAAAATCAACAAATTTGACAGTTTAGCAAAAGATAAGGCAATTGATACGGTATTGGTTTGCCGTGATTCGCGATAAAACAAAACATTTCGCTGGTACTAGTAAATAGGGGTAATGAAAACTATTGATATATTCGCATTCAAGATACCTTTGGGGAAAATGATGCGCCTCGATTGAAACAGTGTTGATAAAAAGGAATACTATTGCTGGACGGCTAATTTGTTTGGATCCCCAAAAAGTAAGAATCACCGTTACTTGGATTTATAGTCGCGGCATTCTTTCTACGTAAAAAAGAGAAGAATATTCAAAAAAAACAAATGTCCTCGGCGAGGCTCGAACTCGCGACCTTCAGATTATGAGACTGACGCTTTAGCCAACTAAGCCACGAAGACGATTTGTTGGAAGTGATTCACAGGGTACATGTTGTGGATGTGTCTATAAATTCGATGAAATTATAATATACCTGTGATGGTTCAAATTCAAAATAATTTTTAAATATTTCCAGATATGAACATGAGTGTGAAATACTGGGTCATATGTGAATTGCATCCACGAATTTTATTGTTAGAAGTGTTTTTTTTGGTCTCTAGTGATTACTTTGTAACAGTAATTAATTGTCAACAGGGATTACATAATCTTGTGGTTATCAACAATAATCGCATAAAAAAATTGTCTATTTTTAGAGTGCGATCAATTTCCACTTTAATGCTAGGTTGCCATATACATCTCAACTCAGTGATATCAATGGTCTAGCTGACAAATACCGACGTCAATTTATACTAATATTGCTGCTAGCATAGCACCAATTAGAGTTTGCATTGATTGTACAAGATAAAGGCAACTTAAAACAACCACTCTTTAGGTAAACCTCCAACAGATTTTTTGCTCAATGGATTTACGAACTTCGAATCCCCAGCTTCAGAATGTTGGTCACACCCCAAAAAAAATTGCTTCTCTTGAATAATTCAGATTTTAGTCAGACTATCAAGTATAAATTGTCAATTAGGATACCGTCTTCTGAATCGCCATGAATTTACTTGATCTCCCAGAAGAGGTTATATGTTTAATCTTTAGTCTTATACCCAATGAGTACTTAATTAATTTTATCGATACTCCAAAAATTCATCAGTATGGAGCAAAGCGATTGTATTCAACTATCAGGATAAAATATGATTATTTTAATTCTTTACATTGTCCACTCGATGATGATGGAATACCAGTTTTGAGAAATGGGTATGCATACCTATCCCTACTTCGAGCAATCCCAGATATCAAGCCGCAAAAAGTCATAATTCATGATTCCTTGGATGCTATTATTTTAGCTAAATACTATCCTAGTAGTTTAACTGGTATAAAAACGGTGGTGGTTGTCATTTGTCTGTATGATTATTTCGATCAGCTTTTGGAGATACAGATGCTTGCTTCTAAATATTCAATAAACTTTCAATGGGATTTGAAAATTAATAATGATAATTATCTCCCGTCCGAACATTCCACGATTCCCATGAATGTTAGATCGTTGGATATACGTAACTCTCATGAAGTCGATAAAATTTTTAAAAATAGTTGGTCTAATCTAATCGAACTTCGAGTTCCTATTTCCTTTAGCCACAATGAAATCAAATGTCTTCCTGATCAACTACAGATATTAGAATGCAAACTTTTCATGGTAAAAGCTCCTCTTAAAGAGAATAGTCTTAAGTTGGAATTTCCTAGCTCATTAAGAACTTTGGTAATTCTGGAGATTACGTATTATCCGTCAAGTGCTGTAACCATAGATTTCACATTGTCTTCCAATCTCAAAATTCTTTCGATTTTTTATTGTGACATACGAATTCTAGAATTCTGTGAATGGAAATTTCCAAAATGCTTGACATCGTTTACAGCCGATTTCAACCCAAATACGTCAATAGTCTGGAAAACAATGTGCCCAGAACTTAATGAATTTGTATTAAGAAACCCTGAAAGCGATGTTGGAACAATTATCAATTTGCTAAAGAGTTTACCCCCTACTTTGCAACGATTAGTTATCCCAGAATGTATGGGTTTTGAATTGCCGAGTAATACAAAGAATTCCAATGCCAGTGACAATCCTAAACCAAAGCGCAAATCAATTAGGAATTTTTTGTCCAGGCCAAAATCGCTATCCAAAGGGGGTACCGAGTTTCTTTCTAAATATAGCTCCCAAAATCTTGCTATTGTACCAAAACACCAAGATGGAAGCCATGAAACCTTGTATTCGGGTATACTTTCCAACTTAAATCATTTTGAAATCATTGGGATATTGCAGGTTCAAACCAATTATCGTATACCAAGTTATTTGAATGGTATCTCTACCAGAACATCCAAAGTTGACGTTGACCAATTTCAATATCTACATAATCTTACATCTCTTAAATTGATATCAATACAGGGAATCAACGTTTTTGGGGGCATTCTACCAGCCTCTTTGAAAAAATTAGTAATAGATTCTTGTCTGTTCAAAGAGATACACGTTAACGCAAAAAACCTCGAAACATTAAAAATAGAAGGCGGCAGTTTTACAGACTTAGACGACAGCCATTTCACATTTCCGAAAAATCTCAAAAAATTGGGGATTCACACTAGCAAGGTTAAAAATATTCTGCTGAAATTCCCCGATTCCATTGAATTGTTAGATCTTTATGGGAATTCAAATCTCAAGTATATTAAACAATTTCCTATTAATATGAAGTCTTTACTGTTACGCAAAACCGCTATATGCAAAAGATTTACTGATGGTAAAACAAATCAATTCCAAATACTACCCATTTTCCCATTAAGCTTGGAAAGTCTTGATTTAAGCCTAACTGAAATGGATGAAATATGTCTTCGAATGTTGCATTTGAAAGAGTACACCAATTTGAAGATGCTTTGTTTGCGTCAAAATTACTCTTTTGATGAAATTGATCTCAATTGCTTCCCCAAATCGTTGGTTACTTTGGATCTATCATATTGCTCAGTCAACCGCTTTGTAGGAAAATTTGGAAGTTTACCGAACCTTGAAATTATTGGTCTTGCAAAGAATTTTCTGTTGCAGTACTTTGATGCTATTGTTTATGATTCTCAGAAAATATTCAATAACAAAATTAAAATTATTGATCTACAGCTCTGTACGTTATCTCAGAAAGCCGTCAATGCAATTTATGGCGAATTAGTTGAAAATCCATCTTTTGAAAGGATTCTCTTATCTGACAATGTGCCACTACCATTTTTAGACGACTCAGAGAAGTCAAAGAAGGTTCAGCAGTTAAGTTTAACATTTGATGGTTATTTCGAGTACAATTACAGGACTCTAATATGATTTCAATATATATATATTAATAATTTTAATATAACACTCATATCTCCATCATAACGTCTGTGCATCACTTCCAACAAATCGTCTTCGTGGCTTAGTTGGCTAAAGCGTCAGTCTCATAATCTGAAGGTCGCGAGTTCGAGCCTCGCCGAGGACATTTGTTTTTTTGGATATTCTTTTCTTTTTTACGTAGAAAGAATGCGATTTCCTTTAGTTAAATCGTGATTTCTCTTTTTGCTTCATCTTCGGAAATTTAAAATAGCAGATTGATTCATTATTCTTCGCTAATATCTCCACATATTGCCTTGTTTTCATCAAAGTTTTGATTAATATCTTGTTTATAAATCCTCGGGAAGAAATTATCGAGCTAAGTTCATCATTAATCTACTCCATCTATTGTCCTTATTAATCTTTGTTTTCGGCGGACGAAGCCAAAGGTAAAATAATTTTTGTAAAAATTTTGTTGAAATTTCGCAACAAAAAACACGAAGAAGATTTTGATTACGTAAGAAAGTGCGGATAAATCGAAAAACACCGCATCTTGTACAAATCAACACATGAGGGGTTGGGTGGGGGAAGCGATTGATAAACAAATCTTGACAAAGTGGGATTTCTTACTAGGATTATTATAATTAACTCTTGATTGTTTGTGGGGAGGAGCTGATACGTAAAAGAAAACAAAATACACAACAACCAGATAAATAGATATTTAAGGGGATATGCCGATTACCGAATTAAACACAGAAAATACCCCCCTCCCTCATATGTGGGTCAAGTAACAAGAATATAAATTGGAACACACATCTTCTTTTATTTTATACTTTTTATATTCATTATTGAATTGATTAACCAACAATGCCAGCTTTGTTTAAAGAATCGCCTCAACAAATATCTCAAAGTCTTAAAGCCAAATTTAGTGATCCTTATCAGTTTGCTACCAGTGTCCCACTTTCAGATACGAAAGAGCCAGGGTATTCACATATTTACAGGAATTCTTATGATCCAACTACATTAGCAACGTGTCCACATCCAGAATTGGATACATTGCATAAAATTTTTGAATTCAGTAATACAATTTATTCTGATTCTCCATTCTTAGGTCATAGGGTTAAGAATCCAGATGGTACTTTTGGTGAATATAAATTTCAAACTTATAGACAAATTTATAAAAGAAGAAATGATTTTGGTTCTGGTATTTATTATGTCTTGGAAAACAATCCATACAAAACTTCATCTGAAGCTCATTCAAAATTGAAATATGATCCAACAAATAAAGATCCTTTTATTTTGGCGGTTTTTAGTCATAATCGTCCAGAATGGGCATTATGTGATTTGACAACTAATTCTTTTGGGATCATAAATACAGCTTTGTATAGTACTTTGGGTCCTGATACTAGTAGATATATTTTGGGTGTTACTGATTGTCCTATTGTGGTAACTACAAAGGACAAGGTTAAAGGAATCATTAGTTTGAAAAATTCAAACCAAAAAGAATTAGCCAGTTTGATTACCATTGTTTCCATGGACGAATTAACAGAAGAAGACAAAGAATTGAGATCATTTGGTCATGAGAACAATATTACTGTTTATGATATTAAAGAAGTTGAGAACTTTGGTGAAAAGAATCCATTAAAGCCAATTGAACCAACTCCAGATACAATTTTTACCATTTCTTTTACTTCTGGTACCACTGGTGCAGCACCAAAGGGAGTTGTATTAACCAATAGGATTTTGGTAAGTGGAATTACGACTCACTGTACTATTCTTAGCTTTGGTCCTGAACGTGTTCATTATAGTTTCTTGCCATTAGCTCATATTTACGAAAGAATGTTACTTCAATTTGGTATTCTTGCTGGTGTGAAAATTGGGTACCCACAAGGACCGTTGCCAACAACTTTATTCGACGATGTTAAGTATTTACAACCAACTTTCTTATGTCTAGTACCAAGAGTGTTTACAAAGATCGAAGCAGCTATAAAAGCACAAACAGTTGAGAATGATGCAAACCCTAAAATTAAAACTTTATTTCAGAACATTGTTGACAAGAAATTGAAATTGCAGCAACAGGAAGATTTTACTAATCCAAGTTTTCCCGAAGGCGATAAAGTGTTACTTCAATTACGTGAGAAGCTTGGTTTTGGAAAAATTGCATTCATGAATACTGGTTCTGCTCCATTATCAGAAGAAACTTATCGTTTCCTTCAAGCTATTTTAAACTTGCCAGATGGGTTCCGTTCAGGATATGGTCTTACTGAAAGTGCTAGTGGAGTTTGTATTTCTCCAGCATATGCCAATGAATTCTCTTGTGGACCTATTTCAGTTACAACAGAATTCAAGTTGAGGGATATTGAAGAAATGGGTTATACATCACTGGATAAAGATGGCCCAAGAGGTGAATTACTATTACGTGGTCCACAAATTTTCCCTTACTATTATAAAAATCCTGAAGAGACTGCTAAAGTCATTGATAAAGATGGATGGTTCTACACTGGTGATGTTGCTGTTGTTTCTCCTCAACACGGAAATAGATTGCAAATTATTGATAGAGTAAAGAACTTTTTCAAATTATCCCAAGGTGAATATGTATCTCCAGAGAAGATTGAAAACGTTTACTTGTCACAATTTCCTTATATTTCACAATTATTTGCTCATGGCGATTCCACTGAATCGTATTTGGTTGGTGTTGTTGGCATTGATAAAGCACTGATTGATCCATACTTGAAGAAGCGTTTTAATGTTAGTATTGAGAAGCAAGCAGATATTGTCAAGTACTTTGAGAATCCTAAAAACAGAAGAGCGTTATTGCACGATATGAATGAAGCAATTGAGGGTCAATTGCAAGGGTTTGAAAAGTTGCACAATGTATTTGTCGACTTTGAACCATTGACTCTTGAAAGAGAGGTTATTACGCCAACGATTAAAATTAGAAGACCAGTTGCTGTTAAATTCTTCAAAGAACAGATTGAAAATATGTATCGCGAAGGTTCTTTGATCAAGGGCAGTAATTTATAGATTTGCTATATAGTCTATAATCAAAATGTTCTATGTGAGTCTATTATCTACATGCAAATGGCATTTTAACATGACACCTGGAAACAATCTCCAAGTAGTTAGGTTCATTATCTGGACAAATAAAACCATGTCTAATCAAGAAATCCACAATGACTAATCCACAATTTGGTTTGAATTTCTTTTCGTGAAGTTTATCTAAAATTTCATCCACATCTAAAAGCTGGAAATCTTCTGCTTCACCATCTTGAGGTTTAATAATATTTTCTTCATTATCAAACTTGATATCATAGATATATTCGACTTCGGGTTGCACACGTCCGTCTTTAGTTAAATACATGTAAGAAACAACACCAGTGGTCTTAATATGTGATCTAACAAATTCTTCCTCTAAGCCTGCTTCTTCATAACATTCCTTGATCACTGTTTCTTCTAATCCATATGGGTATCCTAATCCTCCAGCAACAGTATTGTCCAACATTCCAGGATAAGTTGGCTTTGTGAGAGATCTTCTTGGGATCCACATCTTTAATTTACCATTAGATGAATCTTCTGGAGCAACATAGCCATTGATATGTACCCCATACGTTACAACACCTAATAATACAGAAAATGCTCTTTCAATTAATATATAAGGAACAGTACTTGGATAATACACCGTGTATAATTCATTTCTCCAACCTTTATTAAGTAATTCGTCAAATTCAGGCAAGTATCTCAATTTATTACCCACTTCGGCAAACATTTCGTTTCTTTTTTCAAAAGTGTCATATTCTCCAGAGATTTTGATTGTTTTCTTTTCATGATTTACTTCAAATGAAGATGCTGTTGTTTCCAAAAATTTGGCATTGAACGGAGTTATATAGCCGAGAACTGATTGCCCATCGTGTGTCAACAATTTGTAAAAACTGTCATTCCATTTAAAAGAGTCAACTGATTCAATGATTTCAAGTAAAGATGTGGAGGATGCAGTCATTTGTCTTTAAATGTCTGTTTCTGTTTCTCTGTGTGGTGTTAGTGATAGTGATAGAGGTGGTGATGTTGATTCGGATTAAATTTTTTTTTTTCTCTCTCTTCTTTTTCATTTCCGTGCCGTTATACGAGAAAATAGATTCTCCCCCACTAATACCCGAAATGGTTATAACATAATTGGTCCCTGATGAAAACGTGACTCCAACCATCATTATCGACAAATTTCATAAGGGTTAGGTTTGTCCCCGATTTGTTTTCACATGTGATATCGCTGTCAACAACAGGAATTACTACACCAAGAATTCAGGTGTGTGTGTGTGGGGGAGTAATCATTCATCTTAACTACGGTGAAACAAAAAAAAACAAAAATCAGAGTAATTTGTGTGAAAGTTAAATTAAGCGCAGGAAAAGACGAAGAGGAAGAAGAGAGAGAGAGAAAAAAATTCTTCACGTTGATTAATATCCACAGTTATTTGGGACAATCTAAGGGAAAAAGAATGTCTGGATCATCAAGATCCGTAATACGGGCTTTAGATACTTTGTTTATCAACTGGTCTGACGATGACGACGACCACAATAAGAATACCCTTGCAGAATTGGATTCCGTTATATCGCAATATATCCAAAAGCATAACAATTTAGCTACCATTCAACTGTCTACCAATATTAATGACGAATTATATAATGTATATGATAAGTATATCAAGCCATCAAAAGATATTTCCCGAGAATGTGCATTTCTTGATGTTTTAAAACAAGTACTGTGTGTGTTTAACTCAAAAGAATTGAATTTATGGTTACAGACTTATCTCAAACCAGCATTGGATAGTGCTGGATATTATACTGAATTTGTGGATAAGGCAAGAGAATTTATCACAAGAGTGTCAATAAATCCTTTGTCCACTGATGATGAAAAGTTAAAGGAAGAAAGAGAGCTCATAGGACGTAAGGTTATGAACCAAATAATGGAGATTTACTTGACAGAAGAAGCACGATTTGAACATTTTAACATAGAAGCAAGTGATTCACAAGCATACTACGAAAGACTACGATTTATCAAGTTTAACTGTCTCAATTTCTTACAAGAATATGGTTTAAAACACATATTGAATTATTGTTCACTACTTGATAATCATTTTCGAGAACTTCGTACCCGAAATGACTCATTGATCTTGATTCTGACTTTGGTTGCAACACAAAAATCTCAAGTATCGCACGTAATAGATTCAGATTTATTTATTGATCTTCTAAAGTGTATTTTGTATGACTTTAACGATGCATTGGTGTTTTCGGCTTACACAGTTTTAGTTATGTTAATCCCACAAGTTAGTAATAAACTCGGGAGATACCTACCTGATTTGTTGGCAATTTATATGAGACTACTTCAGTGGAATGACTTGGATAAATCAATTCCGAATAGAAGGGAAATATTCAATGAGTTTATGGATAAAGACGTGTTACAATGGGACGTTGACTATACCGAGAAGTATCCCTTAGCCACACAGGTTATTTTTGATTGGCAATATCTTGGTACACTATTATATGGCTTATTTGTTTTTAATTTCATTGAGTTTGCATCATCACCTTTAAAATTTTTGAAACATAATCGACCAAATCTAATATCCGTTATATTTTTGCAAGGTTTAGAAGAAAAATCCGGTGGTGCAATCAAATTGGAGAATAACATCATAGAAAGAAGCCAAGAGTTTTTAAGATCTTTGTTACTTCACCCAAAGATGATTAAACCAGAAAGACTTACAGATGGTGAGTTGGATAACCCAATTGCTTGGATACTAGAACAAGGCAATGATTCGATTTCACCAGAGGATGTTGCAATTGCGTGTTTGAGTTTGAATACCCATATAATCATTAGTGATGCATTTAGAAAACAATTATCCGATTTTCTGCTTTCTAAGTTTGATTACAATTCACGAAATGAGTCGCAAAACAAACTTTCTCGAAACTCATCTTTGGCAGGTCCAATGTATTTCAGTATCAAGGATGGTCCAACAAGCAAAATCTTACAACAAACTTTGCAAAATCGAAAGATGTCTATAATTCCAACCAATCTAGTAATAGATGGAAATGGTACTAGCAGCCATAACAATGTTGCTCCCAATCATGATTCCAATAATATTGAAGGTGAAATCAAGTTTAAGGAAGTTAAATTTAGTGATGATAATAATTCAGATGCCGATATATCACGAAATGGGGGCCTGTATGACAATTTCATGAGCCATGCTCCCTCCTCACTTGCTTTGTATCATGAACAACCAAGACAAATTGACCCAATTCCTGAACTTTTATCAACACATGAAAAGTTACATGTTAGAGAAGGAAGCATTGGTGGCCCTGATTCTTCCGATAATGATGATAGGAGATCTGTTAGTAATGTTTTCAATGAAAAGGGAAAATATGAATTGCGATTGTCACGACCAATGTCGTCTCCAACCACCACCGTCGAGACATCGAGTGTTTTCAAATCACCAGCTGGTGCCAGTAGTATGAGTACGGACGATGTGATAACTACCAACCCAATTCAAATATCAAAGAATAGCGTTAATGGAACAGCTGTTGATTTTTATCAACGTGAGTTATTGTTGTATAAGAATGAATTGGAGTTTTCTAGCTATATGAAACACTTGAACAAGTTCCATTACTTGAAACTGCGCCAGAAAGAAATTCCCGGGGAAAGAGAGAACGCCTTTACTGGATCAGAAGAATACAAGAGATTATTAGAAGAGGCAAGACTTGAAATGTCAAAAATATCAGATGAGTATAACAGAGAAAGAGAGATTTTACTAACAAGATTGAATGAGCTCACAGTTGAAAAAGAAGAATTAACCCAGAAGTTGGAAAATCTTAGAATCAAAACTTCATCTGATAGTCAAAAGTATCTTCAATTGGTGTCTGAGACTGTACCAGCAAAGGATTTTGAAATTGAAACGTTAAAACTGAATTTGGTTGCATTGGAAAAAGAATTGAAGGAATTGCAAAAGCCCGTCGAAGAAATTGAACGAAATGGACGTTCAGCTGAAACTGAAAGTATTGATCATGACAGTACTGCAGTTTATGAATTAAAAACGAAACTTCAATTAGCCAATGACCGTTATGAACAAACAGCACAAGCATTGAAATTATCACATGAAGAATATGAAAAGATGGTCAAACGATATGAAGATAAGTTGGCTACATCTAAATTGAATCTCCATGATAATTTGAATTCATTTACAAGAGAACATGAAAAAACTATCCAGGAATTATCAACTACGATATTGAAATTTGAGAATTTACTCGAGGAACGAAACACCAAGATCTTACAATTGTCATCATCAAAACCAATCTCAATTCCTATGCCCACAAGAGCAAGTACAAGTAGTAGTAGTAAACTGGGAAGAAATGATTCATATGATCATATTTCAAATACATCTTCTACTCCCCCAGGAACTTCACACATGGCTATTCCAGTACCAGCCCCAGCCCCAGCCCCAGCTCCGGTTCCAATCCCAATTCCAGTACAACATCAACATATCAACCACAACTTCCCAACGACACCCTCACAACTCCATCAACATCATCATAATCAACAACAACAAAATGCTCAATTTCTTTCAAACCCTGTTGTACATTATCCACCTCATGTTAGTCGTAACAATTCCATGCCGGTTGTGAACACGTCTCAACAACAAGCTCAAGCAGTGCCAATCATTAGAGGAAGAGGAGGTTATCAAAAGAGGTCCAAGAAATTAATGTAAATCGAATCCAGGAAATAAATGAAAATGTAAATAGAGAGAACGTGTAGGTGGCTTGTAGGCTTAAATGTTCATGATAAGCTGAAGTATGAGCAACACCAATATATTTTAACGTGATAATTTGTAATTTGTAATTTCCATTGTGATGTAACACAAACCACAATGTAATATGTAAGACAGGTTATAATTGATCAAAGTATGAAAATTAACCGCCTACGTGTGTATGTGGGAGGAGGAGGTGGTGGAGGAGGAAAAAGAAAGGTGATGGCTATTTACGTGTACCGGAGCACAATTTTCTATTTTTTTTTCGGTTTACGTGTTTGTTTTATGAACAGTGAAAAATTTGGCTTATGAATAACGAAACATTACCAACTAAAACAAAGCAATAAGGAGTCTGTGTTCAATTTTTTTTTATATCCAAATATTATTGTTGTTTATATTGTTCACTTTTCTTCCATTTTCATATAAAAGCCCTTTCAATTTCGTTTCATAAGACTTTAAGAAAAATAAAAGAAAAAGCTTTGTTCATTTGTTGGTGATTTTAAGACTCGAACTTCTCCACATATACATCCTTGTTACTTATTTATAAAGAAACAATGTCACAAACTTTAAAGAAAAGAAGTGGTGGTGCAACAAATGGGAAGAGATCTACTTCCACTTATAATTCCCATATCGAATTCGATAACGATAAGAAAGAAGGTTTCGAATTGGATAAAATTGTCCCACCAAAAGAACCAGATTCCAAATATTGGATCGCATTAGGTTTAGTCACCCTTCTAGCAATTTATACTAGATTTACTAAATTGGGAACTCCAAATAAAGTTGTTTTCGATGAAGTTCATTTTGGTAAATTTGCTTCTTATTATTTGGAAGGAACTTATTTCTTTGATTTACATCCACCTTTTGCAAAATTATTGATTGCATTTGTTGGTTGGTTAGTTGGATACAATGGTAAGTTTAAATTCGATGCCATTGGTGATTCTTATATTGAAAATAATGTTCCTTACATTGCGTACAGATCTTTACTGGCCATTCAAGGTACTGTTACTATCCCAATTATGTTTTTGACCATGAAAACTTTGGGTTTTGGTGTTGCAGCTTGTTTGTTCTCAAGTATTATTGTTTGTTTTGACAATGCTCAAGTTACCGATTCTAGATTGATTTTATTAGATGCTACTTTGATTCTTAGTGTTGCTGCCACCATGTTCTGTTATGCTAAGTTTTCAACTTATAGAAAAGAATCATTTTCTAGAAACTGGTGGACTTGGTTATTAGCTACTGGTGTTTCATTGTCCTGTGTTATTTCTACCAAATATGTTGGTGTTTTCACTTACCTTACAATTGGTATTGCTGTAGTACACGAATTATGGATTTTGTTGGATTACAGAAAAGGTTTGACTTTGCAAGAATTTATTAAGCACTTTTTGGCCAGATTATGGGCTCTTATTATTGTTCCATTCTGTATTTATTTGTACTGGTTCTACTTGCATTTTGCCATTTTGAACAAATCTGGTCCAGGTGATGCTTTCATGTCCAGTGAATTCCAAGAAACTTTATTGGAATCCCCATTAGCAGCTCATTCTAAACAAGTCCAATACTATGATCAAATCACTATCAAACACAAAGACACCGGTGCTTTCTTGCATTCCCATCAACATGTCTACCCATTGCGTTACGAAGATGGTAGAGTTTCTTCCAATAGCCAACAAGTTACTTGTGTTAAACAAGACAATGCTTTTGAAGATGCAAATAACCAATGGGAAATTGTTCCAACCGTTGAAGGTGCTGGTAAAAACACCAAGGTTTTCACTAATGATGTTGTCAGATTTAGACACATTGGTACTGGTGGTTACTTGTTAACTCACGATGTTGCCTCTCCATTAAAACCAACCAATGAAGAATTCACTATTGTTTATGATGATGTTGCCGCTCAACGTTACAATGAAACTTTGTTCAGATTGAGATTGCAAGTTCCAGGATCTAATCCAAAGAAGGAAAAACAAAGAAGAGAAGTCAAGACTTTAGCTACTGAAATGAGAATTTTACATGTTGACACCATGGTTGCTATGTGGACTCATGATGATGAATTATTGCCAGAATGGGGTTTTAAACAACAAGAAGTTAGTGGTAACAAGAAAATTCCAGAAAAGGAAAACATTTGGACTATTGACCAAATCACCAACTTGCAACCTAATGATCCAAGATCCCAATATGTTCCAAAGAAAGTCAAGACTTTACCATTCTTGAGAAAATGGTGGGAATTACAATTCTTGATGTTCCGTCACAACAATCAATTGTCATCAGAACATCCATTTGCTTCTCAACCAAACGAATGGCCATTGGCATTAAGTGGTGTTTCATTCTATAATGATAATGTTGAAAAGAGACAAATCTTTTTTATTGGTAACATTCCTGGTTTCTGGTTAGAAGTTTGTTTCTTGTCCATTTATCTCGGTATTCTTTTGGCTGATCAAGTTACTCGCCGTCGTAACTACCACATTTTGAGCAACAGAGCTAGATCAAGATTGTACAATACTTTGGGATTCTTATTCATTGGTTGGAGTGCTCATTACTTCCCATTCTATTTGATGAACCGTCAAAAATTCTTGCATCATTATTTGCCAGCTCATTTGGTTGCAGCTTTGTTTTCTGGTGGTTTAGTAGAATTCATTTGTTCCAACAACTCTGCTAAAGCCAATGGCAAACCAGTCGGTGTTAACAAGGTCAAGATGATTGCTGTTGTTTCAGTTTGTTCAACCGTGATCATCTGGTTCTTCTTCCATTTTAGAGCTCTTACTTATGGTGATGCTTTCTTGTCACCAGAAGAAATCCGTTCAAGACAATGGTTTGACATTAAATTACATTACGGAAAGTAATCTAACCAATTACTTTTCATTTCCTTACACTTCATACATACTCAGATATATCAAATTGATACATAGTTTTAGCTATATATATATATAGCCTGTTTGATTTACTTTATACATATTACTTATTTGACAATGCCGCACGGTTTGTGCTCTCGTAATTCGAATCAGATCTGAAAATGTAGGGACCAAACGAGAAACGAACGAAGGAAAACTTTTTTTTTTATCTTGATAAATTAATTACGTATTACAAGTAGACTAAGAGTTCAAATCTAGCTAGCCACATACAAAATGTCAATAAGATCATATTTAATTAGTTTAAAACAAAAAGTGGACTCAAAAGCATTGAAATTACCTTACACTTTTGTTACTGGTAACCAATCTGCTGATATGGACTCCGTTGTGAGTGCTTTAACATTTGCATATTTTACTAATTTACAATCCACCGATAAATTCATAATACCATTGATTAATATTCCAAAAGATGATTTAAGATTAAGAAAAGATATCGTCAAATTATTGTCATATCATTCCATCACTGAAGATCTTTTATATTTTGTAGAAGATTTTGAAAAACTTTCTCAAGATTCAAATAAAGTTTTAGTGAATTTGGTTGATCATAATAATATTCAGGGTGATGAATTACATAAAGCTTATGATGATGGTAAAATTGAAATTGTTGGAATTCTTGACCATCATGCTGATGAAGGAGAGTTTTTAAAAGCTGATCCTAGAATTATAAGAACTTGTGGATCAAACAGTTCTTTAGTTTTCAATTATTTTTATGAAAAATTTTTCAGTAATGATCAACAATTTTTTGATAAACAACATGAAGTTATGGAATTATTATTAGGTCCTTTATTGATTGATACTAATTGTATGAGCCAAAAAGTTGAAGAACCAGATACAATTGCTTTTAAGAATTATCAAAAAGGTTTAGGCAATCAATTCCAACAATTGTTTATATCTGAAAATGGGAAATCTGAAATTGAAAATTTCCATTCAACTTTAAAAGCTGCTAAGAAGGATTTTGAAGGATTTTCATTCATGGATACTTTACGTAAGGATTATAAACAATTTACTTTTAGTGGGGGCGATAGAGTTGGTTTTAGTTCTCTTGGAAAATCATTCAAATGGATTTTTACCAACTATTCCAAAGAAGAAATTGAAAAAACACTCGCAGATGCACTTGTGGCTAATAAGCTTGATTTATTGGTCATGTCTGATTCATTTACAAGAAAAGACACATATAAATACACCAGAGAATTTGCATACTATTATGAAGATAAAGATAAAGCTAGATACGAAGATTTATATAAATACGCTCAAGAACCCTTACAACTTAATGATAATGTGTACGGAATCGAAAAAATCAGATCCAAGATTGAAGCAGTTAACCAAAAGGGACATTACAAATTGTTTGATCAAGGAAATACTGCTGCTTCTAGAAAACAAATTGTTCCTATTGTTAAAGATATCCTTGAAAGTAAATTAATCAACGGTAATCATTTATAACTTAAATAACTTACTATAAACTTATTAGATCCCATTGATAGACTTTGAATAGATTTCGGAAGAAGCTTGTTTGTCTCTGTTAAATCTTGTAAGAACTTACTGGTGATCTCATCATCTGGGATGTCTAAAGTTTCATAATCGTCTTTGTTTTGTACATCATCTGATATCAAAAGCTTAAGAGCATTATCATGTACAGCTCCATTCACACACACATTCAAACCAAGATTCATTACCCATATAAATGTTGATTTATCGTTAATCTCTAGTTTAAACTTTCTGGTGGCAGTTGAATTGATTTTATCTACCATTAAATTATAGATAAACAAACCAGAATTGTAACTCTCTCGAATCAATTGATTATCTTTTTCATATTCTAACAGAATTGTCCATTTGTAAATTCTCATAACATCTTGATACATTTCTCCTAAAATGCATTCACATGATTTACAAGTGAGCGTATCATTTATCTGTATGATATTTTCATTATATTTCTGTAGCAAATAATAACCACCAACAATAATGGTACCATAATCTGGTTTTAATACACCTTTGTAATCCTTTTTATGTTCTTCATGGTTGTCAGGTTTATGACAGTGCCAAAAGTCCATCATTTCATACCATAATTCCGAGGGCATATCTTTGAAATTAAAACCATATGATTCAATTAACAGAAATTTACAATTATTACAAATAAATTTGAAACTATGACGACCATTGATTTCTGGTGTTCTAGAAAGATCTTTACATGACCATTGATCAATTGTTTGTTCTGTAAATGGCAGTGTTTCTTGTGTGAATTCTGAAAGTTTTATTGAAAATGATAGTGTATTGTTTACAAGTTTTACTCCTGATACTTTCAAATCATTGATTGGAATTGGGGATTTGATCTTAATTGGTGATGATTGTTTTAATTGTATGGATAACTCCATTGATGAATTTAAACTAACTCCTGAAATGTCTTCAAGAGTGGTATTATCTGGTACATCTGATACCACTGATATACTATTCAATCGTGGTAAGTATTCTGTGAAATACATTCTTGTTGGTCAGAAGGAATGGACAAAGAGCAATGAATACTTGATGATGGTTTTTTTTTGAAGTAATCTCATCTTACTGATTGAAAACTTAAATGAGACACACACGTGTCGCTACCAAGTGTTACAGACAAAAAACCGTGTCACCCCAAGAAGACGCGGTTTTGAATTTTTTTTATTAAGTTCGAAAAAAAAAATATTCCCATTTGATATTGTTGTTTATTTCAGATCAACCCAAACAACAATGTCAAGTATATTAGAGGAAATAGAGGAAGGTATCGATGTTTCTCGTATTAGTGAGGAACCAACATCTCAAAGACTGCAGCCAAATGATCCGGCTGCTCCTCAGGAGAATGGAGAAGAGGATATTCTTGGTTTAGACAAGCCAATTAAATTAAGAACTAGAGCTAAAATAGCAAGAATGGATAATGCTAGAATATTTAGTCCCAATGGATTGCCATATATTGTTAAGAATCATGGTAAATTAATTCGAACTATTCAAAAAAATGATAAGAAATTCTATTCAAACCCACGAAACTCAATAAGTAAAACACAAAAATTTGAACACGAATTTGATAATTTAAGTTCAGTTTTACAATTTTATCAATTATGGTGTCATGGATTATTTCCAAAAGCAAATTTTAAAGATTGCATACATTTAGTTAGATCATTAAATGGGAAATCAGCCCAGTTGAGATTATACAGAAGAGAATTGATTAATGCTGAATTACATAAATTAAAGGTTGCTAAAGGTATTATTGTAGAGGATGCAAATAACCCAGAAGACCAAGAACAACAACAACAAGCAGATGCTGATGATAATGATGACTGGGGTATCATGCATACGCAAGCTATCACAGCAGATGATAATAATACTAATGGACCTACTCAAAATACAGGATCTGGTTTAGAAAGTCTTTTTGTTGATTCTAATAGTACAGAAGATCTCACACCATTAAGTGAACCGTCGTTATTCGTGGACCTGAATAGCACAGAAGATCTCACTCCAAGACAAGATATCGAATCAGCTGCGAATAATACATCTACAACAATTGAAGCGTCTTCAAAGCCACCAGCATCTAATAATGACAACGAATCAGATGATCCATTTAGTGATGATGATATGTCTATGTTACAAGTTGAGCCATCAAGTATTGATATGAACAACGTTCAAGAAGATGAACTTATGGAAGGAGGCCAAGAGGATGATGATCTTGAACTAGAGTTGATGAGACAAAATGATCCATAATATCAAGTACAAATGTATATCTTTCTAAAAGTACTAGCGTGATTGAAAATGTTAGACACTAAATCATTGTTGATATCTTTGTACACATTAGTTGAAAATAATGCAATAAGATAACCTCCACTTCGTAAATAAACATCAATCATTCTCCCGTCAGTAGGTGTTACACCTGATTTTCTAACTAGAACTGAACCGTTTCTATAGAATGGCAATAACATTCCTCGATTATATACTGAATTTGCTTTTGCATTTCTATATTCAACACCAAATTCTGACATAAATGCCTTGTAATGTATAGAACTTTCAAAATGTTGAGTAGTGAAATTTGTACCATGAAATCCAATAACCCTTGTCATGAATTCATTTTGAGAATCTTTACGTTTAATCAACATATTGAAATGATCAAATGATTCAACTTGAACTTTCTCTTCGGATAACGGGAAATATTCTTTTAATATTTGATACGGTTCAGCAATTCGTATTTCCAAAATGTATACAAATTCAAAATGATAATTAGTTGCCAAAACTTTAGATAATACCGTACCTGCTTTCTTTAATGATCCAACTGAGAATAAAAATTGCCACAACTCTCGTTCTTTAACCATTGAAGTAGGTTGTTCTTCTTTTGCAGTTTCATTTGAATCTCTCAGTTTGTTTGTATTTGATGGACCATATTTTATAAATCTGTAGGTATTATTCTGAGAATATCTACCTCCTGAACCATCTTTTTCAAACACCAAAGATGATTTACTACTTGTTGGTCTACCAATTTGCTTCTGTAATACTCTTAAATCATTATTCGGTGAAAAATATTCAATACTGTTGATTTTGGGGGAATATTTATTCATTTTAATCAATACTACGTCCAACGGACTTTCCAACATTTCCATAATTTCTTTACTAACAAGTTGTAAAATTGTACAATTTTCTTCACTAAATGAATCCTTTGGAAATCTATCAAATATTGACAATATTCCAATAACTTCTCTTGTACAAGTCATCAATGGTACTCCACACCAAAATCTTATATACGGAGAACTAGTAACTAATGGATTTGTTCTTGTTCTCCAATCTTTTGAAGCATCCAATAATAAAAAATAACCTTGCGATAGAATTGCATGGGATTCAATAGCAATACAACGTGGAACATAATTTGTGTTCAACATAGTTTCAATTTTAAAATGACATTTATAATTATCAATTAATGATAATGCAACTCCTGGTATTTGAAAATTTTTCCGTAATTTAGAAAGACATTTTCTAAATATTGACATTTCATGCCAATGTGGCAAATCAATATATCTTGAAACAGCATCTAATCTACCTGGTTCGTTATAGCTTTCTGGTGGTTTCATATATCCTTTATTTGGCATACATGGAGGACATGGTATTTTTGATAGATTCCATTTTCCTTTAGAATAAGCATCAATGAAATGAGATTTTGTCAGTTGAATTGGTGTTAGAATAAGATCACCTGGTGTTGCCGCTAATAAACTAAGTTGTGGTGTTTTAATAGGAATTAATCGTGATGAACTTGAAGTGACTACTCCTTTGAATTTCTTACTACGACGAGTCGATTCTTTTGTTGTTCTATTACTCATGCTTTTTATTTTAATTGACTGATGATCTGTTGGATATCAGTAAATATCCATTATCAGCCGTATTTATTGCCCTTTTCTGGTTGTTAAAATGTGTGGCAATTTACTTTTCTTTTAATTGAATTGTGTGTGTGTGTGTGTAATATAAATTTCGCAGCTCTTTCTTGTTTGTTTATATTGGATATGCTCAACCCGCACATCAGTGTAACAAATACATGTATATGTAGATTCGTGATTCTTGATATGTTTTTATTGTTGTGCTTATCTCAATTACAGATAGACACATATACAAAAAGAAATATTCTATATCCACTTACTTCGCATCTTCCATGTTGACGTCCTTGTCTTTATCATTATTGTCTTCTTTACTTTCATCGATTTTCGCTAAATCTGCATTTCCTGATTCAGCTTTGGCTCTTTCAGCAGCCTCTCTTTCTTGTCTAGCCTTTTCTTCTTCTAATGATAATCTTAAAGCCATAGCCAAGTCTGGGTCCATGTTTGGATCAATAATATCTCCAGCACCACCTGCACCGCCAAAGAAATCCATATCTCCACCAGCACCTCCAAAACCTCCATCTTCTAATAAAATCGGAGAAGATGCAACAACTTCATATAATAATCTTGGTCCCGGCGAAACAGTAACAAGATGTGAATTATCATGATTATTTATAATTGATTGGAATTTTTCTAATTTTGCAGTATTTACACCTTCTTCACCAAAGTTTATAATATCAATTGCAACATTATTCTTTTTCATTTTTTTAGCCAATTTTTCCAATTCTTTTTCACTTTCTTTTATTGGACTACCAACAAATATAATAATTCTTTGTTGTTGTACTTTATTCTGACGATGTTTTAATGCTAATGCAGCTACTTGAATCCCACTTGAAAAATTATTTTCCCCATGAATCTTTGTTTCATGAACTCCTGATAAAATCTTACCAAAATCTGTAGTTAAAGTAGATAATACTTGTGGTCCACTACCTCCATATGCTAATAAACCAACAGTATTTTCAGGATTAGAATTGATCTTGTTTTGAAAAATAAATTCAGTTGCGGTTAATTGTGCTTCATATCTAGTTGTTAAAAAATCACCATTTCTCGTATATTCCGAGTTATCAATGGCTATCATAGTTGCTTCAAGTACCATTTTGAATGTCTAATAATGATGTGTTTTGTATATATGTTGATGTGGATGATGATGATTTCCAATGGATAATAATGATGGGGGAATCCTGTTGTAAAATTTCTTTGCCACTTCAATTTCGCACACCAAACACTCAACCCGAGACAACCAACCGACGAACAAAAAAAAAAAAAATTCTATATGCAGTTTTTCAATAATCAACAACAACAACAATAACAACCACTTCCATCACAACGAATAACCTATATGGAGAGCTACTATGGCATATACTAGAAAACAAAAGGAAGCAATTCTACATCATTTGAAATCTGAACGAAACAAAATAGCCAAAAGAAATGAAGAACAGAGGAAAAAACTAGCGGATCAAACTTATCAACGAGTAATGAGACGACTAAATGGTGTTAGTGTTACTTTATGGGATGTGAAACTAAAAGATGTATTTCAGGTTGAAAGATCTCAAAGATTGGTAGCGAAAACATTGGTTAAAGACGTACAGGATATGAAAAGGAAACTACAATTGGAAATGAAACGAAATGGAACTCATACAAAATAACATTTATCATCTAACAATAACTATTATACATTTAACTTATTGAAGTTTTAATCATAATATACAAGGTTTTAAAATAATAACAAAACTATACGTCTATGCATCTTCTGGGATATTATCATGGAAATATTTACCTTCGGTGGTTTCAGCAATAATACCAGCTCTAATACACCAATCACCGAATGGTTCACCTTCATCTCTTTCCAAACTCCATCTCTTGAACAAGTTTTTCAAGATTTCCAAGATTTCATCTTCTTTAATGGAGTATCTGTAAATTTTGTTCAAACGTTGACCATGATGACCACCTCCCAACATCAAATTGTATGCACCATAAGCTTTACCAACCAAAGCAACTTCAGCAACCCAAGGTCTAGCACAACCATTTGGACAACCTGTCATTCTCATAACAACTGAATCATGTCTCAAACCATATTCTTCTAAAGCTTCTTCTAATTTGGTAATCAATACTGGCAAGTATCTTTCGGATTCAGCCATAGCTAAACCACAAGTTGGGAAAGCAACACAAGCAGCTGATGATTTTCTCAAGGCAGAGAAATCAGTGTTATCCAATTTGTATTGAGCCAACAATTGTTTAACTTCATCCAAGTCTTCATCACTGACATTAGAAATAAGGATATGTTGGTTACCAGTCAATCTAAATTCACCAGATCTGTTTCCAGAACCTAAGAATTCAGCAACTTTACGTAAACCAGTCTTTTGTGGCAACTCTGGAGTATCTTCAATTCTACCATTTTCAATAAAAGTAGTGAAATGGTTGTAACCCAATTCATCTTTACACCAACCAAAGTAATCAATGTTGGATTCAATCTTGAATGGTTTTGGAGCGTCAAATTTGTATCCCAACAAGTCTTCAACCTTGGATTTGAATACTTCAACACCCAAATCATCAATGGTATACTTTAATCTAGCGTGTTTTCTGTTGGTTCTGTCACCGAAATCTCTTTGAACTAACATAATCTTTTCACAAGCAATGTGAACTTGATCTTTACTGACATAACCCAACATAGAACCAGTTCTTGGATAAGTTTTCTTGTTGTTGTGAGTAGAACCCATACCACCACCAGCTAAAACGTTGAAACCAATAACTTCATTGTCTTCAACAATGGCAATCAAACCAACATCATGGGCATAGACATCAACATCGTTGTATGGTGGGACAGTAATAACAACTTTGAACTTTCTTGGCAAATAAGTGACACCATATTGTGGTTCAATATCAGTCAAAACATTACCAGCAACCAAAGTCTTCTTTTTAGTTGGACCTTCTTTACGGTTTTCCCAAGCTTCAGCGTAACCTGGTTTATCACCTTCATCTTCACCTTGTAACCAAATTTCGTGGTAAGCAGTGGTTCTTGGCAATAAGAATTCAGAAATCAAAGCACCAACTTCAGCAACTTGACCATGAATCTTGGCGTTGTGGGGTAAAGCTGAAACCATAACGTTTCTGTTAACATCACCACAAGCAGCCAAAGTATCCATCAATGCAGAGTTCATACCTCTAATAGCTGGTTTCAAGTCATGTTTAACAACACCATGCAATTGGAAAGTAGCTCTGGTAGTCAATTTCAAAGTACCATTACCTCTTTCATCAGCCAATTCATCCATTTTCAAGTATTGTTTTGGAGTAGCAATACCACCTGGTAATCTAACACGAACCATAAAGGAGTAAGCTGGTTCAAGACCTTGAGCTTTACGTTCGTCTCTGATATCACGATCATCTTGCATATAGATACCATGGAATTTGGTCAATTGTTGATCAACTGCTGAAATAGCACCAGTGGATTGGTCTTGCAATCCTTCAACAATAGTACCTCTAAGATAATCAGAACCCAACTTCATATCTTCATTGGTGATTGGTTTTGGTTCTTCAACACCTTCGACATTGTCAACACCCAAAGCAGCCCAAATCTTTGGAATCCATTCATTGAATCCAGTAGCAAAGCCATCAGCATCTTGGTCATCTCCCAATCCAATGTCGGCTAATTCAACACCACCATAGAGTTTCAATTTAGCAAACAAATCCTTAGCTGGTTTGTTGTAGTAGTGTTTATCTTCTTTTCTTGGCCAATATTGAGAGTCACCCAAACCGAAAACAGAAAATCTAATACCAGACAAATCCAAGTCAGTAGTGTTTTTAACACCATCCCAGAATTGTTTACCATTGGTTGGGAACTCACCTTGACCAGAAGTAGATGTGACAAAATCAAACATTTGGTTTCAGTAAGTTAATCTTCAACAGATAAATCATCCATTTGCAAAAACAACAGATATCAAACATCTAACACAAAGCTTGTCTGTTAATTTTCTTAGCAACGGCTTCAGCATTACCACCGTCAGAAGCGAATGCAATAGTCAATGGAGGACCGGATAAACCTTGTAATAATTGGGCAAATGAATCATCAGCGATCTTAGCTTGTCTAGTTTTAGCTTCAGTATTAGCAGTAGCAGTCAAGTTTCTTGACAATAATGGATCTTTAGCTGCCAACATAGTTAATCTGTTTTCTCTTTCCAAGAAATCAGCCAACTGCTTTCTCAAATTAGAAGAGTCCAATTTGAATATATCTTTTTCCTTTTCAAGTGTTGGATCATATCTGTACAATGGCCAGTAACCACTATCAACAGCTTTCTTGGTTTCTTGTAAAACAGACAAAGTGCTGTCAGATTCACTGTTGTATGGCAAGTAAGCCAAGACAATAGATGGACCATTGAATTTTTCAGCTTCAATGAAAGCTTGTAACACTTGAGTGTAGGAAGAATAAATAGCAACAGAAGCAACATAACAACCACCATAGTTCATGGCATATAAACCAACATCCTTCTTACGGAAACCATTGATGGTTTTATCTTCTTGTGATTTTTCCTTGTATGGTTCTGAATCGATGATCAACATGTTAATGTTCTTTCCTGAAGTAATAACATTGTGAACACCAGAAGAACCCAAGTCATAGGACCAAGCATCTGAACCAATTAACCAATTCTTTTCAGTCTTGAAATATTTAGCCAAAGCTAACAATTCACGAGCAATAGTGGTAGAAGTATCAGTTTTTAATAAATCAACAATTTCAACATGAAATCTGTTTTCCACTTCACCAGTTTCTTGAATTTGAACCAACCATTGAGAAAGAAGGTCAATCAATTTAGCATTGTCTGCAGTGTGGAATTCGTTTGCTTTAACTGAGTTTTGAACCAAAGCAATCAAGTTTTCTTGTTGTTCTTGATCATACAAGAAAGAACCATAACCAAAGTCTGGGTTTGATTCAGCACCAGCATTAGTAGCTTGGAATTCATTCAAGATGTTCAAGTTGGTCAAATTAATTTGTTGTAAAATCTTGATGTAAGCTTGTTCCAAGTTGTGGGCTTCAGTTAATGCTTCAACGTATTTTTCGTACTTTTGTTTTGAAGATTTGGTGGCCAAAACAGTGTTGACCTTACCGTAAGACAAATTTTGTTTTGGTGATTCAGACCTTGTGTTGTCTAATAATTGAGAAACAACTTCGTTATAATCTTGAACAAAACCGAAAGTGGCAGCAACAATTTTGGTGAAGTTCTTCAAAGCTTGGTATTTAGCATATTCACTGAAAAAATCAAGTAATAATGGAGCATATGAAGCAAATGAAGTGGTAGATTGTTGAACAATGGATAATGTTTGAATGCTTGCTGGAATTATGTTGAGTAAATTTTGTAATTGGAATGGTCTATAAAGCTTAACACTGATCAACAAAGCGTTAGCTTTATTGGCAGCAGCAATTAATTCGTCTGTTACTTGACCCAAGTATAAAATAGCATCTTGTTGTTTGGAAACCTTGTTCACTATTTCAAATGGTTGGACATCGAATTTGGCAACCACTTGGTCCAAGGATAATTTTTCCAATGATTCTAATAAAACACCCTGAGATACTTTAACTGATTTCTTAGCGTTATAATCAGTTGGTGCAAAAATGTGGAAAACTGAAGTATTTAATTTGGTTGCCAAATTATAAGCCAAGTTTGCATAAGTATAAGCTTCTTGGGAGGTTTGTGATATTATGATTGGGTATTGTAAATCCCTTAAAGCAGTGACAATGGCATAGTCAAAGTTGTTTAATTCAACATGGGACACAACTTTATTTGATTTAAATACATTTGATGAAAAATATGGCAAATTTTGTAAAACAGTTACTCCATCGGTAGTAACAGTGACAATTTCATCATTATTGGAAGTTTCAGACTCATCTTGTTCTGGTTGATCTTCATTTTGATTATCAATTAAATATTGTTGTATGCTAGCATATGGTTCATTTGAGTTGATCAAAATTTTTGAATGTGGTAATAATGGAGTGAAAGAGGAAGCAACTGATTTTGCTGGTTGTGTAACAAAAACAGATCCACCAATGTTCTCAATAACCTTTGCAATAGCTTCTTCTTGACGTAAACTCATGATGCAATGGTTCTTATTTCAAAAGGAGATATAAGGATCAAAAAGAAAAAAAGCAAATGAATAAAATAAAAAAAAATAGAAAAAGAAAGGATTAAATAATTAAATAAAAAAAATTATCAAGAGATCCTGCTTAGATTATATATATTTAATTAAATTGATAAATGATGAAAAATTTGGAGATGTTTATTAAACAATAAAGAGAGAAGAAAAAAATTGCGATCGGGCACGTGAGTTATGCGTAATTAAAAACCTACTGTTGGTGATTGGCTTGTAAATTGCACCTTTGTGCTACCAATGCATTTTTAGTTCGTATAGTCAATTCCACTCAGATGATCATATAATTATTAGTCACCAGTGAGGTTATACCATTTATGAAAGATACAATAGAACCCACATGTGTTCGTATACACCCAAGAGATGTGCCACAAGGTTCAGCATTATCGATAATATCATTCAGTGTGGTCAGAAAAACATGCGCAGTTATCATTGTCAACGGTCTGCGAAAACGGCCAAAAATATTTGTCCCTGTCCAGGCACCACCTTTTCCATTTCCCATGATGGAATTTGAAAGCATAATATATATTTGTAGATTTGAGCAGGACACGCTGCCATTTTCACCGCCACATCAAATGCACCCTCTCCTTTCCCCCCAGGAACTACTGACGGAGACTCTTCCCACTGCCTGTGATTCTTTTTGCAATCCCATTACGCTGATTCCACGTTAAAATGAATATGGACGCCACAACTGTAATCATATCCCACCTACGGAATATGTATCGACACCAAACACAACTCTACAGTAGAAATCAACATCCACATTAAATAAGAACATTAATCATTGAATACTAACAACAATAGAAATATCAACAAAACAAAACTCAACTAAATTAAAGAAATAAAAAGAAAAATAAAGAATTCAAATTAATTAAGAAAGAATTAAAAAAAAAAAAAATCAAAATTATCAACCAAAAAAATAAAAGGCCGCGGATGTTTTTTCAAATCAGAACTTGTACCTCTTTGACAACATTGATATGGTAATGAAACGAGTAAATGGATATCTGGGGAGTTGTATCTTTTTTGCTTCATGTTTGTCTTATCGACGCCTATTGGGTGCTCGTTTCCAGGCAGCATGATCTTTGGGTCGATAATTCAATGTTCCAATACATGATGTGTAAGGTACTAAATGATTGTACGCTTCTTTACCATTTGCTGGTGATTTGATATTTGTATAAGCTTTATAAACACTAAGAGGTGTCCATTCAACATCTCTATCGGATTTTTTTCGTATAGATTTGGGTATTTCTGGCGGTAGGGGTGATTGTCCATTAAGAAACAAATCTTGTATTATAAACTCTTCTCTAATGGTTTTCCTTACTGCATCACTAACAGTTTTCGGTTCTAAATTGGCCAACCTTACTTTTATGTTATTCATTAAATTTACATGACCACATGTCTCATCACTTGGCCATTCATATATGGGTGATGTTACAAAATCATCAAAGTCAACTAATATTTGTGATGGTGATTTGACCAACAGTATCAGCAGTATCAGCAGAGTTGCCGTAGTAGCAGAAACAGCAGTGGTATTTGCAGTAGTTAACAAATCAGAATTCGGACCCATGAAATCGTCTTCTTCCTCTTCTTCATCTTCTTCATCATCGTGAATATTTTTTTCAAGGGATTGTGGTTGGTAAGGTTCTAATGGAATTGAATTTTCTTGCAATTCTTGTTGCAACATGTATAATTCATGGTCATAATTTTCTGGATTAAATAAAGGAGTTGAACAAGTTGCATCTCCTGTGTTTGATGTGAAACCTCTTTCACAATTTAGGTTATCTTTATCCATCATATTTTCTAGAAATGTGTTGTAATCTAAATTGGACGGAAAACAAAAGTCATCCGGTGGTTTTGAAATTAGATTGATATTACAATTGGTTGATGGTGTAGTATTACTGTTTGATGTTGTATGTATGGGCTGTTCAAGGTGATAATTCTTATGCAGTTGTATTTGACAATCTGGTTGGTATTGTCGTTCTGTTGGTGACTGATGTATATCTTGAGTCTGTAATGGCAAGGGTAACTGTAGCTGTAGTTGTGGATGTGGCTGTGGATGATGTTGGTGGTGGTGTTGTTGTTGGTGTTGTTGTTGGTGTTGTTGTTGGTGATCACAATTCAGTAGATTTATTGTCTGACGTAGTTGCAGTTGAATGTGTTGATGTTGTTGTTGTTGATGTTCTTGTTCTTGGTGGTGATTTTGTTGATCCACAATTCCCATTAGATCAGTTGTATCTGTGTCATATTCGGAACAAAACGAAGGTCGTAACAGTTGGAAAGTTTGACTAGATATTGATGGAGATATTTCTACTCTACTAGCATCATATGTACTTGCAGGAATACAATGATTTGTCAAGTACTCCCATTCTGCAGCAGAAAAATCTATTTGGATATGTGACGATATATCATTACTTAATGTAAAATTATCTTGATTAACTGATGGGGTTCTATCATTGGCTGTTGTGTCTTGTTTTCTATTACGTTGATGTTTGTAGTCACTCAAATTCGGATAGTCTTGAAAGTTCAATTCATCATCAAAGTTTAGGACCATCCCTCCAACAACACAAAAAGGACTAGAACTTTCAGTTTGAGAGAGAAAAGCTTAACCCTCGATGTTTATTTTCCTTTTGAATAAATTATAGCTACTATATTTTTTCAATTAATTTTTTTGGAGGGGGTAAATTTGCAATTTCTTTGAAAAATGTTTAACCAAGTACAATATACTTGAATTACTTGACACCACTTACTTTTATTTTGAGGATTGTAATACTTCTTTAAAAAAAAAGGAAATATAATATGGAAGTATTAATCAAAACCAAAAAAATTTTAAAATTCAAAAACCTAATACCAAGTAGAATATTTTGAACTTCCAAAAAAAAAAAAAATGATAATAGGGAAAGTCACCTGTGTCTTGAATCTATCCAAGATAACAAAAAAAAAATCTCTGATAAAACTAACAGCAAAAAACAAAAAAATAATGAAAAAGAAAAACACGCAGAAAGGAAACTATATAATGTAATTACAAATGATTAAGGGTCATTCATTAATTTTGATCATATATATACATCCTGGGAAGTTTTAAGAGAAAAGGAATGGGGGGACTTAAAAGATGAGGAGTTTTTTCATATCATAATCAAGAAATCTTATCACTATAGAAAAAAAATTATCATTTCAGATAAAGTACTCTGATCATCGTAAAAAAAAAGAGAAAATGTGGCTGTCAAGAAGCTCAAGAATAATGATGCAATCGAAGCAAGTTGATAAATATTAGGAAACATAAAGAATTCTCTCCTGATGTTGGTCAAGATTGCTTGTGTTTATAATTCTTTCAATCAACTTTGATTTTTTGTTTTTTGTTTTTTGCAGCCAATCATTCAAGGTTGTTGACCATGACGAACAAGGATGCCATTGATAAATTACATTGACTTTTAATATACCTCTGGTATCACTCTCAATATTATAAACCCTTTTCATGACATCACTCCCCTTGTACCTCTTGTAGATATGATGCTATCACTTGAATAAGTTACATATCATTGCGTTGGTATAATTTCCCTGTTCTGTTAGAATTCGCAACAAAATTACCGGTCGTGTCTCTGTGCACAAAAACAAGAAGAAGAAGAAAAAAAAAAATTTGTGAGTCAGCGGAAGCGGAACTGAAAAATTTCACAACAGACAATCATCAGCATATGGTGTGCTTGTACTTTCGGATTTTTAATTTAAGGAAACTATAGTTATTCAACTAACCAACAAAATCATGTCCTTAATAAGACTTTATAGTGCCAGACAACAATTGGTAAGGTGCAGAGTAGTCAATCAACATACTCCTTCACTTCTTAGATTCAAAGCAACTGCTACTCCAACTCCAAGACAAAGATGGACAGCTCTTCGAGATTCCGATTTCACTATTGATTCACATGGTGAAGAACAACCAGATTATGTCAAATTGATTTTAACTTCAAGAGTATATGATGTTGTTGATGATGCCGGTACTCCATTAACATATGCTGTTAACTTATCTCACAGATGTGGTACTAATGTGTATCTTAAAAGAGAAGACTTATTACCTGTTTTTTCATTCAAATTAAGAGGTGCTTATAATATGATTGCTCATTTGCATTCTAATTCTCCTCAACCAATTTCTGGTGTCATTGCATGTTCAGCAGGAAATCATGCTCAAGGTGTTGCATTTTCTGCTAATAAATTGAATATTCCTGCTACTATTGTTATGCCAACTGCTACTCCTTCAATTAAATATACCAATGTTTCAAGATTGGGTTCTCAAGTTGTATTATATGGTGATGATTTTGATTCTGCTAAACAAGAATGTGCCAGATTGAGTGAAGAACAAGGTTTAATTGATATCCCACCTTTTAACCATCCTTATGTTATTGCTGGTCAAGGTACTATTGCTTTGGAAATTACTAGACAATTGAGATTGGATAAATTGGATGCAATTTTTGTTCCTGTTGGTGGCGGTGGTTTAATTGCTGGTGTTGCTGTTTATTTGAAACAAATTGCTCCTCATGTCAAAATCATTGGTGTTGAAACTTATGATGCTGATGCTTTATATCAATCTTTGAAGAATGATTCTCTGACCGTTTTGGATAGAGTTGGTTTATTTGCCGATGGTACCGCTGTTAAAGTTTTGGGTGACGAAACTTGGAGACTTGCCAGAGAATTGGTTGATGAAGTTGTTCGTGTTAATACTGATGAATTGTGTGCTGCCATCAAAGATATTTTTGAGGATACTAGACTGATTACTGAACCATCCGGTGCTTTATCTGTTGCTGGTTTGAAAAAGTATATTGAAGAACATCCAGAAATTGATCATTCTGATAAAACTTATGTTCCTGTTTTATCCGGAGCCAATATGAATTTTGATAGATTGAGATTTGTTAGTGAAAGAGCTGTTTTGGGTGAAGGTAAAGAAGTTTCATTGGCAGTTACTATTCCAGAAAAACCGGGTGAATTTGCTAGATTACAAAATATCATTAACCCAAGAGCCATTACTGAATTTTCTTATAGATGCAGTGGCAAAGATACTGCCAATATTTTTGTTTCATTTAATGTTGTTGACAAGAACAGAGAAAAGGCTTCAGTTATTGATGAAATGACTACTGCTGGTTATGAAGTTGTTGATATTTCCGATAACGAATTGGCTAAATCCCATGGTCGTTATTTGGTTGGTGGTAAAGCACCAGTTGAAAAGACTGTTCAAGAAAAGATTTATCAATTTGAATTCCCAGAAAAACCGAATGCTTTGTTTAACTTTTTACAAGCTTTAAAGAGTGATTGGGATATCAGTTTATTTAATTACAGAAACCATGGTCATGATGTTGGTAAGATTTTATGTGGTTTCACTCTTCCTGAAGGTTCTGAAAAGGATTTCCAACAATTCTTGAAGAATGTTGGTTATACTTTTGTTGATGAATCCGATAATGTCTTCTATAAGAAATTCTTGAGAGATTAAGGTTTAATGATTTGTGCATCGATACTATTTACACGATTATAATAAATAAATATACATATACGTTTTTGGCTTAATCATCACGACGTAAGAATGCTTGGTATGCATCATTCTTGATATGAACTTTACCAGTTGCTTTCATTTGTTTCTTACCTTCTTTCTGTCTTTCCAATAATTTCTTATAACGAGAAATATCAGCAGCATGTAATCTTTGAGTAACATCTTTTCTTCTAGCTTTAATAGTTTCTCTAGCTACAACTTTATTATTAACTTTAGCTTGAATGGCAACTTCAAACAATTGGTTTTTCAAGTATTTTTTAAATTTACTAACATACTCTTTACCTCTTGCTTGAGCTTGTGATTTATGAATAATTGTTGTTAAGGCATCTTGTGGTTCTCCATTAACACAAAGTTCTAATTTGACAATATCTGATTTCTTATATCCTGCTTCTTCATAATCTAATGATGCATACCCTTTAGTGCACCCTTTCAATTTACCAAAGAAATCTTCTACTAATTGAGATAATGGGATTTCGTATTTAAGTAAAACTTGTCCCGTTGTTAAATATTCAATATCCTTTTGTTCACCACGATTATTTAAACATAAAGTCATTACATTCCCCATGTATTCTTCGGGAACTGTCATTATAGCTTCAACATAAGGTTCTAAATATTTCTCAACATCATGATGCCTTGTATTATCTGGGAATTCATCAGGATTTGTAATTACCTTTTCGGTTCCATTTTTATAAAAAATCTTGTATGGAACAGTAGGAGCAGTTAAAATAATTTGAGCTCCATATTCTTTCTCCAATCTTTCTTTAAATACAGAAGCATGTAAAGAACCCAAGAATCCCAATCTCCAACCTAATCCCAAAGCATTTGAAGTTTCTTGTTCCAATGTGACTGCTCTGTCATTCAAAACCAAATTTTGCATTTGATCATCCATCGCATTAAATTCTCTACCATCTGCAGGGAATGCACCAACGAAAACCATTGGTTTAGGTTCTTCAAATCCTGGTAATGGTTCTAATCCTTCCGATTTTCCCAATTGATAAAATGTATCACCTACAAGTGCTTCACGAGGATTTTTCATACCAGGAATGATATATGCCACTTGACCTGCTTTAATATGATCCATAGGAGTTCTATCAGGGTACATTATTCCAACTTCTTTAACATCATATGCTTTGTTTGAATGGGCTGAAACAATCTTCATACCTTTTTTTAATTTCCCATCAACAATATGTAGCAACATGACTACACCAACATAAGGATCATGCCAAGAATCAACTAATAATGCCCTTAAAGGTTTAGTTTCATCACAATTTGGAGCTGGGATATTCTTAATAATTGAAGGAATGATTTGTTCAACATTTAATCCAGTTTTAGCACTTACTGCAATACAATCATTTGAATCCAATTCAAAAGTAGTTTCAACCTGTTCCATAGCACCTGGTATATTTGCTGAATCCAAATCAATTTTATTAATAATTGGAATTAACTTTAACCCCATACTATAAGCAAGATAAAAATTTGCTACTGTTTGAGCTTGAACTCCTTGTGATGCATCAACTAATAATAATGCACCACCACAAGATGCATAAGATCTAGATACTTCGGCTCTAAAATCAACATGACCTGGAGTATCAACTAAATGTAATAAATAATCTTGATTTCCATCATTATAAAACATTGAAACTGTTTGTGCTTTAACAGTAATTCCTCGTTCTCTTTCAACCTCTAATTTATCTAATACTTGAGCTTTCATACCTGGTTGAATAACTCCAGTTAATTCTAATAATCTATCAGATAATGTAGATTTCCCATGATCAACATGAGCAACAATACTAAAATTTCGATAATTTTCAATGGGGATTTTATCTATTCTTTCTTGAATTGCTTTTCGTGTTTGTTCTTGACTTATTTTGAGTCTCATTTCTTCAGCTGCACTCATTGGTTTAACTGTACTGTACCATTTTTTAAGTGGTGATCTTATACGTAGTATTTCAGGTATTCTATATCTTAGTAGCATTGTCCATGTGATCGTAGTTGTGAGTATCTAATGATGATGGTTGAAATCAAACTTCGATTCGAAATTCTTGAAAAAAAATGAAAAAAAAAAATTTTGTCACCAATTTTATTTGAACTCCGCGCACACAGATCTACACCACGCTACCATATTCATCATATATTAAACATACAAACAATAACTATTTAGCTATCCAATGGTGGTATATCTACGAGTTCTTTTTGGTTTAACATCAATTTCATCGAAATCAAAAACTGACAAATCTGAGTTTGAACTTAAATTAGGTGTGGGTGTAGTAGCAAGTGATTTACGTTTTTTTGAAGCATTATTAGAATTTGTTATATTTTTTAATGGTTTTCTTTTGGTTGATTTTGACTCATTGTCATTGGTATCTTTTTGATTAGATTTTTTGACTGAATAATTAATCAACACATTTTCTCCAACTGCATCCAACATTTTAACTGATTCTCTTCTCATTTTAGCATTCAATGATAATGGTTTATAACTAACTTCCTTTCTTGCTCTTGTAGGTCGTCTCGGTGGTGAATCAACTGGTTCTTGTTTTAATTCTGGGGTTGGGCTCTTTACTAGTGATTCAATGCTTTGAATATCTTCCAGTGATGACAATTGCGATGGTGGTGGTAATGATGGGGGTTGAGAAAAAGTAGCCTTACGTTGAGATCTTTTTGATTTCTCTTGCTTATCATCTTCTTTAGAAGTTTCAGTAAACAGTGAATAAGAGTAATTGACAATTGGATTTTTATGAGAAACTTCTTCTACCACCTTATTTTGCTCTTCTTCATTATGACTCAGTTCCAGTAATTCCAAAATAGTTGAAACATCACCATTGTTACTTTTTTGATCATTTTTACCACTATCATCATCATCATCCTGATCTTTTCTTTTGAAATATTGAGGAAGTTCAAAACTTTTAGTTGATTCGATGCTAAATCTCAGTGAGGACAACATAGCACCACCACTACTAGTACTTCTTCTACTGTTCCCACTTGATACACTAACTCTATTACCAAACAGACTATCTTGAAACTCTAATCTATGTTCCAGTCGCAAGTTTTGAATGAATCGTAAAGAATCTTGAAAATCATTATTAATTTTTAATTCCATTGAATTAATTAATGAATTCACTGTATCTTTTAATTTATTAATTTGTGAATTTGAGTCATCCAATTTATTTTCTAATTCGGTTATTTTAGCTGAATATATTGCATTTCTTTGTGCTAAGATTCTGTTTTGTTCACGAAGAGTTTGAATTAATGATTCTTCATTTGTTGATTTTATTGATGATGCGGTATCAGTGGTTGTTGTTGTAGAAGAAGAAGATGATGATGATGATGGTCGTGATATATGAAATGTCGATCTTCTTGATATTGAATCCGTCGGTAATATCTCTGATTTCCTTGCCATGATAATGGTGGTTTGACTTCGTTGAAAGTGGTTTCTTGATTTGTTGATTTGTTTGTTGATAATTCAAAAAAAAAAAAAAATCAAAATCAAAATCAAAACAAACGCCAAAAAAAAAAAAATTCACTCAACGAGTATTAACATCATCATCATCATCAACATCAACATCGATCAACAACAATAACAACTATTATAAACCACCATTAGAACAAACACTTTATAATGCAGAGATCAACAAGTAACAATTCATCGATATATCAAAAAATTGCAGAAAAAAGAGAAAATTTGGAAAAATTAAGAGAATTTAAACAATTAACATCTGATTTAGTTAATCAATTAGAATCAATAGGTTATAAATTAGAAACTATGAATGAAGGTACAACAAGTGTTGCATTAATTTTATCAAATTGGAAAAGTGTAATTCAATCTATTTCTTTGGCTTCAATGGCTTTAATTAATCAACAAAATAATCATGACGATGATAATAATAATAATAATAGTACTAAACAAGGAGAAGATGAAAAGTTTCCTGAACCTTTGGTTAGAATTAAACTTGATCAACTGAATCAAAAAGATCAAGATGATGATAAAGATCAAGAAGAGGAAGATGAAGATGAGTATCAACAAGAAGAGGAATATAATAATGATCGATAAATTGAAAAAAAAAAAAAAGATTATTCTAGTATTTCATTACACCCTATTTATAGTCTAGCTTGTTCTTTAACTGATTCAACCCATAATTTGAATTTATTATCGTTGAGTCTTTCAATTAATTTCATGATTAAAGATTCATTAAATTGTCTAATAACAAGATCATCTTGATATTGATCATTATCATTCTGGATCAAACTTGGATTGATCAATAATTGATCTAGTTTTGAAATTGCATTAGGATCCAGTGTTAAAGTCTTGAAAAGAATAGAATCAGTGGCCATTTCCCTAAGTTTAGCATCGGATGAAGAATTCATATCCTTGATGTTATCATCATCCTCATCACCTATGGTTAACAAACGAATCAATACTAAAGCTGAATAATAATCAGATAAACTTTGATTAATTATTGATTGGGCTGTTTTAAATGCATATCCAAAGGATTCTTTATTAAGTAGTGATGGTTTTATAGTTGTTAATAAATTAATTAATTCAATTGATGATAATTGCAAATTCTTAACAAGTTTCTCATAATATTGATCAATTAATGAAGAATTTTGATATTCTTTAGTGATCTTTGCATTGATATAACTCTTAATAAATGTTCCCTTTGGTATAGCTTCAATTCTTCCAATTTCATTGTTGGTTAATTTTTGATATTTAATAACCAATAATTGATTATTAATATCATTTAAATTATCCTTGTCATCATTTGCAGCAATTGCACACAATTTAGCCAATGAATATTTAATCTGTTGATCTTGTAACTTCAATGGTGGTTGTTTTTGAGCAGATGTGATCAATGCATCAGAAGCTTGATTGAATTGACTATCCAATAAATATCTAATCCATGAAACATTTGAAGTTTTAATTGGTTTTTCATTGAAATATTTCAATAGATAAGATTTATAATCAATGAAATCTAATAATAATGATTGAATTTGATTATTCTTTAAATAATAATCATAAACACAACTAGCAAATTCATAGCCAAACTTTTCAAAATATTTAATATAATTCAATTCTTCAAGTGGGATATTCTTGATGGTTTTTTGGTAATCCAATATTCTTGCTAATGATGCAAAATCTTGATATTTTTCACCAATTTCAATTGATTCTTGAATAAGATCAAACTGTAATAATACTTCAATCCAATAGTATTTGATTTCATTATACCATTTTTGATAATCTTCAAGTTGTTTATTGTCTTCTGTCGATGATGAAGTTACTTTCATATAACTGATTGCTTCATTGACAAAATAATATAAAACTTCAACCAATTTCAATGCATCTTTTGATTTGGTGTTATCAATTCCAATTGAATCAACAACAAACTCACGAGTGAATATTTCTTGAGTTCGAACAATTAAATGAGTTTCAAATATCCAAGATTTAACAATTTCGTTCTTGATATATTTCACGTCATTTAAATAAACTCCTTGATATAATGTATTGACAATTAATTGTAAAACCGGTAAATTCTCTTTGCCTAATTCTTCAATAAATTGGGTCAAAACTTGATTTATATTGGATATTTTATGAGTGAAAAACTCTCTTAAATCACCAACTTGTTTTTGTAATACCTGTTTCAATGAATCGGTTTCATCAATAATAGTCCACAATTGATAAGCAACATCTGATTTCTCCAAATTTTCAACAATTTGTGGGATGACTGATTGGTTAAATCCATTTCTTTCAACATATTCAATGAGTGTTTTGTATAACTTCACTTTCAAACTAGTCAAATCAGAAATTGATGGTAATGTTTTAGGTAAATAAGCTGAAGTTGAGTCTAAAATCTCTTGGATGATTGATTGGATTGCTTTAGTTATAATCTCCGAATCAAATCTTTGAATTAAATCGAAATCAATTTCTTCAATATCTGAATAGAAAATAGCTTGTTCAATATGAGATTTAACCACTGTCAATGGATCAGTAACAACCTCATTGTCGATATCTTGAGATTCTGGGAATTTTTCAACTCTAATAACACCAAAATTTTTAGTTATTAAAACAATAGCTGGGTTTGAGTTTGCTGATTGATTCTCGTATCCATTACCAATAAACTCCACAGATGATTTAAATCGAATGATATCTTCCCATCTTGGTTTATAATAATAGTAGGAATTGGATCTCTTTGTGGATAATGACTCTGTAAGATAAGAAATATTCAAATCAGTTAAAATTATAGAATTATCAATAATGACAAATGCTGTTTTCTCAGGTTTTGGTAAATAAAGTCTTGGTTTATTGATGGTATTATCATATGATGGAGCTGTTTTTAATTTATGAGATCCAATTGGTAATGAACCAGATCTATTAATTTTTAAAGTAATCAAATATAAATCATCTTGAATATTCACCAATGCTAAATAATAGCGTTCCCCTTCTTCTGCTTCATCATCATCTTCTTCTTCATCGTTAGTACTATTAGTGGTAGTTTGATCGATTGGCCAAATATCCAAGAATTCCAACTGTTGATCTAATAACATCCCTGGATATTCATTAACATCAATACTAATATATTGTTTGAAAGATTTCTTTTTGTCAATATAAGGAGATCCATTAGCTGAGAATAAGTTATAAGTATATAAATGGAAACCACCAGAAGAATCCAAAACGATAATTTCTTGACAAGTTCCATGATTTGATATTTTCCCTGATCTAATAGCAACAATGTCATTATCAAATGTTTCACCATTAGATGAAGAATTGTTAAATAATTTTTGTAAAAAACTTTGATTATTTAATAATTCCAAATATCCCAATTGTGGTTTACTTTTAAAATCTCTTAAAGAAATCAATAAACATCTATTAAAATTAGTAGCAATAACAATTCCTGAAGGTTCAATATTTTCGGCTACAACAATACATTCATTTTTCTTTAAAGGTAAATTTAATTCTAATGATTTATCATTAATTAATCCCAATGAAGGAGCATGTTGTACACTTTCATAAAATTTGACCAATCCAGAAATTCCATCAATTATAATCAATCCAGGATCTTGTCCAGTACCACTTGAAGGTCTTGTTAAAATAGCCATTGGCAATTTAAATCTTGATTTATCAATTGGAAATTCAATCGACAACGGGATTGAATCAGTTAATTTATAACTCCACACAAATATCGAATCTTCATTGATAACTAATGAATAATTTGATTCACAATCTGAATAACCATTGATGAAAGATGTTGAATGGGTTTTAAAAACTGATGGTAATGCAGGTAAACTTGATACACAATAATGTTCATTCTTGGTAAGTTCTTGCGTTGTACTTATAGTATGTTGTTTTGCAATTGAAGAATAACTTAAGTTATCTTCTGGTTCTGCTGTTGCTTGTTTCTTGTCTATTCCACTGTTACGTGGTTTAAATATCGACATTACTGGTATAACCTTTCTGGTTGTTTATAGTTTTTTATTGTTGTTGTTGTTGTTGGTGATGGTGATGATGAAAGATGAAAATAAATTTTTGCTCAATTTTTTTTTTTTTTGTTTTGAAATGGAAAACTTGGTTCATGCACGACTTACCTACAAAAATGTATAAACATGTTGAAAAAAAAAAAACAATTTGCAATTTCCTATCTATTTATATATATTAAAAACAAACCTATACTCTTTGTTTCTTGCTTGGAGGCTGTTGTTCTTCATCGTCTTCTTCTTCGTCAGCAGCTGAACCATATTCTTCATCTGAGACATAAACATCACTGCCTTCTTCATCTTCATCTTCATCTTCACTTATTTGATCATATTTCTCTTTCAAACCTTTCATCTTTCTGGTTTGTAATTTACTTAAATCTTGTTTACCAACATGGATTTGAGCAACCTTATCACCCATGAAATCGGTACTAACATTCTTTTTAACTTTTGGTTCCAATTGTTTTGGTTTCTTATTAGCTTCTTTTTCAATTTCAGGACTTGGGGAAATTCTTCTACCAATTTTAAAATCTAATCTTGGACCAATTTCATCCAATTCAATTCTTGGTAATTTTTGACCAGATTTATAAGATTTCAATTTATAAACTCTGAAATAAACATTTGGTAAAATTTTATCATCATTTAAATCTTCAATTTCTCCAGTTGATAATGAAATAACATATTGTAATCCAGCAACATCTTGTAAATCAGTTTCTTCACCTCTGAAAAAATCCAAAAATAATGATTTAACATGTTGATAAACTGGATGAGAATCAAATAATGGTCCATTAAATGAAAACATTGGTTTTAAACCAATTGTAAAAGTCAACTTCTTGAAATCTTGTAATAATTTATGATTCTTTTGTATGGAAAATTCAATCATATCATAAACTTTATAATTGAAAAATCTAATAAATGTTAAATTATTTGGTCTTTTTTTATTACTTGATGAAAATACCATTAATGAACAATCATTCTTTTCACTGAAAAATTCCAATTCTTCATAATTTTCAAATGGTCTAATTTCATTCTTCTTAGAAAACTTTTTAATAAATGGTTTTTTAAATGCCATTAAATCACACATAGCATCATGTAAAAATTTATTTCCCGTTGAACCAGGAACGAAAAGAGCTGTCTTGGTGTTTTCAACTAATTTAGCTTCCTTCTTGACTAACGCTCTCTTGGAACGAGCATTCTTTGGTTTAACTGTTCTAATCATTATAACAATAAAGCAATAATAAAGTAGGATAAACAAATGATGATAGGGACTATATAAAAAAAAAGAAAATAAAGGGCAAAGGTTATATTGATTTTCCATTTTTTTTTCCTTTCTCAGAGAAAGCGATGAGCCTGAAAAAGAAAGAAAGAAAGAAAAAAAAATGTTTACTATGTGTCACGTGATACACCAATAAAACAGTTGAACTGGACCAAATTAATGTATGATAAGAATAAAAAATGCTGAAAGATGTGAAGTAGAGTGGATTATTGATGAAGTTAAATATAACTAGCAGGTGTACAATTCAGATTGACTACATGGTAAAAAAAAACCAACAACAATAAATCTAACAAACGATCGATATAACAAAACAACTCAGAAATTGAACCCAAGATGTAAACGTTCTTATTCATTTTGAGACTGAAAACCGTTTAAAACTTTGAAACTAAACCTCTCACAATATTTTGGTGTAATAGCCATTGAAATCACAATCAGTCGGTTTGTATCACGTGACATGTTTTGAATATCAATCTTAAATTCGTTAATTGAATATTTAATAAGAACAACTTCCTATACATCATATACTTTTTTTTTTATGTTTCAAACTACATATTGATCAGACAGACACACATTCGTAACTTATTTTTTGATAACTTCATTAATAGCATTAGCCAAATAATCAACATTATTATCATTAATACCAGAAATACTGAATCTACCATCTTCAGTAGCATATACGGAATATTCATTTCTTAATCTAATAACTTGTTCTGGAGATAAACCGGTGTAAACAAACATACCTCTTTGTTTCAACAAATGATCCCAGTTGTAGTTTGATTTGTCCAATTTTTCATATAATTTAGAACGGACAGTGTTTAATCTACCAACAACATTGTCTAATTCTTGTAACCATTCAGGTAATAAACCAGAGGATTCATCAAAGATGACTTCGACAATCTTAGAACCATGGATTGGAGGAGAAGAATACATTGGTCTAATCAATTTTTTCAATTGAGATTCAACAGCTTTTGAAGATTCACTTGATGGAGTAATAATAGAAATAGAACCAGTTCTTTCACCATAAAGACCCATGTTTTTAGCAAATGATTGACATAAAGCAAATGATGGGATTTTGTTTTCATTAGCCAATTGAGTCAATTTTCTAATCATGCCAATATCTTCAAATGGTTTACCACTAGCAAAACCTTGATAGGCCATATCAACTAATGGGAATAATTTTTTATCTTGGACGATTTGTAAAACTTCATCCCATTGTTCAGAAGTCAAATCCATACCGGTTGGGTTGTGACAACAAGCATGAAGCAAAACAATTGATTCATTTGGAGCATTGGTTAAAGATTGTTTCAAGTTGTCGAAATCCAAATCATTTTTAGAAGTTTCGTAATAAGCATAAAATTCAGGTTCTAAACCAGCATCTTTGAAAACAGCAACATGATTAGCCCAAGTTGGTTTTGGAACCAAGATTTTTTTGGAAGAATAGAATCTGTTCAAGAAATCAGCAATAACTCTTAAAGAACCAGTACCAGAGATGGTTTGAGAAGTGACAATTCTACCATCATCAATCAATTGTTTACCATTTGCGTCTTTCCCAGAGTTGTTGAAAATGAAATTTTTGACAATAGATTGGAAATTTTTAGAACCGATAATTGGAGTGTATTCCTTTTCGGTTTCTTTACTCAACAAGATTTCTTCAGCTTTTTTAACTGATGGGAAAATGATTGGTTTACCGGAATTATCTCTATAAGCACCAACACCCAAGTTGATTTTCTTTGGGTTTGAATCGTTGATGAAAGCTTCGGTGATACCCAAGATTTTATCAGGAGGGGCCAAAGGAATATCGTTCCACTTGGACAATTGAGTAGTGGAAGATAAGAATCTAAGGGTATATTGGGATTGTCTAGTAGTAGATTTAATCAATTGAGATCTGTACATGATTGATATAGGAAGTCAAGATGTTGATTTAAAAGAAAAGGAAATCGGAAATAAAAAAGAAAGAAAAAGAAAAAGAAATAGAAATAGAAATAGAAATATAAAAAATTTTCCTTTGTTGATTATTATCGGTGGTATTTATTCCAAACTGAAAGAGGAGTCAATAAATCAACAATAAGGACATGGAAAATTTTTCATTACTGAGAGAAAAGAAGAAAAAAAAAATTATTTTTTTTTAGTTCCGCTAATTTCCTATGGGCGGACAGCGGATTAAGTTGGGCTGGATCGAGTTGAGTTGAGTTGAGTAGAAGTCTCGGTAGAATGCAATTACTGCACTGTGTGTATGCCTGTGTAATAATAGTAAACGACTCATGGGAAATGAGGGGATGATGACTCAATTCTAAATGGAAACTCATATTGCAATGGTACAAAAGAGCAGTGGTTCAGGTTTTGTGTGTCCCCTATATTCTACACCAATGTTGAACAACACCATACATGGTGGTTATCACCACCATTGAATCAACAGGTTAAACTGTCAAATTCAATGTTACCCTGATTGTAGATAATAATAATAATAACGAAATAATCGGTATCCATGTCAATCAATCAATGGAAAAATCAGATGAGTTGAATTTTCATTCTCGGTTCCTCGGCCAAATGGAAGTTGGAATAACCCATGATGCACGTGAATTACGCGCTAACAATTATTATCTGATTCCTAATTTATCCGTAATTAAACTCAACTCAAATCACAAGAATAACAAGAATAACACCTGTCAATACAAATTATTTATCGAACCATTCTTCTTTGTAATAACAACGGTTGTAATAATTAACCCGAATTTCGGATACTTCCTCCCTTCTAATTATATTATTATGTAAGCTATTTAAAGATGAAATCAAATATCCTCTCTTTGTTATAAATTTTAATTCAAATTTTGTTAAATATTACAATGAAATTTTTTTTTATTAAGCCCATAATACGCTAAAAACCGAACTTCGCATTTTTTTTTGTCAAAATGACGAAAAGTGGTCACACGTGATAAATCACGTGATATAGAGGTAATATAGTATTGGATGAATTGTAATGGCATGTAATAGAGTTGATTGTAATACTAGATGAGAGTGGTATAGTAGACACCAATGGGTATCTCTCACTATTGAGAACACTATAGAGACCAACCATGCTTCAAGTCAACGAATTATTTTTTTTTTTCAAGTTTTCAATAATTTCAATTGCGTGTCTTTTGTACTTTATCACCACAAAACAATACAGATGAAACGATGATCCAGCTTTGGGTACGATACAAAATTGTTTTGAAGAATAGGAGATTCGTACTGTGATTAATCAACGAGACGCGTATCATTTACTTGATTCATTTTATTTCTAAAACAAGTAAATTAATTGTCAAACAGATTGTCAATTCAACAGACGAAGGTTGTTGATAAATATGATACATGTTACATTTACTATCGAGTAAGCAAGTACAGTAAATAAAATGTAACATGCAGTATGTATTAATGAACAAACATGAACCCCCCCTTTTTTCTTATAGATTGTTCTCAGATTCGAATTTTCTTATAATGGGATGGCGGGGGACTTAGGTGGTGGTGGTGGTGGTGTTGTACAGTAAAATCCCTCGGACCAAATTTAATTATTCAGGCGACTGCCGCGGTCCTGCTCCCTCCAAAGAAAATTTTTACACGAAAGGGATAGAAGAGAAAGTTAGTTGGTCTATGCTGTCACAAATGCATTGGTCTGACTTGACCAACGTTTAAAGGGGTGACCGATCTTTCGCTGAAAGGGCTGAAATCTTAATTGAAACATTAATAACGCACCAAATAGGATTATTAATTACACAAGAGACGAGTTAATCTGAATTAGACCAAGAACAATAAACCATCTAATTTTTTATTTGTTTTAATTAGGATCTACTCAAAAGTTTTACATCTACTGTACATCTCATCTTAAAATTTTTAAATTAAATTTCGATCGTGATGAAATTATGACAAAGTACACAACATTAATTATTGTTTAATTTACCTCCTTGACTATCCATTATCTATATTATGTCTTGTAATAATATATGGGATGAGTATTGAGCACATGACATTAACACTGATTGGTGTGTGGGTGTGTTGGTACCTGAAATTCAAACTACACAAAAACGAACAAAATACTTTTCATTCAAACAAATTGGAACTCAACCAGCCAATCAACTCTAGATATCCTTTTGTGCAAATAGGGGAAAGGAAGAAGAAGAGGAAATAGAATGAATGAAAAAGGGTTTAGACTAATGTGAAACAAGAGTAAACAACTGAACCAGAAAGAAAGAAAAAAAAGACGCGTTCAAAAGCAAATTGAATTACTCTCTGCATGTTTATGTTTTATTTTATAATTTTTATTTTTATCATCTCTTGCTTTTGCAGTATTATTCTTCTTATTCTTCCTAATCTACTTATTCTTATTCCTCTTCTCCCATCTGTGTGTATGGCTGTTGTGCATGGAATTGCATTACACAATAATAAACAAATATAGACTAGAGCAAGAAAGAAAGAAAGAAAGAAAGAACAACCGGAATATTTATTTGAAACATGTAAACAATGGAAGTATTCCCTCACCCACCTATCCCTGAAATGATGTATCACAAGGAAATGTTTAACTTTACTCTGGATCCCTCTTGTAATGGTTGGTAGCATAGTGTGATGATAACCAACAACATTAAGTTTATACAACAACAACAACTCATGGTGTAATTGTGTGTGTATAAGTGTTTGAGCTACGTATTGAAAGTTTATGTACCTCATATTGTACATATGCAGAAGTCTTTATTTTTCATTCACCATTTTCAACCATTGTTATTGTTTCCTTCCTTCCTCTTGTGTTGTTGTGCTAAAATATCAAATTGTATCACCGTACACGACCACACTATTTTTTTTTCCCCTTTTTTTTTTTAAGAAAACAAAAAAATTTCTGAAATTCATATCAAAAACATTTTGACCAGAATTATAAACAACTTTATTACCATTAACATTTCCATTACTATTAGCATCACCAACTACCTATCCGACTAGACTTACAACTAACATTATACTACTCAGATGGAAAGAAAAGTATCATCCACGTCAGACTATTCACACACCTCGTCTGTGGTTATACAACCGCATTTGAATGGTTTAGGTAAACGAGTTATTGAAGATATGATGTCAACTAATAATAATAGCAACAACAACAACTATCACCAGGATTCCACTTTTAATACTCAAGAATTATATGAGGAACGACAAAAGAACTCAAATAGATTTATGGTTTCTACATTTGATAACAATTATAACGATCATAATTTAAAATATCATCAACAAAAACTCAGCCATTCTACAAATCTAGATGATAAGCCACTCCCTTTATCACCCCCTTCCAAGGATACTCAACACAGACAGCAACAGGCAGAAGAAGATTTAGTCTCAGATGATGAATTTAATGAAACTATAGACTTGGAAAAATCAATTAGTGGCATTATTGATGTGGATCTAGATGATCAATATGAAGAACAGTTGGAAGATGATTCATTTGATGATGGTTCTCATAACCATAGTCATAGCCAAAATAATTCTTATCCACAAGACGAAGATGAAGAGTTGATGAATTATCTAGATAACGATTATGAACCTGCTTCGCCTCCTCGTTCGCCTCCAAGAGATTTAGATACTGATAAATTGTATGGTTTATATGAATTTTCTGGTCCTGATCCTTCTCATTGTTCGTTGCAGGTTGATGAACCTGTTTATTTAATCAACGATCAAGATAGTTATTGGTGGCTAATTAAGAAATTATCAAAACATGAGAAAATGGAACGTTTTAAACGTATTGATATGAATCATTTGGATGTGGAGTCTGATGATGAAGATGGCAAAGTTGGATTTGTTCCAGCTGAATGTTTGGAGACCTATGGAGAACGTTTAGCAAGATTGAATTGTTTTAAAAATGAAGAATTGGAAAAAGTCTGTGCTCCTCTTGCTCGTGAAGAATCAGCCGTGAGTTTAAATAAGAAATCAGGATCAAATTCAAGCTCCACTAATAATGTAGCTAAAAAATCTGTCACGTTTGAAAATTTGGGTGATATAATTGATGAATATTCTGATGAAGAACCAAAAGATGATCATGATAATATTCGTCAGAATCTACAATTTTATAATGATCTAGGTGCAATTAAACCTTTGAACACTTCAAACCAACAAGATCAACAACCAGAAGTTTTAAGTGATGTTTATCCAGTTGATGCTCCTTTAGTTGTACCCAAGAATAATAACTCCAAAAACGTTCTTGATAAATCTGCATATTCCACTACAATCACTCCTACATTACAATCATCAAATATGTTTGAAGATTTATTTGTTAAACCAAAACAACAAAATAAAAATAAAGAATATGATGATGTTTCTATTGGATCATTTTCTCCTGATACTCCAGTTAAAGGCAAATCACCATTGAGAACAGAAATTGGTGATGCTTTAGACGACGATGAAGAAGATGACCAAGTGGCTAGAAATAATAGTTTATCAAGTTTAAGACGATCAGTTATCCTTGACAGACTAACCCAAGTTACTTCTGATATACAAGAACAACTACGATTAGATGATGATGATGATGATGATGATGATGATGATGATGATGAGGAGGAGGAAGAGGAAGAGGAAGACCTTAATGAAGAAGTGACGCCACTACAGAGCACAAAATCGATTATTCATAACACTTCGATTGATGATGATGTCGGTGTGGAGGAAGAAGAAGAAGAAGAAGAAGTTAAAGGATTTTCATTTAATGATAGTACTGATTCACATTCTCATTTTAGTAATCATAGTTTAAATGATTCACATTCACAACATTCAAGAGGTAGTCGCGAATTGGAAGAATTGAGCCAAGAACAAGGTAGTAGAATTGCTACTCCAGAGAAAGTTAGTCGTACTGCTACACCTGAACAACTTGACCAATCACTATATTCAAATCAATCAGAGCAATCATTTACTACCAACAATTCTCAACGTTCTTCTAGTAATACCATCACCAACACACCAATTCAAGTGAAACGTACCAGAACCCCAGATTTTGTCAATCGTACTCCAAGTCAAGAACGTGTCAAGAATACGCCAGTTCAAGTGAAACGTACACCAACACCAGAGCACATCAATCGTACCCCAAGTCAAGAGAGAGTTAGAAATACTCCAATACAGGTTAAACGCACACCAACACCAGAACATGTTAAACGTACCCCAAGTCAAGATTGTACAAGAAGTACACCACTTCAAACCACTCAAACACCAAGAGAAGAGATTCAAATGACACCAACTCATAAATTACTCTATCAACAAGGTAATAACATGTCACCTACACTTCAAAAATTATTGCACACACCTTCATTTAATCAACCACCAGTAAGTCAAATTCCAACGCCAAATTCCTTACGTTCTCCACCAAATCAATCATATTCAGTTTCTGAATTGTCTTATAATCACTTGCCTAGAAACATTAGTGGAGTTGAAATGGAAGATGAAGAAGAAGAAGATGGAGAAGAAGAACAGAGCAGTTCTGAAGAAAACAATCATGACGATAGTATTACACCATTAACAAGTATGAATTCTTTAACACCTATTGATGAAAGAAGAAAACTGAAACCTGTTCATGAAATGTTTATGCCAATTCTTGGGAAATTTGATGAACTTGCTGAAAAATTGGCTGAATTAGATGATATTCTTAAATAGGTTTATACATGATAAATATGCGTCCGTTTCTTTACGTATATATAAACATACATATAATAGATAATGGTTATCCCGTTGCTGATTTCTAACCATTAAAGTAAGTTTATATGTGTTCGCCCTGCTCTAGGTCGATTGTCGACCCAACTAGCCGAGTCGTGCATTGCCCATCTTTACTTTACTTTTTCAACAACTCATCATCATCATCACTGAAAAAAAAAAAAAAAAAAAAAAAAAATTAATTAAAAAAATTTAAACATCAGCAACACAAGATCAACTCAACTACAATAGTAGGTTTTAATTTTCAATATTAAGAATATCAGCATTGTTTCCACTATAATATCAGCGTGTCAAGATGTCATGGACAGCAGATCCACAAGCATTAGAACAATTGAAACATATTTTTAAAGGTACCTTATCGAGTAATAATGAAGAAAGAAGATTGGCTAATGAAGCATTAATTGAAGCTAAACAGCAACCAGAAATTGAGAATTATTTATTTGATTTATTAATTAGTGAAGATAATAATACTACCAATGGTTCAAATACTGGTAATGGTATTATTTCTACCCGATCTGATGTTCGTGCTGCAGCAGGGATCAATTTAAAGAACAATATCTTGAAAAATCGTACTTTAGATCGTACTTATTTAATGAATAATATCATGAAAGGTTTAATGTCTTCTGAATCATTAGTTAGAAATATTACTGGGAATGTCATTACTTCAATGTTTTCAATTTATGGATTAGATCATTGGTCTTCAGCTTTAAGTGATTTATTAAATATAATTCAACAACCTCCAATTAATGGGAAGTATATTTATCAAGAAGCTGCTATGAGTGCATTAAGTAAGATTTGTGAAGATTCATATTTGGAATTAGATCGTGATTTTAATAATGAAAGACCATTGAATTTCTTGATGAATGAATTTTTAAAATTAATTGAACAACATCCAAGTTTCAAAATAAAATCAGGTTCAATCCATTGTATAAATCAATTTATTCCTTTGAATACTCAAAGTTTTTTGGTAGTATTGGATAATTATTTAAGTAGTATTTTCAATTTGGCTGGAAATGATAATGGTCAACAAAATGATGAAATTAGAAAGAATATCTGTACTTCATTTTTATTAATTGTTGAAACTAGACCTGATAAATTATTACCTCATTTAGATGGGGTTATTAATTATTGTTTACATTTAATGCAACAAGACACAAGTGCTGAAGTTTCTTTAGAAGCTTGTGAATTCATGTTGGCTTTAGCTACTAATAATAAAGAATTGAATGCTTTCAATCCTGAGAAATTGAAATTGATTTTACCTATTTTATTGGATAAAATGGCTTATTCAGAAGAAGAGATTTTCCTTATTGAAATTGCCGATTCAAAAGATGATGCTCACGTGGTTGATAAAGATGAAGATATTAAACCAACTAATGCAAAGTCAAAGGATACAAGAAATGGTAACCTAAGTAATGGAAATAATAATAACAACAATAATAATACTACCAATCAACAATTAGAACCTGATTCAGATTCAGATGATGACGACGAAGATGACGATGGAGAATTACAACATTGGAGTTTAAGAAAATGTGCTGCTGCTACATTAGATGTTTTAAGTGAATCATTACCTGGTGATGTTTTAATGGTTACATTGCCAATATTACAAGAAAAGATTGTTTCTCCCCATTGGCCGATTCGTGAAGCAGCTATATTAGCATTTGGTGCTATGAGTGCAAGTTGTATTGAATTAGCTAGTGATAAATTACCTTCTTTAGTTCCATTTTTAGTTGATAGATTACAAGATACCGAACCAAGAGTTCGTCAAATTACATGTTGGACATTATCAAGGTATTCAACTTGGGTAAGCGATGAAGCTCATGAAGGTGGGGAATATGCCAATTATTTCCAACCTACTTTCCAATCAATTGTTACATGTGCATTAGATTCTAAAAAAATTGTCCAAGAAGCTGCATGTTCAGCATTATCTTCATTTATCGAAGAAAGTGATTCTTCATTAATTGAATTTTATTTATTACCATTATTGGAACATTTCTCCAAATGTTTCCAAGTTTATCAACGTAAGAATATAATCATCTTGTATGATTGTGTTCAAACATTTGTTGAAAAAATGGGATATGAAAATTTATCAAAAAATCCAGAATATGCTAATATTTTATTACCTCCATTGTTAACTAAATGGCAAGAATTAGATGATGAAGATACTGCCCTTTGGCCATTATTAGAATGTATGGCATCAATTGCATCTTCATTAAGAGAAATATTTGCTCCATATGCTGTCCCAGTTTATGATCGTGCCCTTAAAATCTTATCAAACTGCATATTATTAGATCAAGAATGTCAAACGGATCCAGGTATTGATCCACCAGAAAAGGATTTCATGGTCACTTCATTAGATTTAGTTGATGGATTAATTCAAGGATTTGAATATCATTCAGTTGATTTAATTAATCAGAATAAAAAATCCAATTTAATTGAATTATTATTGATTTGTTTTGAAGATTATAATGGTGATGTTAGACAATCTGCTTATGCATTATTGGGAGATTTAGCCATATTTGCCATTGATTTATTGAAACCATATTTAAGACAAATATTCATTAGTATTGGCAATGAAATTAATAATAGAACTTATGAAACTTACCCAATTTATAATAATGCCATTTGGTCATTAGGAGAAATGTCAATTCGATTATCAAAAGAGGAAATTCAAGAATATATTAGTAATTTCCTTGATTTATTAATTCCTGTTATTAATAGTTATGATATTCAATCTACAGTTATTGAAAATGCAGCTATTTGTTTAGGTAGAATGGGAATTAATACACCAGATTTAGTATCATCAAGAATAATTGAATTTATTCAATCATGGTGTTCGAAATTTTTATATTTGATTGATAATAATGAAGAAAAAGAATCAAGTTTTAGAGGTATGATAAATATGATTAATTTGAATCCTGATAATGGATTCGGAGGAATTTCAACTCAACAAGGTAAAAAGAATTTAGCAGGATTTTTAACTTGTATTGGTAATTATCAAGATTGTCCAAATGATTTACAATCAAGTTTTATTGAATTAATTAATAATTATAAGCAATTACTTGGTAATGATTCATGGAATCAAGTGTTAAATTTCATTAGTGATCACGATATTAGAAATCGTTTGAATAGTATATAGATTTTTTTACAACTCCCCCAATATATATATATATATATATGTATATGTATATGTTTTATAACGTATCTTCATTTTGGTATAATATTTCATTGACTAATCCAATAGGTAGATCCCAAACTCCACTGGGTGCAAAATGAATATAATCTAAACACCTCATCTCTTTATCATCATCTCCATCTTGTTCTCCTTCAACTTCATCAGGAAATACGGAATTTTCATCAATTATACATCTAACATCGTTTAATTTCAAAGTCAATATTTCTAAATTATATAAAGCTAACCACCAATAAATGAAAATCATTAAAATCAACGAATATAAAGGAATAGCAATACTCCAATATTTATTAGGATAATAATCGATAAATAATTTATATTTAATTATATCATCATTTAATAATATCCATAATATATAAATAATTAAACAATTACAAGATATTATAAATATTGAAAATCCTTTATATTCTGATTTTTGTCCTTTTGTTATATTACTTACTGTAACATCGGATTCTCTAGCTAATTTATCTTCTGGTTCATTAATAGTTGATGACAAATGCTGCTGCTGCGGAGATGGAGACGAAGGTCGTGAAAAGGATGCTGATAGTTTGTTAAGATAAAATGACATGTCCTTCAGTTGGTTAGTTGGTTCTGGTGGTGGTGGATTGTGGGTTGGAAACTTTTTTTTGTTTGGTGATGATTTTATTTTTTAACTTACGTGTTAGTATGGTGATATGATAATAGACAATGTAGAGCTGCTACAACAAAGTCTACATAAAGAATGAGGTAATATTAATGAAGAGATAGTGACAAATGATGATGATGATGATGATATATATCCACTTATAGGTCTACAAATTAAATAATATTCTTAGAAGTATAGTAAATCTTGTGGATTGAGTGATTTATTTATTGATTGACTGCTATATAATTTAGAATGATTTGTTTAATATTCATAGATAACCAAAAAAATTATTCATTGATAGATATTAATACCCATTTAAACCAATTGTTTTCTTGAACCTCTAAAGAATAATTGAACAATGGTAATTTGTAAGAAAGCCATACCAACCATTAATAAAACTTCAAAGATTGAGAAATAATAGATTCTTGATTCAGTAGATTGAACAGTTGCTTGGTTTCTATTATTTCTGGTTTTGTAATATTGTAAAGCTTTATATAAGCCATCTAATTGATCTTCAATTTTATCAACAGTTTTTCTCATATTTTCAAACATAAGTCGAAGATTTACCACTTGGTTGATTAGGTAAATTAGCTTTAAATTTACTATCACCATTTTGTTCATTATCATTTTCAAATTTGATTTCAAAATCAACAATTTTTTCAGCAAATGTAGACATTGTATTTGAGAAACAAAATTCATATTCTCCAGTATAATCAGCAGTAAATACAAAATCTCCTTGTCTTTGTTTGGTATCTTCCATAACTTTATTTCCATTTGGATCAGTTATAACATAATCAACATCAAATGATCCTCCACTTTGAACAGCAAAATAGAAACTAATTGGAATTTTTGGCTTTTCAGTAAATACATAAAAACATGATTTTTCATTGGCTCCTAATATAAATGTGAAAGCTGAACCTGCTATCAATTGAGTTAATCCCAAAATACAAATAATAAATGAGAACATCTTATTGAATATAGATAACAATAGTGTAATGATCCGTTGGGTAGTATATCGAATAACAACAACACAATAACAAGGAGTAGAGAAATGAAAAAGTTGGTGGAAATTTTTTTTTTTTTTTTGATTTCGTTCAAGCAAACAAAAAAAAAAATTTTAAGACGCGGTGGTCAAAAATAAATTGTTCTTAGTCGTGTACACAGTGAGAACTCCTATTGAACACGTGACTAAGTAAGGGTAGGGTCCCATGTCAAAGTATGTAAATAATATTATATCGTCGTAAGTCTTGATGGTTGTATTGTTGAAATAATTATAAATAATATATACATGAATGGAATATTTACACACACAGACAACAGATTACATTCTTTATTTTTTTTTACTGTTCAGGGTGAAGATAAATCATCTTACCAGAAGCATCAAAACCAATAGCCCTATCTTTCTTTCTATCTCTTCTAGAAGCACCATAACGATGACCAAATGTACCCGCTGTTTTTTCAACAAATTTAAATGTGGATCTATCACCTTCTCTCTTCTTACCATACAAAACATCAACCTTCTTATCTTCAGTTTGTTGCTCGTCAGTTTCTTCAACATTAAATTCAGTCAATTTCTTTAATGTTGTTTCGGCTGGTTCCAATTGTAAAATCTTAGCAGCATCAACTGGACCAAATGGTTCAGATTCTTCAATAGTCAAGAATCTATCATGCAAAGTTTTGTAAGGAGTTGGAATTTCTGTTAAATTATCAGCACCATAACCACCTTTAAATACTGGAAACATACGTTTCATAATTGTAGAAAATCTCTTTAAATCTTCAGCAACTTGTTCCTGTAATAGAATATATTGTTAGTAATGCTAATTCAAGTTCAAATAAATCATTAATTTGTTATTTTTATTCAGGGCATAAAAGTCTAACCATGTAAGTTGTCTTAAAGACTAATCGAAAAATAATAATGGCAATTTCATCATTCTAATAACAAATCAAACAATTACTGTTAATACATACTTTTGGTTCGAATTTCAGTTCAATTTCTTTTAATTTCAAGATGGCTTCAATTCTTAAAAGATTAATACCATATTTATGAGCAATTTCTTGAGGATGCATACCTTTAATAGTTGCATCTTCTACTATTTTATCCTTCATTTGATCAGATATCAATTGTGCAGTTTTAGTGTAGGTATTATTTGGAAATGGATGTACTGAAGGATTTCTTTCTCTATTATTGAAATTTTTTCCTGGTCTCTTAGTTTTAAATTGATCACCAACCAATGGTTTACCATCATTAACAACATATCTTGGTCTGTTATCTTGTGGAGGATAATAATATTTATTGTATTTATGTTCACCTTTGATGTTTTTTGGACCAAAAAACTCTTTGGCCTCCTTCAACAACATATCTTTATCCATTGTTGCTCTTCTGCTTATTTTTAAACATGGCATACTAGAAGAAAGCAGTCTAGACTGCAGTATAACCAAGGATGATTTCCTTACCACCACCATACTTTGTTTGTTAGAGATCATGGTAGTTTGATAATTAGTTGTTGGTGATGGGACTCAACTTTTTTTTCTCACTGACAAATGAAAATTTTTTCCTGTTGGTTGTCTGGGTGGTTTGTCTCGCAAAATTTTATATTTTTACAACCAACCGAAGAGAAGCAAAAAAAAAAAGAGAATGTCGGTTGACGACATTACAAGAGAATGTCGCAGAACTGCATACAATCGTGAGGGCAATGGAAAGTTTGGTTTCTCTCTTTTTTTTTCTCTCTCCTTCTTCTTCTTACCAACCAATTTTTGTTTTGTTTTGATTTTTTTTTTGGTGATTTCAGACAACCAAACGGAGACCCAACTTGAAGACACAGTAATAGCAAACCGCGTGCATTTATTATTTATTAGATACTGGGAGAGGGACATAATTACATGTTGCAAGAAGTCATATCAACAATAAAACCACAGGATCAACCGCAAATGATGGTGCAAAATAATCCACAACATCTTCAAGGATTAAACGCGTCTAGTGTATCAAATCTGGGTATCAGTCAACTCAAAAGAAAACAATCAAGCGAAACTGATGATCCCTTTAAAGATAGATCCTACAAGATTAGAAAAGATGCCAATGCTACTACTACTACTAATAATAATATGTTCAATCTTAATTCTGGTAATTCATTTATTCGAAACTCAAATTTAATTAAATCCTATAAACATACACGAGACGAAAATCTACAAAATTCCACATATGGCCAAACAACTTCAACAGAAGAAGTGGGTACTAATACAACCACTAGTACCACCAACATTACAACAAAGAATAATGATATTCCAACTCAACAACCTCGCAAGTCAAGCAAGCAAGAAGATGTAATAGACACGGGTAATGATAATGGCGGTGAAGAAGAAGAGGAAGAAGAGGATGAAGTAACGTTGGAAGTATTGGAAGATATGCAGAAATTAGAATCTAATTTCCCTATATTAGCTACTGATTATAGATTAATCGACAAAATCGGAGAAGGTACATTTTCAACTGTATACAAAGCTGAAGCTCTTGGCGGCAAAATACGATTAGGTTCAGATATGTGGAAATCACCACCTTTAAAGAAAATGAGAAGTAGCAATGAGAATAGTAGTGATAACCTGGTTAAATCTAAAAAAAAGAATCCTATCGTTGCATTAAAACAAATCTATGTCACATCTTCACCAAATAGAATCTTCAATGAATTGAATCTACTTTATATGTTGACGGGGAATTCACGAGTTGCTCCATTATTAGATGTTTTACGACATCAAGATCAAATTTTAGCTATTCTACCATATTATCATCATTGTGATTTCCGAGAATTTTATCGTGATTTGCCAATTAAAGGGATCAAGAAATATTTATGGGAATTATTCCATGCATTAGATTATGTTCATTCCAAGGGAGTTATTCATCGTGATTTGAAACCAACTAATTTCTTGTATGATCCTTTTAAAGGTAAAGGAGTATTGGTTGATTTTGGATTAGCTGAAAAGGAAAACCCAATCAATATTCTGAGTTCATCATCTACATCTTCCAATTCTACTGCATGTCCATGTTTAAACAGAGAGCCGGTTACAATTAACCGAATTCATACCAAAAGACTCAATATTAAAGGAGCATATCCAAAAAATGATACTCGTCCACCAAGAAGAGCCAATAGAGCCGGTACAAGAGGTTTTAGAGCACCCGAGGTTTTATTCAAATGTACCAATCAAACAACAAAAATAGATATTTGGTCAGCTGGTATCATAGCATTATCAATTTTTCTTCGAAAATTCCCATTATTTAATTCACCAGATGATACTGATGCTATTTTAGAGATGGCGTGGTTATTTGGATATGATAAATTACTCAAGTGTGCAGAATTACATGGATGTGGATTGGAAATTTGTGTGCCTGAAATCTATAGAAGCAATGAGAGTTTAATTAAAATTGCATATGATTTTTTGAAAGAAGAAGATGATAATGGATGTTTCCCACCTGATAGTGTTGTTTATGATACATTGGACTTGTTTAATGAACGTGGAGATAAGTTTGTTAAACCTATTTATACTATAAGAGAAGGAATTTCAGAAAGTGAAAAACGAAAAATCAATGATGAATTTCGTAAAAAACATGATAATTATAAAGATCATAAATATTTAATTGATTTATTACACCATTGTTTTAGAATGAATCCTCAAAAACGTTTAAGTGCTGGAGAACTATTGGAATTACCGTTCTTCCATGAGATTTTGCAAATTGATGAAGAAACTAAATTTGATTTTGATGATGACGATGATGAAATTGTATTGTCTAAATAGAATTACTAATAAATAAACGAGGAAGTATTTTTTACTGGTGAGATGATGCCTACTAATTCTATCACACACGTAACTATATTAATAAATAAACCACAATATAAAAACGTACCATTTAAATGTTAAATATAAATAACTGTATAAAGAAAAACCCAATACACAAAGAACTGAAATATAGTAAAACAAGAATAATACAAAAATTATAATATGTATAGAACATATTCTTAACTATCATAAATATCATAATTATAGTCATCATAACTTTCATAATCATAATCACTATCAAACAGGATTCTTCTTGATCTTTTCCTTGGATTAACCATTGTTGTATGAACACCATTTGTTGAAGAACCAGAACTATTATTATTAGTACTACCATTACTTGTAGTGATGGTATTTGTAGTGGTATTATTTAGAATTCTATCAGATGAAGTATCCTTTTTCAACTCCTTAGGCTTCAATGTATCATTAATCATTGATTTATTCCATTTTCTATTCAATTTATTAATCAATTCATTTTGTTCCTGTAATGTTTGCATGATTGGTAAATTTGGAGGAATTAAAGTACTTGGAATATTAGGTGCTGGTACGGATTTTCTAGACATTGAATTAGGTAATAAAGGAGAAAAGAATTTTGAATCTAATAATTCACTTGATATTATTGGTGGTGATAATGGAGGAAGTGGAGATAATGGATTATTTGATGTTGACGATAATGGAGATGTTGATGAAGATATAGCAGATAAACTTGAACTTAGACCATTATTATTGGTATTGTTGATATTATTTGAAACACTGTTGTAAAATTCAAGTTGTAAGTCCTTTGAAATGGCTAATTTTCGTTTAATATACATTGATTGCTGCATTAAATTTGCAGTTTTCAGTTTTTTCAAATGTTTATCTGCGTTACCACCGGTACTGGTACTACTACTGCTGCTGTTACCACTACCATTGCCTGTTGTCAACGAGTTAGGAGATGATATAGGATCATTTAATTTTGATGAAGATGAAGTAGGACTTCCACTTAAACTATGAGGTAAAGTAGTCATTAAAGTAGGAGAAGTTGGAGGTTGATGTGTATGATGAAGATTGTTAATTGAATCATCAAATTTAAATTTAAAATCTCTTTTCAAATACCCGTCTTTGCTATTAGATCTTCTTTTAAATCTATTTGAAGGTTTAATAATTGTTCTTGAAGGAGTGGAGGAATCAAATTCAGAATCATCATCAGATATAATTGCACTTGAATTCACAACTCCTCCAATAATACCATTAACCTGTTTTGAATGAATATGAGTAAAACCATGGGTTGCTGAATGCCCTGATAATGACACTAGACTAGTTGTACTATTATTTCGAGTGTGTGATCGTAGATTATCATCCATGGAGATGATTGAATTTCTAGGGCTTCTATCTAAACTAACAATTGACATACTTCGTAAAGAATTAGGAGTGGCCGTGACGCTATCCTTTTGACTTATAGCATTGGATGTGAGGGGAGGTAATATTGGAGTAGTAGATGTATTCTGTGATGTTGTTGAAATACCAGATGCAGGCATAGGAGTCGGAGTCGGAGTAGGAGCTGATGGAATAGGAGGAGGAGGTAGTGGTGATGCAGAATCTAAATTTGAAGTAGTGGTATTAGTGCTTGCCATAGTTTCCATTGCGGTTCCTGATGAAACTGACGCAGAAGGTGCAGTGGTAGTATTATTATTACTAGTAGTAGTGGTGGTGATAGATGTAGCAGTATGCTCTGTTGGAATGGGATGTGATGTTGTTGATAAAGGGGGAAGATTAGGGGGATGGTGAGGCTGAGAAGGTAGATGATTAGATGGGACTGGGGTGGATGGGTGGCTTAACCCACTACTTGCCCCACTATTGTTAAGACAGGGAGTCATTGAATGATTTGAAGAAAGGGAATTCACAGAAGAAGAACGTTGTCTTGTAAATGTGAATGACATATTCGTTGTTGTCTCTGTTGTGATTATTCCTCTTGTATATATATGTGTGTGTGTGTATAATTTTTTTTTTCTTCTGTTTTTCTGTGACAGGTTTTGAATGAATTGCTCGATGAATTTTTGTTTGCAGGGATTTTTATTTTTGAGCCCAAAAGATGGGAAAAAAAACCCTTTTGATCGGCCCAGATAGCTGGCAGTATGATTTGATAATTAGTTGTACTGATGAATCTGATTAGTTGTTATTGATGATAGTGATGAATAGTCACGCGGATAGAATTGTCTTGTGATGTATGTAATAGGAGTTACCCTTTTGTGATAGTCATTCCATCTTGTTCATCATCATCATCACGTCTTTCTTGTCATCAAGATTGTGTGAGATTCTTTTTATTTTTTATATTTTATTTTTTTGTATTTATTTACGAGGCACGTGAATAACAAACACGTGATATTTCTAATAATCTTATTGTTTTTTATTTTCCAGGAAACTACTACAGTACATAATATCCTATTGACTAATTGGACAGTTTCTTAAGTATTCAGCTTTGTTTTTCAAAATTCTAACAGATTTACAGAAGATTTCATCAGGAGTCATAGCACCAGTACTTTCAACATTAAATATAAAATGATCTCTTTGTCTACCCAATTTAACTTTACCATCAAATTCAGGATGTCTTAAAACTTCACGAGAAACAGTATCTTTTCTAGCATCAGCAACATAAGCTTCACCAGTTTTGGAGTCAATACCAATAACACCAGGTGGGAAACATTTTTGGAATTTTTCTGCCAATTTACCAGTAATTGGTTCTTTTATATCAATAACTGGTAATAATCTATAAGATGCAGTAGCAACTGGGGAAAATTTAGCATGATCTGATCCAATACCTAAGATACAATGAGCTCTTAATGAAATTTCTTGACCTGGTCTTAACTTAGCGATTAAAATATTTGGATCACAAGGTACTACAGGAGTATCCCTGAATTTTTCTGCTTGAGTACCATGAGGTTCAAATTTTAAATCCTTAGCATAAACATTTGAATTTTTATACAATACATTTGGATCGGTTGCATCCTTTGGAGCATTTGGATTTTTGGTACAAGTGACATCTAATGACAAGACAATAGTGTTATCTTCAGTGAATCTATCATTAACATCAACTGATTCATCAACCCAAGACAATTTATCTGGACTAATATTCCATGGAATTAACCCAATTCTTTGTGCTAACACTTCATCTTGAATAACTGAAGTATTCATAAACATATATACAGTTTCAACGGCAACTGAAGGAACTTCAGCAATCATAATACGACGAAAAGCATTGGATATAGATGTATCTATATGGATCAAATCAAATGTACCGGTTCTTTCTCCCATATTGGTTATTTTAATTTCAAATTTATTCTTGAATTTTTCAATATCCCATGCATAATCTCCATTTTGTTGATGACCTGGGAAATCAGTGGAGGTGGTATTTGTAACTCTATTATATTCTATTCCAACAATGTTATTATCTGACATTTTGGTACTATTTTCTTTTTGAAGGGGTGGTAATTGTTTGTTAATTGAATAGGTTTTTTTTGTTAAAACTTTTTTTTTTCATTTCAGCTTATAAATCTCATCTCTTTTCCGTCTCTCAATTAGAAACATTGGTGTGCGTGCATTTACCGAAAATATGAAAAAAGTATATAAACTCAAACAGAAATTTTTTTTAAACTAACAGGAAAATGCAAATGAAAATTTTGACAACTACCCAGGATTTGACAAAGTCGGTCAACTAATTGATAAATGGTGATGTATCATGTCTAGTATTGATTGTATGGTCTGACATTACTTTACTAACATTCAGTTAATATCATCTAGCAATCTTGATTCTGGTCTCATATTTGTTTTTATTTGACCTATGTTGGAGATGTTGAAATCATGGGAAGAATAAACAAATAGAAGACTTCTAGTTTCATGAGTTTATTTATACATCATTTTAAATATATATATTACCTATAATAATTTTGTGTTTATTAATTAAAACCATTCTATTCAAACCAATGTAGGAAATCTCTCTTTTATGATTTCATACAAATAATCTTGGATTTGGAAATGCTCCAGGCATTTGAGTACTTTCATTATTCAAATTAATAGGTTGTAAACTTATTTTATAATTCATTACTTTTTTAATATTTCCCAATAAATCTATAGTTAATAATTCGACATTCCCGTTATATCCATCTCCTTCATCATAAATTCTCTCATCTTCATCAACCTCGTCATTACCATTCTCTTCATTGACTTGTTTAATTTCAAAAACATCCTTTTCATTCACAACTCCAAATAAATTATGAAAAATTAATTGTGTTAGAAATACTAAAATATCCAATAATATAACTTCAAATCTATTGAATGGTATTCTATCACCAATAAATTGTATGGTTATCCCACCATATAAATACCCTTTATCATTAGAATAACTTGAACCAACTCCAAATATTAAATGCCAAAATATACAAAATAAATTCCCAATAATAACTCCGCGTAATGATACTTTAGTTAATGATTTTTTATAATCTTCAGGAATATTAGTTATTCTAGATATGATTTTTGGATCAATATTTAATATAGATAAATGAACAGTTGCTCTAATTAATAACTTCAAAAATGATAAATCACGAAGATAAATTAATACAATCAAGAATATCTCTAGAAATTGAATTGATTCTTTAAGATCACTTAAAAAGAATCGTTTTCGTTTTATTAATATTGAGTTATTATTTTGTACTGTTTGTTGGGGTGTTGGGACTTTCTGTCTTTGGAAATCTAGGAGTTCAATTGGTATATTCCCCCTCTCTGTCATAATAGATTATATTGTGCTTAGTAGGGTTAATCAGTTATGGTGATTCTGGTATCTAAATCCAAGTTGATGTTTGTTGGCTCGTTGGTTGTCTGGTTGGCATTTGATTCTTTATTATTTTTTTTTTTTTTGGCGGTGAATTTTTGGGTTGTTGTGGTGGTTGTCTGGAGAGAGAACAAATTATTGGATCTGTGATCTCACCCCTAGCAGTATTCTGGAACCAGTCTGGTGCGAAATCTACGTCGATCCATAATACACCAACTATCATCATATCGATATCCATATATTTTACATAATGATTATAAAATTTCATTCATAAACTCACTAAGTGATTTAGAGACAAGCTCTACAATATGGTCAATATCTTCAGAGGTTATAGTAAAACTTGGAGCGATAATTATATGATCACCAATGACACCATCAATAGTACCTTTACCAGGATAAACAACAACACCATTAGCCATACACACCTCAGCTATTCTTCTAGATAAATTCAACTCGGGATCAAATGGTTTGTTATTCTCTTGCTGTCTACCAAATTCAATACCCCAGAACAACCCTCTTCCTCGAATATCTACAACTATTGGAATCACACCTACTTTTGCAAGCAATTGTTCACCTAAATATTCTCCCATTTTCTTGACATTATCCAAAAGATTATCCCTCTTAATAATTTGTTGAACAGCATAACCAGCTGCACATGAAAGGGCAAAACTTTGATATGAAAGACCACAATTAAACATGCTTGAGCCATTAGATAACCCACAAAATAAGTTTTTTACTAACCATAACGCAAGACAACGGAGGTGGG